CAATATTGTCAAAAATTTTTAGATTATACGCACCGTAAAAGTATACGAGCTTGTAGCTAAGTGATTCATAATTTGTTCGCAAGACTGTACCCTAGAGACGTTATCTTTACGTAATACTTTCAAATATTTTCATAAGTTTTAATCCGGCAACGTCGCTTATGCTCAACCAATAGCTATTGAAGACTGAATCAGTCATTTGAATTTACTGCGGAAATAATATCTATACTCGCGCACAGCGTTGCCAAGTTGTTTTTATCTGACACTAGTGATGTATACTTTTTACAAATTGTTGAACTTTAAACGGTTATTTATAAACAATTGGACGGTCAAAAATTTTTAATTATTTTTTTTTAAACTCAGCAAAAATACATTAAAACACTGTTAGTTTTTTGAAAGCTTCTGACAGTTAGTTTTTTCTGTATAACTAAGAAACTGGTACAGAACTACAGAAAGCCTATACAATCCATGTTAATTATCCAATTTTTAATTGAATTTATCTCGGGTTATAGACGGTCAATCGACTTCAAATTTTAAGGATATATGTAATGTCATGTCCTTAATAAGTATACAAAAATTTAAAATTTTCTGATGGTATGCTTATAGCACGACAACTACCTTAATGAGATTTTAATATTTTATATATTATTATAATAAATTAATATTCCCAATATCCTTACACGCCTACAAGAACTGACCCAAAGAGAAAAAGCAAGAACTTAAGCCTCACCTTGTGGAAAATATTAAATATCAAGCTTATTGGTTTAACAAAAGGGCTATCGATCTAGGTCCTTCTGCCCATTTACAACTTAAATAATATAATATATACAATGTTTTGGTACATATAAAAAAAAGAATGTTATGTATATACATATGTATATGAAAAAAAATTAACAAGTTATATAATATATTTAATGAATATTATTCATATATTTGAACAAATAAAAAGGAGAGATATCTCCTTTTTATTTGTGTACTTGTGTTTTAATAATTAATAGGTGACTATATTTTTATTGTATTTATATGTATATTTAATTTATATTGTATTTATATGTATATTTAATTAGAGTTCCCTCTGTAAACCGCATTGTGTTTTTTGGGTTAATAAATGTATTTATTATTATTACACTGGTTTACAAATTTAAATTTTTTAAAGATAGAAACTTTCATCTTCATTTTTTTAGGGTAATTCAGATGCGCTGAACACGAAAAACATACTCATTTTTTTCTCATTTGGGCCATTCACCTAGGTAACGGTGTATTTTTGTTTTTCGATGAATTACTTTACTTAAACCAGCGCGCAGCAGCCCAGATTGAACGGCAAGCCCAATTCAGATAAGTCGAGATATTATTAGAAAGGTGACTAAATTACGCGTACAAAGGTACCAAATTCGTTTTGATCAGATGAAAAATGGCTGAGTTACAGCTTATAAAATTTCAAACTTCATGCAATTTTTGACGATTTACAGCAATTTTCGTCATTTGAGTAATTTTTTTCCCACAACAAATAATTCCAATATCCCAAGTTTTATTTCTAATCAATTGTATATATAATTATAAAAATTTCAAGCCCTAGAAGACCAAGATCGGATTAAAAATATGATAAAAATAAGAAAAAACTAAAAATATTTGCAGTTAATTTAAAAACTAGTTTTTTCTTATTTTTATCATAATATTTTTATTTTTTATGCGTTCTTAATCTGTTAGGGCTTAATTTTTTTGTAATTAAATAAATTTTTGATTAAAAATGTTAAACTTAAAATATTGGAGTTATTTGTTGTTGTAAAAAATTACTCAATTGACAAAAATGGCTAAAAATCGTCAAAAATTGTATGAAATTTAAACTTTTATCAACTGCAACTCAGCCATTTTTCATCCGATCGAAAAAAAATTGGGTACCGTTGGACCCGCATTGAAATCACCTTTTTAACAATATATTAATTATCTCGATCGGGCCTGCCGTTTACTCGAGATGCTGATTCAAGTAAAATCATAAATAGAAAAACACAAATATACCGTTACCTAGGTGAATGGCCCAAATGAAAAAAAAAAGAATATGCTTTTCGTGTTAAGCGCACCCGAATTACCTTAAAAAAATATAAGAGAAAGTTTCTATTTTTTTGCTGTAAACCAGTGTTATTATTATTATTTGTTCAACTATACACTGCACGTCAAAATTAAGGCATAATAGGTAAAAAAAATTTAACTCTAAAACGCCTTTACGGCCATTTCAAGCGGATGGACGGGACAAATCACAAAACTGTTTTTATAAAAAAAAATGTAGGTAATTTATTATATATTATTTTTGCATCAAAATTGTCAAATATATTCTTCTATTATTAGGCTATACATTAAATAAAAAAAATCGCAAGAAATATTTTATAAAATTAGAGATAATTTCAATAATTGACAGGGGTGGACGGGACAAGATAAATCTTTTTTTTGTCCCGTCCACACCTTTCAATTATTAAAATTATATCTACTTTCATAAAATATTTCTTGCGTTTTTTTTATTTAATGTATAACCTAATAAAAGAAGAATATTTTTGACAATTTTGATGCCAAAATATTATACAAGGTGTCCCTAAACTTAGTGGCATAAATTTAGGAGCTGATTAAGCAAGTCAAAATAAGACGAAAATCTAAATAAATATTTTTCCTAATTGCGTTTGTTTAAAAGATACAGGGTGATAAAGTGTTACTTATCATGTCAGTTTTTTTAATATAACTTCTACTATGGTAGACTTGGAAAGGTGATATTTTGCGAACAGTCACTACCAAAACACATATTCACACATAATTACGATTGTTCGAGTGAGGGCAGTGTCGTAGGCTTTTATAGCATTAGATGCAATTTTTTGATTACTCAGTTTGGCTACTAATAAAAAGGTGTACCTCTCAAACTTTGATAAAATAAACCGTTTCCGAGATTAATATTCGAGATAACAATAATTGTTATATCGCATTAATGGACTAAAAGGTATATGATAACAAATTTTTTAATTGAACAAACTACAATTTTTTTTTAATGTGACGGTTAGCGCAAAAAATCCCGAGTCTCATAAAATGCCCTTTTTAGTTTTCTCAATTAAAAAATAAAATTTGTTATCATGTACCTTTTAATAATGCGATTTAACAATTATTGTAATCTCGAATATCTCGGAAACGGTTTATTTTATCGAAGTTTGAGAGGTACACCTTTTTAATAGTAGCCGAACTGAGTGATCGAAAAATTGCATTAAATGTTATAAAAACCTAACCTCAAAGTTTGTATGGGACAATAAGCTTAAAGCAACCCCCGTTTCTACGACACTGTGTTCACTCAAACAATTCTAATTATGTGTGAATATGTGTTTTGGTAGTACCTAAGTGACTGTTCGCAAAATCTCACCTTTCCAAGACTACCATAGTAGAAGATATATCAAAAAAACTGATATAAGTAAAACTTTATCACCCTGTATCTTGGAAACATAAGTAATTAGGAAAAATATTTATTTAGGTTTTCGTCTTATTTTGACTTTCTTAATCTTTACCTAAATTTATGCCAATAAGTTTAGGGACACCTTGTATAATAATAATCTACAATTTTTTTTATAAAAACAGTTTTGTAATTCGTGCGTTTCGCGCGGTTGAAATGGCCGTTTACCAAACTTTATGAAAATTTGTGTAAAAATACTTCAACTATATCTCAGTTTACGTGTTTGAGGGTTTTTCGAGAAAATATTTTTAAAGCCCTTTTATTTTATTTTATTTTCACACAAATTTTCATGAAGATTGGTAAAGGCGTTTTAGAGTTAGAATAACTTTTTTACTTATTATGCGTATAATTATATAACTTGTTAATTTTTTTTTTGTTGTAAAGACCTAGATTGATAGCCCTTTGGTTAAACCAAAGAAGACTTTTTTTTAGTATTTTTATGGATTAGTAAAATATTTTATTTATATTCACAAACTATTGTAATATGTTTGGTTTTCAATGATCAAAAATGAAAAAAGTTCTATAGGTCATATTTCCTGTCCGGAAAATTTTACATTTTGATTGGATTTTTTATTAGTTTTTTAATTAAATAATAAAGGTATAGGCCTAAAACTATTTAACATTTTATTTAGGATAATATGATTGGTACCTTAGAATGACAAGGTTACAAGTGAAAATGCAATCTGCAATATAATTTAAAATTGTAGAGAAGTCATTTACGCCTAACAGTGCAGCTGAACTTAAAACCTTGTCAATCCAAGGTACCGTGATTTTAAACACGAAAATTTTCATTTTAAATAAAAGCGAATTGTTAAGGCGTCATTAGTATGCCGAAGTTTAAATTTGAATTAGCCACGTTTTAAATTAACGCGGAAAACGAATAGGCGGCGTAAAGATAGGTACCCATGTTTTTGATTGGTGGAGAGAGAGAGAAAGAGAGAAAGGCCATTTTGACATTTGTTTCATTGTTGTGGAATGTGATCTGTTCGGGCTTATAGTTAATATAGTTGATTTTCATGACACGATAAAGTTGTTTAAATGTTACTATAATAATATAATGTTACCAGATTCTGATTTGTTTTAATAATTTTTCCACCCCTAACGTATTTTTTTAAGTGTATTGATTTGGTAGTTTTAAGGTAGATTTATAAAACATGACAAAAAATATAATACCATTTTTTGTATTAGGTAATTTTTGGCAGATATAAAATATTTACCCATTTTGCAAATAGCCGCTTGAAGTTGGTAAATGAACACAAATCAAAGACGCCAAATACCCAGAGCATGGACCAATCTACATATTTAGCCAAATATTTAGGAGAATACATTAACAAATATGAACCCATTAAATAAATGTTAAAATAAGTTATAACTGTTTTATAAAATTACAGACAACAAATTTAGGGATTGTGTTTAATTTTATTAAAAGCTCCTGTAAATGCCCTGGTAGTGTTTTTTTCAGAATTAAGTAAATTAATATTTTATAAAAATTAAAATAGTAATATTAGTATCCTTATTATTTTACCTGTATGTTTGGCTGCTTCAATCATTTCTTCCAAAGTATTATTAATAATTTGAACAGATTTTTCTTGATAAATGTCATAGGTGTCCCCAGTTTCAAGTTCTTTTAATTCTATTTGTTTGAACATAAATGGCCTTACAGTAGTCAAAGTAATGGGCTGCATATCAAATTTCTTTTTGTAAACCCTTAAGAACCCAATTTGCTTTTTAATTGATTCTCCTTCAGCCAAAGACGTGGCAACTGAGCTCCCAGGTTGACAAATCCAAACCCCTTTATCAGTACCTTCAGGCACAATTTTGCAGTCGTGTTCATGGCCCCAAATAACCAAATCCAAAAAATCTGGCAATGTTTTATCAGGGATAAAATTTTTCACCCCTCTGTTAGCTCGATTTTGATGCCAAACTAATAAATGGAACCATTCTTTTATGTCTGGTGGTGACATCATTTTAACTTTTCCATCCAAAAACATTCTACCCAATCTCTCATCTTTTACATGTGACATCCCATATAAAGCCAATTGTGTCTCCCCCTTTCTAAGCAGAATTGGTTCAACATCAATTTTCTTTAAATCAGTGACACGACCAAAGTAATTTACTAATCCAGTGCTACTGATTAGATCCATGGCAGAAATTAATTTTGGGCCTGATGGGTCATCATGATTACCATGAATGGAAAAGACAGGTATTGCGATATTCAAGTTGGGGTCTTCATAGTTAACACTTAGGGAAGTATTGCCTTTAAAAGCAGCTGCTTGATCTGACAGAAACTCAATTTCTATTGGTTTATTGCCCAAGCAATATTTCCTGAGCAATTCTGTGCATTTAAAAATACAATATGGACTTGGTTTGGTATCGTGAAATAAGTCACCACCAAGAAGTACAAAATCCACTTCTAATTTTTGTGCTTTTTCCAAAATTTCTTCAAAAGCACGAAAACTATCGTCTCCTAAAAATATACTCTCGATTAGTTGAAACAACTTAAATTATTAATATTTAACCTCTAATTGCATCCTTCTCATTGTATCCCAAATGAATATCGGTAGCCACCAAAATTCTAAATATATCATCCTCAGGTGCATCTGAACTAACATTAGATGCATCTGACTGTTGAGAAGATTGAGTATTACTTGCCATCGATATTTTATTATATATATATATATATATAACACAAAACAACCTTTAAACGAATACAAAAACAACACTAATTTTAAAACCTCAACAAATTTTAGCGCGTAGACAAATGACATGTATAACGTGACATCTAGTACATTACTTATAAAGCTTGTACTTTAGTAGAGTAATGATAGATGGCAACAGTGTTGCCAACATCAAAATAAAAATTATGGTACACATCACAATCACCACAACATTGTGGTACACATTTAGAAAAATTATGCATTATGGTACGCACCAAACAAATATTATGGTATATTTTAGGACTTTAAAATTCAAACAACTAGGCACTTTAAGAAAAGTCATATTTATTTTAACACAAACTTTGATAAAATAAAATAAATTAGATACAAACAAAAAAATAAACTTTGGTAAAAAAAATAATAAATTATAATTTATTTATTTATTTATTAAAAAAAAAAAATAAATTATAATTTATTTATTTATTTATTATAATTAAATTTAAAATATATTTTAAATTTAATCAATTAATTAATAAAAATAATATCGCATTCATCCCAGTCTTGATTATTGAATAAATTATCTTTAGAGGGGTCAAAATTTATACAATTTTTTTTAAATTTTTATACCGCTTGAACAAATCTTTTCTTAAAAGCCACAGAGGTGAAAAACAAAAGTTTGAATAGAAAAGAACATAACAGTTATAACTGCTGCAAACCTAGAACATTAATTTTCATTAACAGCTGTTTATGAAAATTTAAACGATGTGGCTCCCGTCCCGAGGCGGGACTTAACTTCGATCCCGACTGATGTCACACACTGTAAATCCGTTTTTATTCCCCGAGCTTTTAAAATTGGTGTCAAGCTGGATGGCTCAGATGGTAGGGCGGTCGCTTGGCATGCGAGAGGTACCGGGTTCGATTAAACTAGAAGTTATCAAACTTTTTTTATTTTATAAATTTGTTGATTCTTTGTTAAAAAGTGTTGGGTTGGACGGAAAATAAATTAGGCAACATTGCGATCAGTCCTGCCAGTACAGTTTTAAATTTCGATGTGGCTCCCGTCCCGAGGCGGGACTTAACTTCGATCCCGACTGATGTCACACACTGTAAATCCGTTTTTATTCCCCGAGCTTTTAAAATTGGTGTCAAGCTGGATGGCTCACATGGTAGGGCGGTCGCTTCCACAGAACATTGTGTCTATACTTTTACACATAATATGCCTATATTAAGTCTATCTTTAAGTTGAAAAGGGTAATCTTGTAAGAAAAAGAACAAGGAAACCAGCTATATTGCAAATAATGTATATACACATATTATGTGTATACAGGGTGTTTCTTTTAACTTGAGACATCTCAATATCTCGAGAAATACGCATTTCACGGAAAAATGTCTTAAATAAAAGGTTAATGTGACTAAAGGGGACATTATTTGGTGCTACCGCTAGCCACTCCCTACCCCTCCTTAAGGGTGAAACGGGGGGTAACTTTGGAAAGTCAAATGGAATGACCCGATTTTTTTCACAGAGTTTGGTAGTACGAACATTAGTTATAAATTGTTTTCAGAGCCGACTATTGTTGATTTAATGTTAATTTTTATTTTTCAAACGTTTCAAATAATACATTTTACAAGGAAACCCCTTTTTCTTAAATTTTGAATTACAGCGCCATCTGTTGATAAATTGAAAAAAACTTTCAAATAAAAGTTATTCATTTTTTTATGTACTACCAAACTCCGTGAAAAAAATCGGGTCATTCCATTTGACTTTCCAAAGTTACCCCCCGTTTCACCCTTAAGGAGGGGTAGGGGGTGGCTAGCGGTAGCACCAAATAATGTCCCCTTTGGTCACATTAACCTTTTATTTAAGACATTTTTCCGTGAAATGCGTATTTCTCGAGATATTGAGCTGTCTCATGTTAAAAGAAACACCCTGTATACATTATTTGCAATATAGCTGGTTTCCTTGTTCTTTTTTTTACATGGGCCTTCAAGTCACTAAAAGTCCGCAACAAGTAACAAATAATTATTTTAAGATTACCCTTTTCAACTTAAGGATAGACTTAATAATAGATAGGCTTGTCCCGCCAGAAGATCTTTAACTATAAAAACGGGATATTTTGAATTAGAATCGGTAGATCTACCGATAAATTGGTAGAGGTGGCAGCACTGCAGTGACCTACCTACCTACCTACCGGCAGCCAAACACCCGCACCCATAAAAATCAAAATTTTATTAGGTAAGTAAGCACATGCGTATCCTCAATTTATTCTATTAATAGTATTAATTTAATACCTACTTTAAAAGGGACTAATTATTCAATAAAGACCAACACACAATCGTAATCACAGAGGTCCTTTGTGATTGTAATTTTAACCTTATATAGGTATGCGTTACGAACACACATAAGCACAATATACAATATACAATATGTATGTATAATAATATATTATATGTGCTTATGTGTGTGGGTAACGCAATTCCTAGGACGCAAATAAATACATTACAAAGACAAAGTTAAGAAAAATAAAAAATATTTTTTAATTTTATTTAAGGTACCTATTTGAAAAACTTTGATAAAACACATGTTGCAAAGAAAAATGTTGCAAAGAAAAATGTTGCAAGGAAAAATGTAATGTAATGTAATGTAATGTAATTGCATATTTTTAAGATTTTAATTGCATATTTTTAAGCATAGGTATACCTATGCCTATACTTATATTGGAAGAAATTTCTTGCTTAAGCAAATTTAAAATATCTATTAGGTATAATTATATATATATATATATATATATATATATTAATACCTATACCCATTGTGCCTATAACTATACTTATAAAATTTAATGTGTATTTTTGAACTTTCTTTGTTTGCGTTGTTGTCACTGTCACACAACAAAAGATCAATATTTATTTAAATAATTTTTGATCTCTTAAAAAATACGTTTACTTCAAATTGCTATCAATATTCCAAAGCAAATTGATTTAGTAGAGAAGATATTACGTATTTAATTGTAGATTTGTAACAAATAATTATTTTTCCCAGAATCCCTTGTTCGTCGACAACGTGGCAACACTGCGTTTTTCTGTGTTTTTGCTTCGACGGCTGTCAAATAAATAATTGTCCAGTAATCAGCTGACGTTTGCAGAGGCAACAATCATGAACTTGATAATATTTTTGTTGGTGTTTACGAGATATTTCGTGGTAAATGGTAGTGCGGAAATAGAAAAACACATAAAAACAATACACGGAAATCCGGATGTCAACGAAGGCTTGCAAAAAACTCATGTTTTTACCGCGGATTTGTCAGACAATGATGGGGCTGTGCAAAACAGACATAAAAGGGCTGTCAATGGAGTAAATGATACAAAAGTTATAACAAAAGTAAGTAACATATTTAACATATTATAATAACATATGAAACATACAATTGTGCGAATACTGTATTCCGCCCCCTACAATACTAGAAAATGCTAGTAAGGTTATTTTCATACGCGGTTTTTACCGGCTATCCAACAATTATGTCCTTTGTTTCATTATTAATAACAAAGAATAGCATATTGTTTGTTTACTTTAAAAATAAATGTTTGTTTTGTTACAATTATAGATTATGAGCATTTAAAATAGATTGTTGTCGCATTATTACCTAGAAATAGATCCAATTTGCTTAATTCTTATTTGTTTTTATTGACTCATCAATTTAAACAAATCATAAATATTGGTTCAAAGCCTAAAATAAATAATATAATGTAATACCTAATATACGAATATTTAATTATAGTAAGCGCAATTTTGTATACGTACAGGGCGTTTTAAAATTATCGAATCAGCGTTTAATAATTTGAAATTTGGTTAAAATTTTATATAGGAATTTATTATTAACATTATTAATTCATATACTTGGTTGTAAATTATTTTATTTGAAGTTTAAAGAACATCAAAATTTAGAAGATACTCATTTGAAAATAAACATGTCTATAATATACTTAGTCATAAATTTGTGAACCAAGCACAGACATTACAATTATTTCTAGGGTATAGTCGCCGCGGCGTATGTGGGATGTATCCCGGACCTATGTCAACAAACCGGGTTTTTAAATTGATGACGGAACGGAAAACATTCGCCGCGGCGACTATAGTAGGGCACAAGGTTTTATATGGTCTAAATATTCCCTATTAAACCCTACTCAATGATAAAACTGTAAAATATTCGACATTAATTTATGTATCTATGATTTACTTTGTTTATTGTAAAGATTTATTGTAATTGTTTGATTTAATTAATTTTATTTCATACATAAGTAGGAAATAAGTTATAACGTCATTAAGTTATTAAAGTTATAACATCATTAACGTAAAATATCCTGTATTTTGTAGTTATAACTAGTATATATAATTTTGATTACTGTCCAGGAAGTATAAAGACTAGGGATGTCCCACTAAATCCGACCAATTCGACCGGTTGGCCGGAATTTTAGAAAACCTAAAATAGGTTAAAATTAAATAAAAAGCTTAAATCTGTCAATTCCTTACTTCGGGGGACATCCATTAATGGGGGGAAGGGGTCCAGCAAAATCTTACCAAATCTCATTTTGAGGGAGGGAGGGTGCTCATTTAAAATCTTGCGTCAACTTTTGAGTTTAAAAAATAAGTACCTATTGGGTCATTCCAGGTTACTCGGGGATTTTTATCCCGCCCGTCACAATTAAAAATTTTGAGTAAAAACTACACGTTATAAAATTTATTTTAAAATATTGTTTATTATGCTTTTAATAAGTTATAAGCACAATAAAAATAATATTGGGTCAGAATTTCTCAAACGGGCCACCTGAATTAGGTCAAAATTAGTTTTTGTTTGTAGATACATTTTTTTGATAGTATTTTACATCACTAACACAAATCCTAAAGGATTTTGTAAAAAAAAATTTTCAATTGACATATTCATGATATTAAAAGTCAAAGTTTTTAATAATTAAAAAATAAAAAAATTCATTATGGCTGAACTAATTATCCGATTCCAACGATATAACTAGCGTTGGAATCTTGTTTTGACATAGATTTTCAATTGTCCTATTTTCATTTAGGTCGATTTTTTTTTGTTTTTTTTATACCAAATTCGGAAATAATTGCCTTCTGCGCCAGCTATCGACTCGAGAAAAAAAACACATATACTCCAATCATTTCTCGAAATTATGCTGCTGAGAAAAAAAATGGCCCGCAGGTTGACAAAAAGTTATTCGTCCTTTTGAGGCCGCGCGCGGTGTCAGCTCACGCTCTGAACCGTGTACGCTGTACGCGCTTGTGACGCGACGTCTTACGGTGGTCTGGAACCTGCGGGCCATTTTTTTTCTCAGCAGCATAATTTCGAAAAATGATTGGAGTATATGTGTTTTTTTTTCGAGTCGATAGCTGGCGCAGAAGCCAATTATTTCCGAATTTGTTATAAAAAAAACAAAAAAAAATCGACCTACATGAAAATTGTACAATTGAAAAAAATAACAAAGAATCTATGTCAAAACAAGATTCCAACGCTAGTTAAATCGTTGGAATCGGATAATTAGTTTAGCCATAATGATTTTTTTTTATTTTTTAATTACTAAAACTTTTACTTTTAATATCATGAATATGTCAATTGAAAATTTTTTTTTTACAAAATCCTTTAGGATTTGTGTTAGTGATGTAAAATACTATCGAAAAAATGTATCTACAATCAAAAACTAATTTTGACCTAATTCAGGTGGCCCGTTTGAGAAATTCTGACCCTATTATAAAAATAACCGAGTAACGTGGAATGCCCCTATTGTAATTCAAATTTGTTAAAAAAAAAATAATATTTTTTTTACATGTCCGAAATTCATGGCTAGAATCTCACGTGAGGGATAGGGGGGGTCTACCACATCTCACCAAATCTCACCAAGGGATAACATAATTAATGGATGTCCCCTTATCTGACTAAAACACACGTTTTATAGTGCAGTGTAGATGATAAAGTTTCCAACCTTGATAAGGTTAAATTTTACTGTCTCCATAGGTACGCGAAAGTACCTACGTAGGTGTTTCTACGGCTAGCCTTGCAAAACACCCACAAATGGATGGCAGGAAAATATACTACTACATCCCTAGCAGCGAACTTTTACATCCGTTGCTTTCGTTAATGACGCGCCAAATGCAGCAAATTGTCAGATGTCATACATGTCAAAATATAATAATTTTAAAAGTTTTAATGTAAGAGGAAAAATAAAATTTAAACCATAGCGGTAAAGTGTTTTTTAGGCTTCAAATAGAATACACTGTACAGTGTACATTTCTTCTTTTAGCCTGGAAAAATGCCACTTTACCGCCTAGGTTATTAATATAATAATTTTTCCTGTCAATCCATTTGTGGGTGTTTTGCATACTAGCCGTAGAAATACCTACTTGCTCGTCCCAATGGAGACGGTAAAATTCAACTTTATAGTAGTGTAGGAAAAAAACATTTTGAACTTTATTAACTACACTGCAGTGCAGTGACTGCCCTAAAAAACGTTTAACGTATACGTTACACGTTTTTCAGTGCAATGATGTCAGATAAGTAATAAAATAAATTCTTTTATTTTAATGTTTTTCGTTTTTGTTTTATTGAATTTTAAACAGATATTAATAAATTATATGAAGGTAAATACAAATTATGCGCATGACAGGTAACACTTAAGTGTTAAGTGTTACTTGTAAAGCTTGTACAACCGAGCGTGCACTCCGGGCATATACTTGCTGCTTTCTAACAGTTGACAGTTGTATATATCTAGGAGTTTTCGAACCCGGTCCAGAACAGCATAGGGGCGTGGCTATCTAACTATCTCACTCGACACATTATATTTATTGCTATAATTGTTGTTATATCTTGTTATATTTATATTTTGATATATAACTATAATGGTATAACTCGAGGTATAACTATAAAATAACAAATTGTTAAACCTAAACTCGACCTAAACATATATTTTTAAATCTAATGCCTGAGCACAATTCAGCGCATGGATATAGTTACCCATGCTTAGTATAGATTTTAAATTGGATCGTTTTGTTCGTGTTCTGCATGTATACATATATGGTTTATGACCGGCTAAACGTGAATGCATACAGATTTAGGGATTCCCCTGTTTGCTGAAAGCGAAGCAACCAACCGAATGAGGGGAAAGGCTGCACTGTTCCCAGTTTTATAAATATTTTGATATAGAACAGCAAAATATGCGTAAAATGTGACATTTTAAATGTCCCGATTCGGCCGAAACTCCGGTTCCCTAATAAAGACAACCAAAATTATATAACTTTACAAAATACAGAATATTTTACCTTAATGAAGTTCTGTTTGATTCTTTATGTCAATTTGTAAAGTTTACGTTGTTCACATTGTTGTGGTTTGGGTAAAAATTTAAAATATATCCTAATCGCACCTTGCCATATTCTTTTTAAATATTCATCGCCAAGTTAGTAAAACTGGTACTTTCTGTTAAGGTAATTCAGTAGACCTCAAACTGACAAAACACTTGAAATTGAGGAAGTGGTACTGTAGTAATTGACGAACATCCTGAGACGAGTACAAGGAAGATGCTTGAATGCATATTTTTTGTTGAATTTTGGTTGTTTTTTTTTATATCTGTCTTTTTCAGTTAATGTATTGACATGAATTATCGGTAATAATCTTATTGTTTATTTTTTTCTGCTAAGATGCCGTGAACTACCTTTGTTATTTGTTATGAAAATGTACCAATTGTAATAAGGAATAAAGTATATGCACAATGGGCTTCTGTCCATTATAGTTTATTTGTTGGCGGCCACTTAAATGCAGTTTATCCTAATCGTTAAATAGATCGTGGATGACCTTAGTAATGACCAGCAATATCCCCCGATCTAAATTCTTTATATTTCTGCTTAGGGGCTCATTTTAAAACTTGTGTATAAACCTCCCATAAAATCCTGCCTCGAAACAATACGAAATACGCCGGGTATACTAAGTAAAGGTGTCTATTTCCAACATTTTTATAATACAAAATTTTTAGTTTTTATTACATTTTAATAGTTATTTATGTCATAAGGCCGATAAATACTCAATTGTAGCTCAGCACAAAAAGACACTTCTCAGCCAAATTGCATACAATGTTTTATCTTTGAGCCACAACGATACATAAAACATACCATTATAACAATAATTATTAAAAAGAAAAGTAGAAAGTGAGGTTTGATAGAAATGACAGTAGTCGAATTTTTTGATTGGCCAAACAGGATTTTACAGACTAGGGAGTAAAAAACGTTACCCGATTGGAATAAATTATTTTTTCTACTCCCACCTTTAAAACGCCCTTTATCGTACATGTTTCGATGACACTGAGTGACCTTTTAAATACACATTGACAAGTTGTGGCTTTATGGCGCTTTAGTCACGGGCTGAAGTTAGCAACAGGTTTTTAGTCACGGGCTGAAGTTAGTTTTAAGTTAGCTGACAGTTGTCAAATGTCATACAATCGTTAAAATAAATTGCCTTTCTTGTAAAATAAAACTAAATGTGAAAATTATTTTATTATCTCAATGCAAAAATATAAAAGTATTAAATAGTTTCTCAACGCCAATATTTGAAAAGTTTATATGAACATTGTACTGACCTTTTAATTTCGCCGGCAGTAAACTATAACTTATATTCAGGCACGGACTCCACTGTAAAGTGCTCATAAAACATTTTCTTTACTTTCACTGTGAAAAACTAAAAATTTTCAAGAAATACATTTCGATTTATAACCTTTATAATCTGTGTTTATAAAATGTAAAAATTTGACATTTGACGGTGACACAGATTCCCCTATTGTTTCATAGATGGCGCTCTATAAAAATATTTTATTTAAATCATTTTAAGATAATAATAAGTATTTGTCGTAGAAAAAGTATAGTATGCACCTCCTTTATAAACTTGTCTATACACTCATTAATTTAGGAACTCGCTCGCAAGCTCGCTCGTGTCTAAATTAAATTCGTGTATAAAATGGCGTTTATCAAACTTAATACATAATATACTATTTACAGCTTGGGCGATAATCAGTCAATTTAGTAGTAGGTAGCAAAGATAATACACCCCATAGATTGGAAACTACACTAGCGCTAGCGGCAAAAGGCTAAAGTAAATTAACGCCATCTAGGTCTACAATACCCTTAGCAATGCCAAAAATTGAAGTAGATTTCTGTAACATATTGGCGCCATATTTGAATATTGATGCTTTGTAGGGTGCCTTTATACAGTGCTTGCAAATCCAAGTCCGACCACGTTGGGAAGGATGGTTGTTCAATACCCGCGTGAAAAGAATAAGGATAGAATGCCAAACAGAGTTTGATTGGCCAGAGCGTCAGGCGTGCGTATTGTAAACGCCTTCTGTTTGGCGTTCTCTCCTTGTTATTTTCACGCGTCTTTCTCAAACCGGTCGGACTTGGATTTGCAAGCACTGTATATTGTATTTACTGCTGTATTTTAAATAAAACAAGTATGGATATAATATTTATTTATTGTATTAACAATATAATATAAAATACATACATACATCTTTATACACATAATCTGTATACATGAATATGTTAACATATAGGAATTTGTACAAGGCTTTTGAGTGTGGACTTTTGGCAAGTTCTAACCAACCGTGAAAAATCTATCTTGCCAACTATTGGTTTTGAAATAACCATAAGTAGCCTGGGCTTGGCCTGGACTAAATTACCATTAAAAAAGCAATCCTAAATAATACATAATTAACAAAAAGTATTTTTACGCTAGAGCGATACTGCCGCGGCTAAGCCAAAAAGACGCAACTCCACATTTTTACTTTATAAATTATAGCGCTTTATGGTTTTTTTCCAAGATACGATCAATTTAATAAGAAATTTTTAGGAGCTATAGTACTTAAAAATGTATAAATAGTTAAAATTTGTCTTTTTTTCTAAGAGAATAATTTAATAATAACGAGATGAGCCTTTTGACTTAGGACGGCAGGATAGTCAATACTTACAAATTGGTTACATTTCCGCGCCCAACAACAATACATTTCACAACCATTAACACGTTTTATCACTTTTAAGGCGCAAAAATGTATTTAATAATTCAAAAATTATGATCGACATCAATAATTATGATTGACATTGACATTTGCAAATAGCGTTTGTACAGATGTCTGCAATTTAAAAATAGATATAGTTCAGGTATTGTAGAACTAGAGGGCAGTGGTGGGAGAGTTTCCAATCTATGGGGTGTATTATCTTTGGTAGGTAGGTGTTGACAATAATAAAGTGATATATCGCTTTGAAAGGTTGGCGAAATGATTGCCAGGCGTCCGGCTTTTTGTTGTTTAACTAATAATTAAAACTGGTTAATTTTGTAACAAAACTGTGATTCATTTGTATGTAATTAAGACGAATGTAGGCAAATTTCAGAACGAATAAATAATGTTGATGCAACCTAAATAAAATGCAGCAAAAATTTAATATATTTTGACCGGTCAAATAGCAAGCGGTACATTGACGGCCAATTGACCATCCCCAACTGTAATAATGGCGCAGTTAAACGTTTTAGACAATATGCGCAAATATAGCCCCTAATTTTAAGTAATGCCCAGTAACCTTGGGCCTATAATTATTCAACATATTTTCACAGATATGAGGCCATTTGCATTTCAGCATTTTACCTTGCATATAATTCGGTCTTTATTATAAATAACTTCCTAGACATATTTTGTTGCTATGATTAACCTAATGCATAGTTAATTTTTTTAATTAATTTTGTTAAATCCTGTTTTCTTATGAATTACAATAATTATGCTTATTTCCAGTTTCCATTCCGTTTTGTTTCTGATGTTTTACGTCATTTAATATGATTAGATTACAATAATTACATAAATAAAGCTAATAATTTTTATTGTTTTCGATACTCTTTACAATAATTATAATAACATACTATATAGGTAGGTGATCCACCGATGCTAATAATTATAATTATTAAAACCTTTTGACACTAAGCAGATTAATTATGTATCCGATTGTAATATAGAAAATTTGTTTTTATTAGGTTTTACTTTTTTTTAACTCTTAATTGCGGACGATTATTACATTAGGTCCAAGTGTCTCATTATGTCCCATAAAACAGTTCTTCCCAACCTTTAAACTACTACATATTCCCACAAATTCTTTTTCTTTCAAGCCTTCCTATCTATTTTTATAATACACTCACCGGCAAGAAAAAACGACCACCAGAAATTGGCCACACATTTTACGAACCGCTCATCTGTTTTTGATGATTTTTTTAATTGTAGGCTTAAATTTGAAAATATACAGAGTGCAAAAGTAAGCAGACGTTTTTTTCCGAAATTGATATTAGGACTATGGTTACCAGATTCTGTCAAAAAAATCGGGACATTTTGTGTGAATTACAAAACTGACACATACAACAATAATTAAGTAACGTCAAACTTACAATTTGCATTGTATTATTATGTCAATTTTGTAATTAAGAGAAATTCATACAAAATGCCCCGATTTTTTTTTGACAGAATCTGGTAACACTAATTAGAACGGTCATATTCCATAATAGGAGTAGAAGAAGGTATTTTTTTATTTAACAACCTTTGACAACTTTTACTGTCATATTTTAAAATAACTGACATCCGTTTCAACGAATGTCGAGTTTACACTCATTTTTGTTTCATGCGAAGACTTTATCCGGTGTGTTTGCTTTAAAACAGTCTATCTTCATTAATATCAGAGATATTAACGCGAATGAAAAACAAATTGTTCAGAAAGGATGGACTACGGTTCACGAGAGCAGAATATGCGATTCCAAATGTTTTTCAGACTATACTTCTTATACGTTTTCAAAAAATAATTTAACTGGAAGAAAGTAGGGTTGGATCGTTCTAAAAGTTGTTAAACATTAAACACAAAGATGTCGCCACCAGTATTTATTCCGTCATCCGATGATAGAATAATTCATTCTATCACTTTTAGGAATATATGTCATTCCACATTAAAAAGTGATATTAGAACGGTCATACTCCGTAATAGGAGTAGAAAAAAACTTTTCCCGAAAAAGAGTTAATTTTACGGGAATTTTGTGTTGGTGACATTTTTTATAATATTCATTAGTAGGATTTAATAATTAAATGAATATGATAAAAAAAATAATTGTTGGGAAACCTTACAAAAAAGAAAAATATCTTTTAGTTATTTTGTTTAAAATATGATAAAACGACATTAACTAACGATAAATATAAAGAAACAATCCACTTATAATAAATGTAACATGTCAGCAGAATATTTAGGGTATATACCAAAATGTGAAGGGGATTCACTGGGCGATCAAATTTTTAAGAGGCCTATACAGTAGTCGAGACATAACAATTTTAACATTATAATAGTTATTTATGTCATTAGGCCAAGAAGGGAGTCTTTTTACGCTAAAACAATTATTAAAAAAGGTTAAATTCGACATCTGCAAATTTTATGATTGTATACGAGGGGCAAGAAAATGTCTCCCAATTTAAAACCAGATTGGTCAAAATCTCAGTGAATAAAGAAATCGGCAATCATTGACGCCTAACAATCGAAGCACTTGTTACAAAAACAAATTGTTATTTACGTACACTTACATATTAATTTAATGTTTTAAGGCAGTAATCATTAATTTGTCCAGATAATGTAATGATATTAAAAATAGATATTTTTATGACAAATCATTAGGTTCAAACAGCACAAATCTATCTTTTTGAGTTTTTAAGATCTGATTGTTTTAAATATTAAAAACATAAAAATAAAATTGGACCATGGCCGTTTTGGCCTCAATTAATTACTAGACTCATTCAAGTTTTTATCTGTTTACTGCTGAATGTTATGTGCCTGTGCAATAACCAATCACTTCAGTTTCGATTGTGACGACAATAAAGTTTAATTTATTAATACTATTAGCCATTGTGAACCTATTTTTTTGCAGGTATAGTTTTACCTTCTTTACCATCGTTTTTTTTTCAGATAAAACACCTGAACGACACCCATAAACAGTTGATGGTGCATTGGGTGGGCGAAGGTAGCAACGTCATCATTTGTTTGGCTCGCGATCCAGCCCCCTTTTCGCTATCTTTCGTCGTCGTGCCCGTCAGCCCGTCGGCAGTGTACATTTCCTACGACTACGGCGACACCTACGAAAACAAGACCGAACTTTTCAAGCTGAAAAATGGGACTTACGCGACATTGGAAAAATTCTACAACCATCCCAAATTTAATACACATGTAAGAAAGGAGGATAAATTAACTTTTTAAATGACCTATATTAGGTTGTTGATTTGGTACTAAATCGTCTAAGAATCAACCTTCACTAGGTCACTTAAAACTTCAGAATCAATATATCACAGTGTTATTAGTCATGATACTGAACTATTTTTTTTTAGTTTGTTTTTACCGACATTCGTCATAACATGCTGTTTGTGACGAAAGATCATGGGAAGACGTTCACGAGATACGAGCTGAACTTTACGCCGAGCGATGTTTCATTCTGTGAATCAGATTCTGACACTTTTGTGGCTCTCGATAAAAACAACACAGAACACCAGGTTTGTATACCAAACTACTTTATTACAATGAACTTAATTTTATTAATATAATATAATTTCAAAGGTTGATTAAGGCAATTTTTCTTTTTTGAATATTATGGCTATTCTTTAGATTTTAGCATATTTTACTTATGAACTGCTGATGGGTCATCAATGATGACTCATGAGCTTTTTTTACTGTACATTGTTATAAATAATTATAATAATACCTTATAATATAATATAATATATTATATTATATAGGTAATTATATAGCCTACATAATATAGGTAGTGGTTTTGGGCACCTACTGTGGTGCAGGAAAAAAGTATTTTGGTATAAGAAAAATTGTCCACTTTGACCATTGAACTTTTATGTAAAATTAATTATTTTAATGGCACTGTAGATTCTACAGTGTAGAACTTTTGCCTGAAACAATATATAATATATACCCTGTATATTATACAGGGTTTTTCACATTCGTGGTTCATTAAACGTTACTATTGAATGAAAAAATATATTGATTTGAAATTTTAAAAGCAGTTATTTAAGTCTATTTTTCTAAAATATTTTCGGTTAACCGAAAGTGACTTATTAAAAACATTCATCAGCCAAACATTTTAAAAATGTTATACAAACAGTATTTGCTAATTTAAAAAAAAACTCAACAAAGCTGTAGCATGTCAACTAGATAAAGCACTGGAGGCAATAAAATATAAAAATTATTTTATGAAATATTTTAATAACAAAAAATATGCGCACCTAAGTGTAACATTTTAATAAACCAACAATATTTTAATTAACAATTTTTATTACTAATTTATTATTAAATGTTTAAAGCGTCCTCCATTTACATTTAAGCATTTCTTAATTCTTACTTCTACATTAGACGACTAAAATATTGTTGGTTTATTAGATTGTTACAGTTACGCATTCTTATTTGTTATTAAAATATTTCATAAAATAAATTTTATATTTTATTGTCTAGTACTTCATCTAGTTGACATCCTACAGCTTTGTTGATTTTTTTTTTCAAAATAGCAAATACTGTTTGCATTACTTTTAAATTTCTAAAATATTTGGCTTGTCAGTTTTTTTTATAAGTCACTAACTGCTATTTTTTATCAGTAATTTTGTTAACAAATTGTTTATAACAACCCGAAAAATTGACACCAATGACAGATTACGTCACAGGTTTCTTGATACAAAATAATATTTAAAATTTTAGAAATTGTTAAATATCTCTTAAATTATTACTATTACGTATAAGAAATAGTTACATCAATCGAAGGGTTTTTTAATTTACTATGTGATTATGTAAAAACATACCGGGTGTTACATTTAAAATAAAAAAGGTATTAACCTTTCAAGTTGGCCTAATTTGCCCAGGGATTTTTCAGGTAATTTGTTTAAAAATGTTAAAAAATTGACATGGAATCCTTAAAACAATGTTTTAAGATTACAAAAATTCCACCCCATATTCGCAAATTTTAACGAAAAAAATTAATAACTCAAAAACTATTCACTTTAGGTATAGGACATGGTATAGTAATTTTACTCAGAATTTTATGTATAATTTAAAAATGTAAAAATATATGGGGTGTTTTATTTGAAATAACAAAGTTGATGTCACTTCCGGCTAAACCGGAAGTGGCATTTGAGTCATTTTATGCACTCGAAATGCACGAATTACAAAAGTGTTTTTATTAAACGAATTGTTTATAACTTTTGGCATCAAAATTGTCAAAAATATTCTTGTTTAATAAAGCTGTACAATAAATAAAATAAACGCAAAAAATGATAAAAAAAATAATTTTAATAATTGACAGGTGTGGATGGGACAAAAAAAAATATCTTGTCCCATCCACAACTGTCAATTATTAAAATTATCTCTACTTTTATAAAATATTTCTTAAATTTTTTTATTAAATGTATAGCCTAATAAAAGAAGAATTTATTAGACAATTTTGATTCAAACATTTTTTTTTGTCATTTGTCCCGTCCGTATGCTTGAGATGGCCGATTTTGTTCAAAATATTTTAGAAAAATAGTGGATTATAAACGCTTTTAAAATTTCAAATCGACATCTTTTTCCGTTCCCCGGACACAAATGTGGAACACCCTGTATATATAGCAGTTTATTATTTATAAATACCACAGGAAAGTTGTAAAAGTATTAACTCTAAACATTTACAAAAACCAACACTAAAAAAATTAAAATAATGGTATGCCCAAAAACATTACTACAGTAACGCATCGCAAAGCATGTATTTTTATTTTTGTTCAGTTTAAAATAAAGAAAAATTGTTTTTTTTTTCATTATATTATACCATGATATTTGTATTCCATTTTACTTATGTACTTGCACTTGTTAACGAAATTAATTTTATTTATCTCCAATGCCTACCTAAAAGATATCATGTTTTCTTGTAGAATTGTTTCTGAAAATAGGAACTACATGTTTTTTGACCACAACTGTACCTAGTCATGAGTTTCGAGATAATTTAACGCACAGGATGTGTCGGTTGTGACTCAATACGTCCTAACCACTTTGTTAAGTGTTTCTTGTAATCTTAAATTTAAATCATAATATCGTGTAACACGATATTAAACAATAAAAAAATGTTAAATTTTAAATCTTTTAAGTTAATTGCGTAAAACAATTTACCTTTCCGACCAAAAATTTTAAATTATTAATTTTTTATTGTTTGTAAATTTTGTATTTAAAAGTAATTACAGATTGAAAGTTATAGTATATACTATATACTATAGATTATTGTGTACAATATACGTATATATATACGCCGAACGCCTTGAAAGAGAGTGGGGATATTTTGCATCGGCGACGGCACACCGTTTGAGCATATTTTGGGTTTTTCATTTGTAAGTAAAATTATGCTCGAACAGTGCATCCCCATTCTGTTTCAAGGCACTGTTTAACTTTATCGTGAAAATACGGTAAATACTTTTGATATACATATCACATATCGGCCGTTCCATAAATAACTCAACTAAGATATTCAAACAATTTTTTTTTAGAAAATGCTGCAAATAAAATCATGAAAATCTCGTAAACTATTAATAATACGAAAAAAGTTAATGAATGCTTTATGCAATAGAAAATAGAATTTTATAGCCTGATCTTTTCTGAAGATTATCTTTTTTGTTTCCTGAGGGCAAATTCAACATTTTAGCTCCGAGATTTACCTACCTTATTCATAATTATGACACATGATAAAAATGAGCTGTAACAGATGTCTGTCATCTATGATTTTTGATATATGACATCTGTTATAGTTCATTTTTGTCATCTGGCATAATTATAAATAAGAAAGTGTAAAACGCGGAGTAAAAATGTTGAACGCGAATAACTTTTTTCATTAAGAGGGCGCATATGAAATGAAATAATTAAAAAAGCTAGATTAAACAATTACTTTGCAAAAATGACTAGCTGCTTCAAGTTTGGTAAAAGCAAAGCTTGGCTACAAGCCAAACCGAAAAATTTTCATTTTTTAAAATGGCGGCGTAGTGGTATTTTTTGGGGCACGCAAACCCCTGTGGTTTTTACCATATGGCGTTGTGCGAAATATTATATAATAAACCCTGCAACACAATATACAATATATTATGTTGTATTGCAGGGTTTCAAGTACGTTATGGGGGTCGTCAAGGACGTTGCTATAAAACGAGAGAATTAAATCGGAAACGAGCTAAGAAAAGCCATTTCCAGTATTAAAAAAAATAAAACTGACTGATAAAGAGCAGTTCTTTAAATATACAAATGACGGTGCCCATTTTTGACAATTTATCAAGTCTGGTTGCCCCTCGCATAAAAACTAAACTAACAAGGCGAGACTGCCAACTGAAAACTGCCGTGTGATTGGCTGGATTAGCGGTTGAGGTAAGAAATTTCTTACCTAAAGATGAAAGATGGTCATTTCTTGCCGCTACGTTCTTGCCTCTACATCCCTTACCGTTCCCTCTGACAACTATAAATTGTTTCATATAATAATCAATGCCGAACTCGGCTACCGCTACCGCTACCTCTACCGCTACCTTTACCGCTGCCTTTGCCGTTACCTTTAAAACTATAAATCCAGCTTTAGTGTACTAAGCTGGCGCACTTTAAAAATTTATATCTCAACAATGATTTTTTTTTGTTTATTTAGAAATAACTGTATAAATAAAGTTTTTTGTTAATTTTTTTTAAAATGCAATTCTCAGACGTTTAAGCAACAAAGACCATTCAATGATTGTTTTCTTTTACAACATTTTTATGATTTTAAATGGTTAATTAAATGATCGTAATCGTAAGAAAATACAATTGGTATAAAAATGTACTAGAAAATTATACTTTTTTATTATTTATGTTTATTTAATCTTATGAATATAAACAATAGCAGGACTATTTTACTATTATATTGATAAATAGCGGTTTTTATCAAAATATTGATAAGGAATATATGTTTATTTGTGGTTTTGCATAAACATTTACCATGATTAATTTATACTTTTTAATTTTAGCTCTATATTACCGAAAATTTCGGAAATCACTTTCGTAAAATCGACGAGTTCGTAAAATCTTTCAGCTGGTTGAAAGATGCCAACGCACGTCCTCTACTTGTCATCCAAAGAAACACGCCGAACGGTCTCAGCACCATATTATTCTCCGATAACCTTTTTAAAAGCAACAAACAGCAAGTTCACGCTACCAATGTCAAAGATTACTTTCAAAAGGGAGAATATCTTTTCACTACCAAGGATGTAAGCATAGGAGCAAACAAGGTAACATAAACATTTTGTTCGGTTAATCTAAAAAAAGTAAAAATTGAAACATTATATGGTAAAAAAAAACGTTAAATCGATTACAAGATTTAAAAAAATGTATTGCAAAAAAATATAATTTTGTAACTAATACAAAAGTTTAATGAATAACTATTGAATATTATACAGGGTGTTATGCAATTAATGTTATATAATAAAATACTGAATACCTTTTGACATAAGGAGTAAAGGAAAAATATTAAAAAAAATATTTTTCCAAAGATAAAGAAAAAGTATGCATTAGAAGTTTTTTATATTTTTTGTGATACGCCACTGGTTACACACTTGTTTACCTCTGCACACTTGTGTTCTGTGAGTACATAGATACCAACCAACAAAGTAGCTGCGAGTTGCCAGATGTAAAAAATTGTTACTAAAAATTTTTCTTGCAAAAAATAAATAAAAACTCAATAAATACAAAAGTTTTATGCCCTTAAAGCTCTAATACCCTTCTGTATTTATTTACTCATCGAGCTAATAGCTTAAGCAATGATTAGAAAATTTAGTACCTATTTTAAAAAATCCATAACCACAAAATTAATTTTTTCATGTTTTTTTTTTCTGTTTACTCAGATGAAATTGGGACCAGTTCACAGGTTAAACTTTAAACATTTAATTTGTGTAAATAAATTCAAAAGCACTTCCCTTATTTAAAATATTTGCAATTTGAGCACATAACCTAAAATTAGAAAGTAATGCACTAGATTCTGTCATAAAAGTTGGCAGATTTTGTTTGAATTTACCTTCAGTACAAAAATGACATGACCAACAATTAATAAAAAAGCCAAATTGACAATTTCCATTGTTATTTTTGTCATTTTTGTAATTAAGCTAAATTTAAACAATGTTTGTCAACTTTTTTGACAGAATTTGGTTGTTACCAACCATAACATAATAAATTAAATTAGGCAACCAGATTAGACTAAAGTTCCTAGTCGATCAGTGGCGTACTTTTTGGTAGGATAAAGGTTATTATAAATTATTTTTAGTCTTTGGAATTTAGAAAAAAAGTTTTAGGTGCTTCTTTATGGACCCTAAGGAACAACCCATTTTAATATACAAGGTGTCCCTAAACTTAGTGGCATAAATTTAGGAGCAGATTAAGCAAGTCAAAATAAGACGAAAACCTAAATAAATATTTTTCCTAATTACTTATGTTTCCAAGATACAGGGTGATAAAGTGTTACCTATCATATCAGTTTTTTTAATATAACTTCCACTCTGGTAGTCTTGGAAAGGTGATATTTTGCGAACAATCACTTACTACCAAAACACATATTCACACATAATTTCAATTGTTTGAGTGAACACAGTGTCGTAGAAACGGGGGTTGCTTTGAGCTTATTGTCCCATACAAACTTTGAGGTTAGGTTTTTATAACATTTGATACAATTTTTCGATTACACAGTTCGTCTACCATTAAAAAGGTGTACCTCTCAAACTTCGATAAAATAAACCGTTTCCGAGATATTCGAGATTACAATAATTGTTATATCGCATTATTTAAAAGGATTAAAAGGTATATGATAACAAATTTTATTTTATTTTAACTAAAAAACGGCATTCCATGAGCCTCGAGACTTTTTGCCCTGACCGTCACATTAAAAAAATTGTAGTTTTTTCAATTAAAAAATTTGTTATCATATACCTTTTAGTCCTTTAATGCGATATAACAATTATTGTAATCTCGGAAACGGTTTATTTTATACCTTTTTAATAGTAGACGAACTGAGTAATCGAAAAAATGCATCAAATGGTATAAAAACCTAACCTCAAAGTTTGTATGGGACAATAAGCTTAAGCAACCCCTGTTTCTACGACACTGCGTTCACTCGAACAATTGTTATTATGTGTGAATATGTATTTTGGTAGTAAGTGACTGTTCTCAAAATATGACCTTTCCACGTCTACCATAGTGGAAGTTATATTAAAAAACTGATATGATAAGTAAACTTTATCACCCTGTATCTTTTAAACATACCTAATTAGGAAAAATATTTATTTAGATTTTCGTCTTATTTTGACTTGCTTAATCTGCTCCCAAATTTATGCCACTAAGTTTAGGGACACCTTGTATAACATTAATTACATAACACCCTGTATACATATAGACCAGGCGGAGTAAACTTATACTATAGCGGAAGTGGCGGCTCGTGGATTTTGCATATGCCATATCTCAGTTATTAGACATGGGAACCACACCAAATTGTTTATTTAGTGTCATTATAAACTAATATAAAGTTCTGCGCAAGAAGAATTTAAATAGAAGTTTGCGAAAAATAGACCCTGCAGCCTGATCCCCCTAGTAAAGATAATACAAATTTTATTGGTGCAATTTATAATATACCATAGTTTATTGACAAATTATAAAATTTATTTAAAAAATCCAAATATTACAGATTTTATATCATTTTTTTAAAATTATTTTAGGAAAAGAAATAAAAATTTATTTAAAATGGTGTAAAATCTGTACTATTAAGAATTTTAAAAATTGAATTTTTAAATAAATTTTGAAATTTTTCAATTAACTATGGTAAATTATAAATTGCACCACTAAAATTTGTATTATCTTTATTAGGGGGGGCAGGCTGCAGGGTAGGCGTATCTTTTTTCTCAAACTTCTATTTAAATTCTGCTTGCGAAGAACTTAATTTATTATACTTATATAAATTTGGTGTGGGTCCCATGTCTAATAACTAAGATATCGGTATACGCAAAATCCACCAGCCGCCACTGAATAGCGGAACATACTTAGAGACTATATACATAACTTATATCCTTTTTTATATTTGCGGGTTGCCCCCTTGACTTTACGGCGGAGATTTAAGTCGTGTAGAATAAAAACCGGACATGGCAGTTCATTCAAAACCCCAAGATGATTTTTTTATATGCTCTTAATCGATTCTGCAACAAAGTATGCAATTCTAGAGATCATATAAAAGAATAAATAAATGTATACATACTGTATATATAATGTATTTAATATATATAATATACAGTATATTTGAGTTTTAATCCGCCAGAAATGTGACATGTCCGCTTTTAATTTTACACCACTCATTTCTAACCTTTCAAAATCCGGCAGTTTAATCTTTTTCCTGATATAAATCACTGTAAGGTTATTATTGTATGACGTTTCAAATTTTTATTAAAGACGCTTAATTTTAATTTTTCGGTTGTTTTAAATTTAGTTTTTAAGTATGTTACGATTTAAAATAAAAATGTTTATCTTTAAGCATTCTATAATAAATCACTTTAGTGGTCAGTGCCACCTAAAGTGATTTATTATTGTCTAGGCTCTAAAAATAATTTAGACCAATCGGGTAAACAATACATAAAACGTACAATAATAATTATTAAAAGTAGAAAGTGAGGTTAGAAGATTAGATCTGACAGTAGTGAAACTTTTTGATTGGTCCAAACGGATTTTTACAGACTAGGAGTTTTTTTGATTAAATATAAACTTAAATTAATGATTTTTTTACTTACGTGCGCAAATTAATACTTTTCCACACGGTTACTTTGCGCACGTAAATGCGTTAATACAAGAATAAGATTGTTAAATCATAAATCATTAAAAAACAAAAATATTCCAAAATAATTCAAATATAAGTATCAACTTTCTGCACGCTTGTAGACAAAAATATTGTTCGTAACACATGCGCAAAGTAATTGTAGTAGCGTGCGGAAAAATATAACTTTGCGCACTTGTTAAGAAAATAACTATTTTAGGATACTGTGGGCTTATATGTCTCCCACAAGCTAGGAGGAGAAATGCAATGTATTTTCGATACTGATCTACCAATAAAAAACTACTTTATAGTGGATGTTACTGCAAATAGAGCTATGGTTGCAGTCAGTCACAATGAAAATCTATCCAATTTGTATGTTTCTGAAAGTCTTGTGGGCAACAACAGAAAGATTAAGTTTACTTTAAGTTTGGATGACGTTTTTGCATTTTTTCCCAACAATACTTGGCAGGACACGTGGCTACAGTAAGTAAAATTTAATTTGGTTTAAATATTATTTATAAATTCGTGTTTTTTTATTTCCTGCTATATCCCATTTTCGTTCTCGTGCCGCATTATACAATTTTAATTTATGAAATTATGAAATTAAATATAAATTTACAGTTATAGTACATATTTTAAAGTATAATAAAATATATTTTACATTGAACCAACTGTAAAAATTTAAATTGTATAAAACTAAACAAATCGTCCCAAAATGCAAACTAAAGAAGACTTTTTTGTTTTTAAGAAATTGCACATTAAATGGCTTATAAAATTTATATAGCTTTTTTGCTTAAATGATTTTGAGATGGCTGATGGAGTATTCTACTTGGAATTGAGACGCCCTATTTTGTCACAAAATCTTTGTCTATTTTTTCGTATTTTTCGTTTTAACGCCATTTAAGCCATTTAAGATTTTGTGAAAAAATATTTAAGATTTTGTGAAAAAATATTTAAGATTTTGTGAAAAAATATTTAAGATTTTGTGAAAAAATATGTAGTTTTATTTGAGTCATGATTAAGTATAGGAAGAAATTTCTAAAATAATTAATAATCACTGAATAATATTTATTTAATATTTATCAGTGAGTAATTGTCTTACTCATTCCTAATAAGCTACTTAGATATTATGTACAGCGCCTACTAAACTTATTATAAGAGATAGGAAATCAAATTAAAAACAAAAGTTGTAGAAAATGTTACAAAAATAGATATTTTTTTTACTGAATTCAAAAATATGTATTATGTTGGTTTAGCCCTAGTTGCCATAAAAAAAACTTCTGTGTAACCCATTTTACGGATAGAATAAAGAATATCTGACAGCCGAATAAATAATAAATAATGACGTTTGAACCATTTGTTTATTCATGGCAACTTTATATGTCGAATATGATTTATAATAAGTGTTATTTACACGCACAAATGTTTAATTAGATTTAAGTGTTTTTAGCATATTTATTGATTATAATGTAACTTGCCATTCTTGTAATTTTATCTACTTCTCAATAAATATTATTATTAATATTGACTACAATTTGCTAAAGCAATATAATTACGCTTTTTAAAAGCAAATATTTAAAAAATGGCTAAACCAAATGTCAACTTATATATTTTTGAATTCAGGGAATAAAGATCTATGAATTATTGTTATAATATACAGGTTTGTATTTTTACAAATTTTTCTATATTCATTTGTTATTTACCTTAACATTTTCTTGCGATTTATGAGAAACCCTACAACTTTTGTATATAAAGTTTTTTATCTACTCCTACATTGACAAGCTGTGACTTTATGGCGTTTTAGTGGCTTTTAAGCTTTTTAGTCACGGGTTGAATTTGGCTTTAAATTCTGTTTTGTGTTCGTCGTAGGTAAAGTATAGTATGCAACTCGTTTATAAACTTCTCTAGACGCTCGTTTTTATTAAACACTCGCTTGGAAGCTTCGCTCTTGCTTAATTAATTAATTAAACTTGTAACTAAAATATAAAACTTGATACATAATAGCGAGCTTGCGACAAATACTTATCATTATTATCTTAAAATGATTTAAATCAAATATTTGTATATATATTACGGCTAATGTGCAAACTTGGATAGTTTATAAACTAGCTGGATAGTTTATAAACCAGCCAAACTGTCAGCTATTTTAATTGAAAACATATTTTCAACTAAATTAGCGGCTAGTTTACAAAATAACCATGGATCTTGGCTAATTTACTTGAAATTGTTAGGGAAACTAAAATAGCTGGATAGTTTGTAAACTATCCAATTCAATTTGGCTAATATGAAAACCAAAATTTCTAGTAACACAAAATAGCCAAGCTTTAGCTAGTTTGTAAAGTAACCAACTAATTCTCTGGCTATTGCCCATTTTAGTTGGGTTTTTTGCTTAATGGGGCGGGGGGGGGTCCAATGGGGCGGGGTCGGTTGGGTTGTGTTGTTGAGTTTGGGTTGGTTTGGGTTTTTTTCTCTCATTTTTGACCATTTGACCATGGGGCGGGGGGGCAATGGGGCGGGGTCGGTAGGGTTGTGTTGTTCAGTTTTCTAACAAGGAAGCGTTAAAATTTTGCCTATGATTCATTTTAAAACGTTAAAATGCACAAAACAAATCCGGTTAAGCCGGCAAAACGAAAAACAATGCCGTTACATCACTTTTTTAATAAATTAGCCAGAGAATTAGTTGGTTAGTTTACAAACTAGCTAAAGCTTGGCTATTTTGTGTTACTAGAAATTTTGGTTTTCATATTAGCCAAACTGAATTGGATAGTATACAAACTATCCAGCTATTTTAGTTTCCCTAATAATTTTAAGTAAATTAGCCAAGATCCTTGGTTATTTTGTAAACTAGCCGCTAATTTAGTTGAAAATATGTTTTCAATTAAAATAGCTGACAGTTTGGCTAGTTTATAAACTATCCAGCTAGTTTATAAACTATCCAAGTTTGCACATTAGCCATAACATATATACAAATACGCTCTATAGAGCGTCATCTATAAAAGAATATGGAAATCTGTGTTAGGTACCGTCAAATGTCAAATGTCAAATGTTTATGTGTTATAAAGGTTATAAATCGAAATGTATTCCTTAAAAATTGACAGTTTTTCACAGTGAAAGTAAAGGAAATGTTTTATAAGGACTTTACAGTAGAGTCCGTGCCCGAATTTAAGTTATAGTTTACTGCCGGTGAAATTAAAAGGTCAGTACAATGTTCATATAAACTTTTCAAATATTGGCGTTGAGAAAATATTTAATGCTTTTTTATTTTTGTATTGCGATAATAAAATAATTTTTATATTTAGTATTATTTTTCAAGGCCACTTTATTTTAACGATTGTAGGACATTTGACAACTTTCAACTAACTTAAAGCTAACTCAGCCCGTGACTAAAACGCCATAAAGCCACAACTTGTCAATGTGTATTTAAAGGTCACTTAGTGTCATGGAAACATGTACGATAATGGGCGATTTAAAGGTGGGAGTAGAAAAAATACTATTCCTATCTCTTATAATAAACTCAGTAGGCGCTGTCCAAATATACAGAATAACCCTGCACATGCATTATTTTGCTTTAATGAACTGGTGCAATATCCTTAAGCATAAAAAAGTAACAGACAATTTTTCCGACAAGTAGTCTTCCAGTTATTTAGCATTGAATTTTTAAAAACCAGGTAAAGCTGTTTAAGTTAACATGGTTGTCCGATTTTCTGACAGTTTGTATTTCTTAAGTTTAAATCATCATAACGTTAATATTAACAAATTGTAACTATTTACTTTTAAAACGTGTTTGAAAGTTTTCCTATTTTTGCAGTCTAATTTTGTGCCGTTCCCGGTATAAAAAGTTATAAAAGACATAAAATAAATGTTGTGTAAAATTTTAGCGAAATTCACACTTCTTAAAAGTACAAAGGTCCACAAAATAAAAAAAAAGTTGTGTGTGCTAAGGAAGGAACCATACTTATTTATTGTATTCTTCTCCTCTGAATCCCAATCTAAAGTAAGAATTAGTGGTAACTAATCAAACTTCTAAGAAAAACCATTAACTGTTATAATCTGTATACATACAACGCACAAACAAACCGCTGGGTTTAAAGGGCTGACATTTTGACAATGCATTTCTATATTGACATGGTTATTAACCATTAGTTAACCAGTAAGTAAAATTTGTAATTTTGTAATTCCATCCCCAAGTGGGTTACTTGGGACACTCAAATACGTTTCTGTCAAAAATCGTATTCTCTGAACCAGATCGACGAGATTTTTTTCATAAAGATAGTTTGTAGGCCGAAAAATAATACCTATATTATATTTTTTGTTTTATTTATTTTTAAATATACTTTTTCTACTCCTATTAATTATTAACATTATTTAGTTTTTTTCGTAAATAATGGTAACCAATATAACCGCCCGGCCTGACAACGAGAATAATGAACTCATTATTCACGTTGTTAGGCATCAGTGATTGGTCGATTTCAATATTCACTGTTATTTGAACCAATCGGGTTTTAAATTGGGAAAAAGTAAGGTTAGCAGATGTCAGATTTGTTTATATATACGAGGGGCGTCTATAATGATATTTAAAATCGGGAAGTTATAATACATTTTGTTTTCAATGAAAATTACTTAATTGGAGTAGAAAAAGCATAATATTACAATCGAAATAATGCGCATTATTTACTCGGATGATTTACGACTCTCGTCTGACGGCTCGAGATGCAAACCTCATTATCTCTTATATAATAAAATACTATTAAATAATTCTAATAATTAAATTATAATTAAAGTGCATACATTTTAAATAAACAGAATTTTAATAAAGTGAATAAAGTTCTGAAAAAAAAACAATTTTCTTTTTCAGGTTACCAAAATAAACTGATCGAAAAAAAGGTAAGGATATTGTGAATTCTCTGAGAAAAAAACAGTTTTCAAAAAAAATTGTATAACGTACATTCACTGTCATCTCTTCTAGAAATAAAACACATTTGTTTAACTGAAAAAATATTTTAATTAAAATTTACAGGCAACTTACAATGTAACAAAACATAATTATCAAACAGAAAAAAATTATTAATAGGGTGTAATTCCACCTCTGCTGGCTATTACTGCTTCAATTCGGCGAGGCATGCTTAAAATTAAACGATCCAAGTCATTTTGATCCAAGGTATCCCATAAATATGGAAGAACTTGCCTTACGTCCTAAACAGGAGGTTCATGGGCAATTGGTGCCCTTCCGAGCATGTCCCAACCATGCTCGATGCAGTTTAAATCTGGAGAGAGCGGGGGTAATGGCAAATGATTCATTTCATGGAATACTAGCCGTTCTTGTACTACCCTGGCTCTGTGCGGGCGGGCGTTATCATTCAGAAATCTGAAGTGGGCTCCAAATTCCAACGAAAATCATCCACAATGTTATCAATGATGTCGTGAGCATAAATTTCACCTGTCATGGTACCTTCACAAACATACAACTCCGTTGACCTCCGTAGAAAATTCCACCCCAGACCATTACACCTCCACCTCTAAATGGATGCACTTCTTGAACATACTGGTCATTAACTCTTGCATTTCTTGGTCCCCAGACACAAACTGTAATTCTGTCAGCACGAAGACCAAAGCGGCTTTCATCGCTGAACATCACAGTACGCCACTCAACATTCCAGTTGGCTCTTTCATTACACCAAAGCAAACGTTGAGCTTTATGGACTGCGATCAATGGAGGGCGTCTTATAGGCCTATAGCAATGTAAACCTGCTTCATTTAATCGATTTAAAACCGCCCTAGGGGTAATACGAACTCTATTGGCAGCCAATTAAATCGGATGTGATACTACATAATTTATATTTATTTTGAGTTATTTATTTTATTGGAGTTATTTATTTTATAGACGCCAATTAAATCGGATGTGATACTACATAATTTATATTTATTTTGAGTTATTTATTTTACCATGGGTTGTTTGTTTTTTTTATGTACCTGTAAACTAATATATTGTTACTGCTATTATTTGCGTTAATAAAGAAATTATTATTATTATTGTTATTATCGTTGGAATTTGGAGCCCAATTTCAGATTTCTGGATGATAACGCGTCACTGAGGCAAGTTCTTCCATATTTATGGGATACCTTGGATCAAAATGACTTGGATCGTTTAATTTTAAGCATGCCTCGCCGAGTTGAAGCAGTAATAGCCAACAGAGGTGCAATTAAACGCTATTAATCATTTTTTTCTTTTTGATAATTATCTGTTTAATTACAATGTAAGAGAAAAGTTGCCTGTAAATTCTAATTAAAATATTTTTTCAGTTAAACAAATGTGTTTTATAAAAGAGATGAGAGTTAATGTACGTTATACAAATTTTTTTTAAAACTATTTTTTTCTCAGAGAATTCACAATATCCTTAACTTTTTTCGATCAGTTTATGTGTTTCCTTAGAAGTTTGATCAGTAACCTTTAATTTTTTCAGCAGAAAAAAAATACACCAAATAATTTATTCAAAATAAGTTTGGTTTGTTTAGCACACACAATAAAAATTATAAAACTTCGTACAGTTTGCAAATTTGGAAAACATGGTTTTCGGTACTCCTTATCGTACTTTTAAAAACAGTTCAATTGGATGGCTGTGAAATCTGTGGGTAAAAGGCATAAGGGGATAAGTCAAAAAAAGCAATTTTTCAGTAGAGCCTTAAACGTATTCGCATTAATCCAGGAAACATATGTATGGTTAGCGGGTATACCTTTTTTTTAGCCCATGTCATATGCTATCAAAAGCGTATACCCGCTAAACATAAATATATTTCCTGAATTAATGCGAACACGTTAAAGGCTCTATTGAAAAATTGCTTTTTTTAACTTATCCCCTTATGCCTTTTACCCACAGAAATATACCTTTTCCTCCCATTGAAAATTTTAGGCGCTGTTCGATTTCGCTGAAATTTTATAAACAAAAAATTTATAGGTCTTAATTTTTTGGGCGAGAACGGCAAAAATCGGGGAAAGTTGCTTCAGGACGGTAGTTTAAAAAAAACCGGCTGATTACGTGAAGAACTTTTCGATTTGGATTGTTTTCAATTTCTAAAATTTAAGATGGCTTTATACTGTTTTTGGTTTCGTTTAGTCACGTATCAGAAGACGCATTTGCCGACGTGTACCGCGTCGACGGCCTCACCGGAATCTACATAGCATCGCGCGTCCTCTCCAAACCAACGGCCAACAGTCTGGGTCCGCAGCACCTGGGATCCGTGATCACGTTCGACCACGGCAGATCGTGGCGCCCGATAGTCGCCCCCGACTTCGACGTCGAAAACCAGAGGACCGGCTGCCTGGTGGTCAACAACTGTTCCCTACATCTAAGCCAGAAATTCAGTCAGTTAAATCCCGACACGAGAAGCATCAGCATTTTGACGAGCAAATCCGCTCCTGGAATTATCGTTGCCACAGGTGTGATGGGAAAATCTCTAAAAGGTCACTACGGTGTCTACGTTAGTTTGGATGCCGGTTTAACCTGGCGCCAGACCCTTCGCGAACTATTCTTCTTCAATATGGGTGATCATGGTGGCATTTTTGCCGCAGTCGAGTATTACAAGTCGTACGGCGAGACCAGGTACGTTCAGTACAGCGTGGACGAGGGAGAGTCGTGGCATGACGCGCCCTTCCACGACGAGCAATTGAGGATGTACGGATTGATGACGGAACCAGGCGAGAACACGACAATTTTTACCATGTTTGGGTCTTTGTCTGAACAGCATCAGTGGATTATTATCAAGTTGGATTTCATGAAGGTTTTCAATACTACTTGCGGCGAGGTAAGACTTTTTCGTTAATCTAGAAAAATAATAATATTAGGGTTCATGGTTCAATAAAACTAAGCCGTCACCGTTACTGAACCTCGCAATCTTTAACAATTGGAAAACAAAAGTGAATTTACCTATTTAATTCCATTTAAAACCCCACTTCATGACTAGGGGTTGCAATTGCTGGATTCCTCATCCAGCAATCCAGCTGGATTCAGCGCATTTTTCAGCCTGCAGGTGCAAAAGTCTAAGTTGACACCATTGTCGCTTTGCTAGGTGCGCTTACGTTATGAAACGAAAACACGTCGACTCCGCGCATGTAACGTCACGTGCGAACCAGATTCAAATATTACAAACAGTTTTGCATATGCATACGCTATACACGGGTGTTTTACTACGATTTATTTTAAGTTTTTTTCAAAATTATTGTGTTTTTTTTAAGTATAAGTATAAATTTTTGTAAAAATTTTACTGTATTTATTGAACAGCAATAACTATTTATAAGCCACGCACGGGTGTTTTATACCAGGTTATTTATTAAGTTTGTGTTATATTTGTTGGACTTCATAACTAATATGAACAGAAACTCCAACACCCAACCTAACCTAACATAAAATATTTTCGATTTCCAAAAAATAAAGATCTGGCAGCACAGTGGATGAATGCATGCAAAATAAAGGATAAAATAAAAATAAAAAACGGTAAGTAATGGCAATTTTTGGTATACCCAATTTTCTGTTAGGTACTTATAGTAACTTGCAGTTCTTAATAATAATAAAAATTAAAACACAATTGTATCGGAAACCCGCTTTAAAAGTTTTGCAAGTAAAGAAAGCAGTGTTACTTTTAACACTTTAAAGCGGGCGTGCGTTATTATGTCAAACTATGCTCAGTAAGTTTTTTATTTGATTTTTCTTTTTGGAAAATAGTTTTATGCAAAATAATTAAAAATAAAACCCCTCGACCGCCACGCGGTCTCGTGATTTTATAAAATTATTTTGTATTCAACTTTTTTAAGAAAAACCAAACAAAAAACTACTGATCCTAGTTTAACCGATTAAATTACTAGTTCTCTTGATATAATATATTTAAAATTTTGTGTATCAATATCATATAATTTAATTGTTGTAAAATTTAAGTTTTATTTTATTTATTTTTATTTTTCATAAATTGGTACCTGTTTAATTTTTTTTATAAAATAAAAATAATAATAGTAGGTATTAAAGTTTTTAAGTATTAAAAAAAACTTGTTTTTAATTTTCTTTAAAAAATTTATATTTGCTGGATCCGCGCTGGATCCAGCTGGATTGTGTTGATCCAGCAAAATTCTAGCTGGATTAAAAGCTCTGCTGGATTGCAATCCCTATTCATGATATACTTGAGTTTACCATTTTTAATCTCCCTGTTCACTGATTTAAATTAGCAGCAGAATAAAATTAATCTCACCAAATATAATTTCGTATTTAATTTAGTTTGGTACATAATACAAAAACATTATTTTAGGATGACTATAAACCTTGGACTCCAAGTCAAACCGAGATGGGACGTAGCTATATGCCATGCGTGATGGGACAACAGATGACCTACAAACGCAGAATACCTCACGCAAACTGTTACAACGGCCAAAACGCAGTCGGACCCTTAAAAGTACAGCCATGCGATTGCGATTATCTGGACTTTGAATGGTAAGGACTCAAATTTCTAACAAAATATTATACTCATACAAGGTGGTTAATATTGCGAAAAAAATCAGGACTTTATAGATACATATTGCATGAAAATAAGCTACTAATAAGTTTCCACAGTGTTGCAACATTAAAAATCTTAGATTTTTCCTTACACATATGTATGTATCTGGAAACTTCTTATATAATTTTTTTTAAACTGTTTAAAAGTAATTTTGATCTAATTAAATTTAATTTATTTTTTCTGCGACGCCTCAGTTGCACCTCAACTGTTATTTTTGAGAAAAAAATTGACGCCACTGATTTTAATTTGTTTTGATATAATATAAAACAATTTAAAATAAAACTTTTTTCTCTTTTTATTGTTTTTCCTAAATGAAGAATTATCAAAAATATTAAATAAATATAAAACATTTTTATCACAAACTTAGTTATAATATTATTGATATTTTTAGTATTATATTTTCAGATATTATGAAAAGTTAGATTTTTTAATTTCTCAATAATAATAATAATAATAATAATAATAATAATAATAATAATAAAATGTATTTCAAACTATTCGAAATTTTACATTTTATTACAGGCTTATCCTCTGCACATTAACATTGCACATTATATCAGTCTTATACTTATGTTTTGTTCGTTTAACACTAATAAAGATTATTATTATTAATATTATCAATGAATTAATTTAAACACTATGTACATTGTACAGGGTGATCCCCTAAGTGTGGTTATGTAGGTACTAAAAAATACTTTTTTCTACCTATAAAAAAAATTGAAAAATTGATCAATATACAGGGAAAAACAAAAGGTTAATTTTTTTTTCAATGGATCACCCTATATATGAATTTATTTTTCGATTCTTTGTAAAATTCTGAGCATAATTCATATAACAAACTATATCCTAAATTCAACTGTTTTTTGTATACTGATCAATTTTACAATTTTCTTTAAACGTAGAAAAAAAGTATTTTTTAGTTCCTACATAACCACACTTTTATATTTTTTGGGACACTTAAAATAAAAAAGTTAAAGGGGGGCGACATTATAGGGGATCACCCTGTACAGTCTGTTATTTTTCAAGATGTTTTTTTTTACTCGGGCATCTAAATTATTTGTCTAAGAAGAAAAATTGAATGTCGTTTAACTCTTCCCAAATTACATTTTAATGACATAAGGGCCATTCCACGCGTAACGGATAGGACAGTTGCCGTGTATTTATTTGCAAAATAATATTGTTCTATTATATTACCAATGTCAAATTTTTATAAATAGTTCTAAACTAAACCTGTTTAACAAGGTTTTTATTTGGCAAAATTAGGTATCGTGGTTGACTGTTTAATTCCTTAAAAACTAATAATTTAAAGCGTAACGGACGGGACTTTGTAATAGTTTTACGAAAAAATGTTAATATAAATAATAATAAATAAATATGTTCTTATGTTAGAATGTTAGACAAAAATTTTACAGAATATTTTACATATTATTTAAAAGACTTGCCACTCTCTGTATCTCGGAAACGAAGAGTTTCCAGAAATTAGTAAATAGATAGTTTTTTTCTTATGCAAGGAATCTCATCATATTTTTTTGCAATAAAATTTGTATAATGTATTTATTACACAGGGAATTTTTTAAGGATTTGAGAAAAAATCATATCAAAACAATTTTTTAATGATTATATTATATACATTTATTTATTATAAAATATTACTTCATTCTACTGCTAATCTTTATTACTTAATATTGTGGTTACCATATCTTGGCTTGGCATAATAGTAATATACATGTCTCGCTTGGTTAAAATATGTCTATTATAATTAATTTTTCTCAGTTGGTAGGTTTTTGTTTAAAAGTTATTAAAAAATAAAACAAAATATTATTAAGTATTTATGTAATTATAGTATGTTTTATTTTTTTGTTGACTACTTTCAATATTAGTCATATTTGCTGATAAAAATAACTTGATAAAATTACACATATTTTACAAAATAAATTTTAAAAAACTGTTACTTTTATCATTTAAAAACTATTAACTTAACATAACTATTTTTAGTATTTTAAGAAACTCAATAATAAATACTGTTAATGACGCAAATTTTAATAAAGTAGATTTACAAATAAACTAATTGTTCAAAAAGACTTCAAACACGTTTTAACGCACTAAAAAGTATAAAATAATAATTAACTTGTCACTTCTTAATGTTCAATGACTATTCCAAAAAATGGGGCGCTTTGTCGAAATTACTTAAAACTTTTAAGTTAAAAGTACATGCAACACATAACATCTTGACAAAAATCCTATTTAAAAAAAATTAACCCCAAATAAGAGTACTATATATAGGTAGTATGGATATATACATGTATGCTCTAACAATTAAAACGTCGCGACGTGTTATAATAAACAATTTTAGATGATGTCACTCCAGGAAGTTTAAAAAAATATGAAACCATTGTCTACAAATTTCAAACAAACGTAGTATTTGATGTCGCGTCGTGTTATAATAAACAATTTTTTGTACTCCCACCTTTAAAACGCCCTTTATCGTACATGTTTCCATGACACTAAGTGACCTTTTAAATACACATTGACAAGTTGTGGCTTTACGGCGCTTTAGTCACGGGCTGAAGTTAGCAACAGGTTTTTAGTCACGGGCTGAAGTTAGTTTTAAGTTAGTTGACAGTATACTGTCATACTTTTAATTTCGCCGGCAGTAAACTATAACTTAAATTCGGGCACGGACTTTACAGTAAAGTCCTTATAAAACATTTCCTTTACTTTCACTGAAAAACTGTCAATTTTCAATATATACAGGGTGTCCCGAAATTAGGGGGCCAAACTTAAACAGTGCATTCTTTATAGAAAAATAACACTTTTTTGTTTAATAAACATATATCAAAAAATGCCTCCTAACGGAGCTACGCCCCCCTAAATAGGAGCTTAAGAGCATCATTTTTTTAAAACTATTCCTAGAGGGTTGAGCATGAAGACCTGAATTTTTGGGACTTTGGTAATTTTGACATTCTAAATCTGGATCTATAATCAAAACTGTTAAAATTTAATCATAGGCGTAACATTTGAGGGGGCAAATTTAAAAAACAGCCCCAACTTTTTGCAGAGTGAGTATTTTAATGTTTGGTTATAAAATTATGAAAATGTATAGTTTTTCACGAAAAATAGGTACTCTTGCTTTGAATCCCTCAGATGCACCATTTTCGAGAAAATTGCAATTTAAATTACTATGCTTAGCATAATTTCTAATATTTTCATTAAAAAGCTTTAGGACAAAAGTGACGTTTGGGTTATTTGCTGACTTTACATTTATTTTTATAGTTTAGTTAATATTTTTTGGCTCGATTTTTGTTATTTTTTATTATGGAGCGATTTTCCAAATTTTAACACAAAATTTTAACGAAAATATGAGATGTGTATGCTATGCAGAGTAATTTATAAATGCATTTTTCTCGAAAATGGTGCATCTGAGCGATTCAAATCAGGACTACCTATTTTTCGTAAAAAACTATAAGTTTTCATAATTTTATGAAAAAAAATTAAAATATTATCTCGGAAAAAAGTTGGGGCTATTTTTATAACTTCCCCCCCCCAAATGTTACGCCTATGATTAAATTTTAACAGTTTTGATCTTAGATCTTGATTCAGCATCTAAAAATTACCAAAGTGCCAAAATTTAATTTCTTCATGTTTAACGCTCTAGGAATAGTTTTAAAAAACTTTTCTCTTAGGCTTCTATTCAGGGGGCCGTAGCTCCGTTAGGGGGCATTTTTTGATACATGTTTATTTAACAAAAAAGTGTTACTTTTCTATGAAGAATGCACTGTTTAAGTTTGGCCTCCTAATTTCGGGACACCCTGTATATAAATTTGGATTTATAACCTTTATAATTGTGTTTATAAAATGTAAAAATGTAACATTTGACAGTTTCCCCTGTTGTTTCATAGATGGCGCTCTATACAATTTTTTGATTTAAATCATTTTAAGATAATAATAAGTATTTGTCGTAGAAAAATTATAGTATGCACCTCGTTTATAAACTTTTCTATACACTCATTAATTTAAGGACTCGCTCGCAAGCTCGCTCGTGCCTAAATTAAATTCGTGTATAAAATGGCGTTTATCAAACTTGATACATAATATACTGTCCTGTTAAGGATAGAGGTCGTATCTACAATATTTTGTAGTAAAGGACAGAAGAAAATTTTAATTTTTAAAAACAATAAAGAATAAAGTTTTTTCTTTACTACCACAAACTGCCGTTCGAAGACAAAACTTCATATCTGCAATATTTAGTAGTTAAGCAAAAAAGCCATTTTTTTATCGTTTTTTAAAATTAAAATTTTCTTCTGTCCTTTACTACAAAATATTGCAGATACGACCTTTAAGCTTAAAACGGCAGTATACTATTAAATGATGTCAGTCCAGGAAGTTTAAAAATTTCAAACAAACGTAGTCTTTGATGTTTCACAAATATTTTTGTAGTGACTACGGCTTCAAACGAACCGGCACAACCCCTTACCGATGCATCAAAAACCACGCGGTAGCGGATTTCGATCCGTTCGCCGTTCCAACCACCTGCAAACCCGGGCAATTCTACAACAGAACCAAAGGTTACCGCCACATCTCCGGCGATGCCTGCGTCGACGGCTTCAAGGACCACTTCCTGCCCGACCTGGTGCCCTGTCCGATCACGGAACCCGACAACTTCCTGCTGTTCGCGCAACGAGAAAAGATATCCCGATTGGATTTGGTTACGAAGTCGGTGGAAGAGTTGCCCGTCAAAAATCTGAAGAACGTCATCACGATCGATTTTGATGTGAGGAATAACTGCGTTTACTGGGCGGATATTATTTTGGACATCATTGGAAGGCAGTGCTTCAAAAGCGGCAGTCAGGTTTGTTTTTATAACTTATACAGGGTGTTATGTAATTAATGTTATATATTAAAATACTGAATACCTTTTGACATAAGGTGTAATGGAAAAATATTTTAAAAGTTATTTTCCTAAAGATAAAGAAAATATATGCATTAGAAGTTTTTTATATTTTTTGTGATACGCCACTGGTTACACACTTGTGTTCTGTGAGTACATAGATAAAAACCAACAAAGTAGCTGCGCGTTGCCAGTTGTAAAAAATTGTTACTAAAAAATTTTCTTGCATAAAATAAATAAAAACTCAATAAATACAAAAGTTTTAAGCCTTTAAAGCTCTAATACCATTCTGTATTTATTTACTCATCCAGCTATTAACTTAAGCAATGATAAGAAAAATTAGTACCTATTTAAAAACTCCATAAAATTAATTTTTTCATCGGTTTTTTTCTTTCTGTTTACTCAAATGAAATTAGGACAAGTTCACAGGTTAATCGTTAAACATTCAATTTGTGTAAATAAATCCAAACGCCCAAAAGCACTTCCCTTAGTTAAGATATTTACAATTTGAGCACATAACCTACAATTTTTTGACAGAATGTGTTACCAACCATAACATAATAAATTAAACCAGATTAACTAAAGTAAAGTAAATCATTACGAATTATGAATAAAGTTTAAATCTGGTGTGTCTAAATTTAAATATATTTTTTATAAGTATGTTTTTAAATCACAATGTTAAAACGGTATTTTTTATAAGTATGTTTTTAAATCACAATGTTAAAACGATTTTTAAAAAATCATTAGTTTACAAATTTTTACAAGGTCTAATTAGTGATCTAGCGATTTCAGGTTTTTATTCTTTTATAAATATTTTGAAAGTTTGAAAATTTGTATTTTATTAGTAATAATAATAAGTAATTAGCGCGAAAGATTTTATGCTATGGCGGGTCGGGCGCTCACAAATATTCAATTAACAAATATGGGTTTGTGTTACGGGGAAGCGATGCAAAATGCTCGTTAAGCAAGAATTTTGTAGGTAGGTAGGTATATTCAAAATTATCACAACGCCAATGACGGACATCCACCGTCCTCGGAGCAAAGTTTTGTACGTGCTGTGCAAAATTTAAGGGACCCCGGAAGATATAGCGCATTTGTTGGTGATAGGGGTCGGGCTCAGGGACGTGAATTTGTGGCCCTTGAAGAACAAATTTTGGACGAAGTGGAAGCAAATCCGAGAATTAGTACAAGACGATTAACTGCCAACTTGGACAAATGTCCAACTTTGTTACGTGGCGCACGATTCACGAAAATAGTTTGTACCCCTATCACCTACAAAAAGTTCAAGCTCTTCAGGATGGAGATTATGCACTGCGGTTGGAATTTTGCCATTGGTATATGGGCCATTCCACGCTTAACGGATAGGACAGTTGCCGTGTTTTTATTTACAAAATAATATTGTTCTATTATATTACCAATGTCAAATTTTTTACATTACAAAGTCCCGTCCGTTACGCTTTAAATTATTAGTTTTTAAGGAATTAAACAGTCAACCACGATACCTAATTTTGCCAAATAAAAACCTTGTTAAACAGCTTTAGTTTAGAACTATTTATAAAAATTTGACATTGGTAATATAATAGAACAATATTATTTTGTAAATAAAAACACGGCAACTGTCCTATCCGTTACGCGTGGAATGGCTCATATACAGAAAAATCATGAAGATGCTGATTGGAGCCTTAGTGTTTTGTATACCGATGAGGCCACATTTACGAGAGACGGGATTTGGGCAGCAACTCAGGAACTTAATTGTAAATAGTCCAGACATTTTTACGCGGGTGCGCGAAAGCATGCTTCGCAGAGTTTAAGCTTGCATTCTACCTAAATAATGAAATCATTTTGAGCATCTCATATAAGGTAATACATTTTTAACTTTAAATTTGGCAACACTGCATTAAAAAGTAATGGGTAAGGTTAATCCGCGGTTCCTAGTCGATCAGTGGCGTACTTTTTGGTAGGATAAAGGTTATTATAAATTATTTTTAGTCTTTGGAATTTAGAAAAAAAAAGTTTCAGGTGCTTCTTTATGGACCTCAAGGAACTACCCATTTTAATATATAACATTAATTACATAACACCCTGTATAAACACAAAATTTTGAACTTGCAAAAAAGTCTAGAAAAATGAATTACTTTTTCTTTTAAAACTACAATTTAAAAAGAATTTTTTATTCTTAACTCTTTTAGGAGACACTTTATGAGCAATCAGAAGAAAAATCCAATAACACTGGTTGTCAAAATGAATTTTTTTGTTTGCCACAGGGGAGCCAACCACTTTTCTAGGGTAATTTGGGTTTCCTGATCCCAAAAATACTTAATAAAATGTTTGCAAATCGAAAAAAAAACGCGTTTTTACAATATCTTGAAAACAAGGCCAATTGAGTAAAATTGAAGGGGTTAGAATAGAAAGGGTATAAGTGCAATTTCTTTAATTTAGGAGATAAGTTCGTTTTGTGAAAGATAAGGTTCCGACGTATCGAAATGAAAAGGATTTAAGTAATTTTCATACTTCTAGCGACCTCTATTATCCCGTAGAAAAACATTACTAAACAAAATTCTTCACTTTTTTATGATAACATAACTTTAACTTCAAATATCTCCAAACAATGAAAATGTTACTTATACCCTTTTTATTCTAACCCCTTCAATTATGGTTATTTTTGGAATCAGCGCACCCAAATTAACCTAGAAAAATTGTTGGCCACCCTATGGCAAAATCTCTCTCCACCAGTGTTATTTTTAACAATAACACTGGTCAAGTATTATACTTGACGAATGTTATACTATAATAGTAGTATATGAGTAGGTATATCATATACTAAAACAGTGAAGATCTATTTTTCGCACTCTTAAAATACAAGAAAATTTAAAACACGTCTTAATAAAAATATAAAAAAAAGTTTATTTTAAAAATAATCGATATAAATAAAAGTAAAACAATTTCTTTGAAAAAAATCACCGAAATAAAAAATATCTTTCTTTCTACAGTCTTGGTTTTTCTTTTTAAGTTTCTTTTTTACTTCCTTTTTCTAAATTTAGCTTGGGCCAGCCATTGTTGTAACTCCAGTAAAATGTCATTTTCGGTCGCAGTTTCGGTTTTCGGATTTTTCTGGATGGAGGCTGAAAATAATTTAATTTAAATTATAGTCTTCGGTTCAATCCCGATCGGAAAAATTACTGTTTTTGTTTTTCAAAATTAAAAAACAATAGTTTTCTAAGCGATTTTATTAGGTTTATGTTTGTTTTTTGTTAATAAAAAATTTACCGATAGAATAATCGTCTTCAATAGTGTGGCAATAAAGTTTAAAGGTACCGCCGCGGTTTACTACATTGCCATTCATAATTAGTCTAAATATTGTTAAATAACTTATTAATATTTACATAAAATTGCGAAAATATTAACGTGATATTTATGAATGTTTCAGAAATATTTACGCGTTACAGTTATAAAAATATTTTTTCCTAAATATTTGTACAACATTTCATCAACCTTTCATTTATAAATATTGTTCTCCAAACGGCCTGACAACATATTGTGTTATGTTTAACAAATGATAATTTACTTTTTCTCAAATATTATTATAAATATGTTTAATTTAGGCCGAAGTCTTGGTGTCCAGCGACTTGGCTTCCATCGAAGGAATGGCTTTGGATTGGATCTCGAACACCTTGTACTTCGTGGACGGAGTGAGAGCCAAGATCGAGTTCATTCGTACCGACATAAACCACAGCGGACGCATGCGCACCACCGTTCTCGACTCCAAAGTGCTGAAAAAACCCCGAGGCATCGCTCTTCACCCGAAAAACGGTTACCTGTTCTGGACCGATTGGAGCGCCGATTTCCCCTCGGTCAACCGAGCTAATCTGGACGGTTCGCAAAATAAAACCCTGTTCGGGAAAAACACCGTCGAATGGCCCAACGGCATTACAGTGGACTACATTGCCAACAGGATTTACTGGGTCGACGCCAAGTTGGATTACATCGGTAGTTCGGATTTGCACGGTGACGGGTTCATCAAGGTCGTTTCAGCGGAGGACGTGGTGTCGCATCCGTTTGCCGTGGCTGTTTTCAAGAATCAGATGTACTGGGACGATTGGAAGAGAAATGCTATATTTAGTGCCGATAAGGATGTTTATAAAGGTAAGTTCACTCTAGTATCAGAATTTTTATGTTACCGTAGATTGGGGTTACTTGGAACACTTTTAATAAAAAAAGTCACATAAATAAACAACAAAAAGCATTTTTATCGATATTATATAAGTGTGTTTAAATTGATACATATATATACCGCAAATTTAAAATTCACGAAAGCTATCGAATTAAAAAAAAAGTTTGTGTTCCAAGTTTTGCTTCGTTCTGAAAACTTGGAACAGATGTAAATTTTTATCATGTTTCTATGTTTTACTGCAGGAGGGCAACTTGGAACGCTTTTAAATTAAAAATAAATGCATAGGGCATTTTGGAACGCATATAAATTAAAAATAACTGCAGAAGAAGAGCATCTTAGAAGGCTTTTAAATTAAAAATAAAATAAAACCCTGCTTCTAGTACGAAAACAAAATAAAATTTAACAGTCTTAGTCAAAAAATGTTTATTGTATTAAAGAAAATGTCACAAAATTAACATGTTAACCCACAGTTCCAAATAACCCCACTCTACGGTATATTATTTTTGCGGACGGGGTAAACCAAAACTTGGTGTTGCGAAAGATGAAACGTAAATAGCGCGCGCACACGATTCGTCGTATTATATTTGAACAAAATACACACGGTAGCATAAATTAAAAAATATTTTCAAAATTTTAAGCTCAAAATAAGGGTTAATAGCTCAACAAAAGTTCAAAAGCTTAACTGCGGTTTCGCGAAAGGATCGAACGGTCGATTTGCAAGGGTTCAAGAAGTCGATTGAAACTTTTGTACCTTATTTCAACATTTAAATGCAGTACTTTTTTCAAAATAAAATCTCGTCCATTGAAAACTTTTTTGTTATTTTTTTCTTCACTGTGTTAAAAAAGAAGAAATTTAATTTTTTTTAATAACTTTTTTATTTCAAAACGTATCGATTTAAAATTTGGACAAAATGTAGATCTTACTAATGACAATTAATCCAAGAAAAAATTTTGTTTAGATTTTAACGTACCGGGGGCGCTGGTGATAATTTAATTTAAAATTTAACAATTTTTAAAGGGTAAATAATTGAAGAAGCAACTTTGTTTTATAAATTTGAGTATAACACGTTAAAGTATTGCTATTTGATTATTATTTGATATATTAACTTTTTTATGCAAATTATTTTTCTGTGGCCAGGATCAGTTTTGAATTAGCAGTAGCAGTATTTATAAATGTTTAGTTTAGTACATTTTGTAATTTTTATTCAAATATTGTTGTATCTTTAATAATTAAGTATAGCATAACACATAAATGACGTTTAATGTACAGGGTATTTCACGTAGTCCTTTAGAAGTTTCTAGAGAATCGCGAAAGACATCGATTTAAAATTTGAATAGGGTAAATTATTAGCTCTATCTATGGCGATTTAAAAAAATAAGTATGTGAGAATTATATGTTATATATAATATATTATATAATGTATAATATGTAATATATAATACATTATCTTATAAAAGTAGATAAAAGAATATATACTTTGTAAAACACGTTAGTATTATGCCCTTTGAAGGCCTAACTTAAAAATGATCTCTCATAGAAACATAATTTGCAAGTATAACTTTATATATCAAATAATAGTTAATTATCAGTACTTTTTGTACCCTTAAAAATGGTAAAATTTTAAATTAAATTGTCCCCAGCGCCCCCTGTATGTGAACATTTAAAAAAGTAATACGTGGATTTATTGCCATTAATAGGGTGTACAATTTTTCTTAATTTCAAATCGATACGTTTTTAAATAAAGATGTTATCGAAATGTATCTATTTTTAACATAGTAGAGCGACTTAAGGCCTGAAAACCACAGCGGTCAATGGATGAATTTTTTTTTTAAATGCGCCATTGAGATGTAGAAACAAAGTTAAAAAAATATATTCATTTCTGGCATCACTTGCAAACAAATGTCCAAAATTTGTTCGATTTTTACGCGAAACCATAGCTCAAACAAAGCTCAAAAAATCAAAAACTTGATTAAGGACATATTTTGTATACCATAAGCTAATTATTTCTACTTGAGAAATAAATTAAATTAACTGATAAAAATTATAATAATAAATCAAATAAGTAAAATTGCTAGCAATATGTTGAATTCTTTAAGGAAACCTAAACAATATAATACATTTTGCAACTTTCCAATCCAGGGCCTTTTGGGACCAACGGTCCAACTAATCCCGGGATCAATATATATAATTAAATTTAAAACCAATTTAAAATAAAGGAACAAACAAACTACAGGGTTCCCGTTTGTCATAAAATTTTTAAATATCATAAAATTGGTTAAATTGTCCTAAAATGTCATAAAATTCACATTTTGTCATAGAAATCATAAAATTTCATTATTTTTTAACAATTTTCTCACCTTTGATCTTTTTTATAAAATGGAAATTTTGTTAAATAAAATTTAAAGCCGGTCCTGTAGAATAAAACGTAATAAAATGTTTTAAATATGGCCTTGGTTGTTGACGTATGAACTTCATACTATGAAGGAAAAAGAAGTTAGGTTAGGAAATGAATTTTAAATTTGAAATAAATAATGAGAAAGGTAAATTTATTTTTATACTATATTACTTTACTAAGGAAGGCACAAAGAAGGACTTGAAGAAATTGATACTACGAGGGTGGTTCAAATATAAACCGGAATTTTGCTATAAAAATTTTTATTATTAAGTTACAGAGCTGAAATTTTTTACAATTTTTCTAGATAGTCTCCGTCACACTCTACACACTTTTGCCACCTCTCCGGAAGCTTTCGGATGCCTTGTTCGTAAAAATCTCTCGGCTTGTCACGTAACCATTCGCGCACGAAGGATTCTACCTCCGCATTGCTTTCGAATCGCAGTCCGCCAAGTGCCTCTTTCAATGGACCGAACAAATACTATTCGCATGGCGATAAATCGGGACTATAAGAAGGGTGTTCCAGTGTTTCCCAATCCATTTCGTTCAATGTTTTCATCAAATTTCCCAGCGTGTGAATTTCTGCTCAAAATTCAGAAGTCTTGGCACCCATCTGGCTGAAATTTTGCGGTAACCGAGCCGTTTGCTCATACTACCTACGGTGATGCCCAATTCTTCAGCCATATCGCGTACAGTACCTACTGCGTCGGTCTTCCAAAATGAGTTTTTCTACAGCGCTGACGTTCTCATCTGTAACACTAGTTTTGGGGCGCCGCGCATATGGCAAGTGCCACCACTTCTCGGCCTTTTCGGAAAGCGGAACACCTTTCATACACTTGAGTCTTGAAGAGGCACTCATCCCCAAACTGCTCAAGTAATTTTTGATAAAATTTCCGCGGATTTTACATTATCTTTGACCAAAATAAGAATAATGATGCGTTGCGCAACAGACACTGGTACATCCTTCTCGCTCATGGCTATAACTACACTGAAAAGCGAGGTTACGGAGTCCCGGCTGTTCTCTACTCTTCGTAACAGACCAGTCTAACATCCAGTGCAGCCACTTTTACGACACTAAATTTTTCGCCCGTTTATTCAAAAATTCCGGTTTATATTTGAACCACCCTCGTATTTTGGCAAGTAAGGAAGCAGAGTTAAAAATAACAAGAAATATTATTTCTGAAGGAAATAAGAAATTATCGAAGTACCTTAACAACTACATAACTACTCTTAAAAAATCTGTAATATTGGAAGCTCAAACAATGATTAACATGGGTCTAAAAAAGCAAAAAAAATAGTACCTATAGGTATATATACTATTTTTTTTGCTTTTTTGAGACCCATGTTTATCATTGTTTGAGCCTCCAATATTTCAGATTTGTATACCTTTGTGGTTTTATTTATTTTGAGATTATAATACCTATTATAATAAAATACTAAAGTAACATATTAAAAAAATTATAGCAGAAATATTTATTTTGATGCGAGAAAATATATTTATTTTTATATAATAAACCGTTAACAAATTACATTTATTTTATTAAATAACTTTGGAAAAAATAAATTCTTGTCATAAAAAATGTCATAAAATTTGAAAAATTTGTCATAAAATCATAAAAAAAAGTACAAAACAATGCTGGGAACCCTGAAACTAACAAACGATATCTTTCGGACTTCACTTTAGTTGGAAGAATGGTTTTCAAGAATTTGTAGGCACATTGTACCCACGTTTACCCCCATTAACAAATAATTCCATTTCTTTTATCAATCGGGCCTGGATGGGTTCCAATTGGGGCTGTAATTTACATTGAAATTATCAAGTTGTGAAATTTTTTCTGGTTTGACCTTTATAATCTTTGGTTTGACGTTTGAAATATGTTATATTAAAGGTTATGTACTTAAATTTATTCTACAGTATTCTACACCTGTAATTTTACATTTTCTTTGCTGATTTAATCCTAAACGCGATAGATACTATGTAATTTCAATGTATTTTCATTATCCTTATTCAACTCCCATCTTAGTTATGGTATAATTTTATGGGGCAATTCAGTGAATGCCATAAAAATCTTTAAATTGCAAAAACGAGTGGTTAGAGTTTTAGTGAAGGCCAAAGCTAATGAACATTGTCGACCCATTTTTAAACATCTTCAAATCTTGCCGCTACCGTGCCTGTTTTTACTATATTCTTTAATGGAAATCCACAACACCAAATCTAGTCACATTCTAAGTCATAATATTCACAACTACAATATTAGAAACACAAATTTCTTAAGAACCTCACAGTTTAGGCTTACAAAAACTTTTAAAAATACCTTAAATGTTAATTTATACAATCACGTACCTCAAAAAATTAAGGAACTAACTTCCAAACGATTTAAATCGACACTAAAAAATATTTTATTAGAACAATGTTTTTATTCAATTAAGGAATATCTTGAACATGTTTTTTAACCCATACATAACGTTGTATTTTCTTTTAAACACTGTTGTTTGTTTGTGTTATTTATACAATTTTTATTTGTGAACAAAAACATATGTATTTTTATTTACTGTGTATTTACTTAATATTCTCTAATGGTATTGTATACTTTTTTTTGACCTGTCACAAACATATTGTAATATTGTAATGTTGACCAATAAATTTATTATTATTATTATTATTATTATTGTACGGCGGTGTATAAGAAATTGACTTTTGAACTGCATAATAAATTGAAGTGTTTATTTAAGGGGTTACATACATTTGTGCTGGGTCAAAAAATCGATTTTTTTTATTGAATTTCATCAAGATCGGAGTACTAGAACTTATGTTATAGCAATTTATAGCGCGCTACCTCACAAACATTTAAAGGCAAACTGAATGAACTTAAAACTTCAAACGCCTTTATCTCGAAATCGTATTTTTTGAAAACTACCGTTGCCGTGAGCATGATTTCTCGAAATCCAATTTACCGGTCGAGCTGAAATTTGGAAGTGTTGTTCCTAATTACAATAGCCGTTGGCGAAAAGTACTTTAAGCACGTTGTGTTTTGTTTTGGTGTTGGGGAATATTTATAATATTTGTTTAATATATCACCAAAGTTGTCCTTTTTTAAGTATTAATATTATAATACGATAATAAATTAATATAATATTCATATAATCACATACAAAATATAAAAGCTATACTATTCGATTTGATTCGAACTTACGACTCTAACTAAAAATAATAAAAACGGTGCAGAATTTAGAAAAATGATTTAAAGTGTTTTTTGTTTGATTATTATCCCAGATTTTTACAATTATCGTTACTTAATAAAAAATATCATTGATACATTTGACATGGTTTGACTCATAATTAAAAATGATTTTAACCATTTACCTTCTAGGTGTGGAAGTTTTGGTAAAACCCCTGCCTGGCCTGATGGACCTCAAAGTGTACGCGCACGGCATACAATTCGGCAACAACTCGTGCACCCTCGACACCACGTGTCGCTACACGTGCGTCGGTTTGCCGAAAAACAAATTTACTTGTCTTTGTCCCGACGGACTGGTCATGAAGGAGGGCTCGTGCATGTGTCCCGGCGACATTATGCCCAACGCCAACCTGACCTGTCCCAAAGTGAACACCACCTGCAGTCCCGAACACTTTACTTGCTCAAACGATGGGTACGTAAAAAATATTTGGGGAGTTCAAAATTTACAAAATTGTCCCATGCTAATTTTGATAAAAAATTTATCAATTTAACTTATCTGAGTTTTTTAAAACTATTTCATGTTTTGAAATAAGTATAAAAAATATACGCATATTTTTTATTTTAATCCAATTTAAAATTACCAACGACATTTAAATGGATAAACCTAAAAACTTCCATTATTTATTATAGCGTGAACTCATTTCGTCGGCATTATGACGAAGCGTAATACACTGCGCATAATAAGTAAAAAAATTCTAACTCTAGAACGCCTTTACCAATCTTTATGAAATTTTGTATAAAAATACTTAACTTATATATCAGTTTACGTGTTCGAGGGTTTTTCGAGAAAATATTTTTAAAGCCCTTTTATTTAATAATAAAAAAACGTTCAAAAAATAACTTTTAGGGAATTTTTTTAAGTAAATAAAAAATATATTTGTTAGTATTCCCTGAAAATTTTGTACAAATCAAACGAACAGTAACGAAGATACAGCGCTTGACACCTTTTTGATTATTTTGCTGAAAAGTGGTCATTTTTGAACACTTTGAAGTGCGGTATTTTCGTTACTGTTCGTTTGATTTGTACAAAATGCGGTCTTTTACAGCATATTTTTTTATTTACTTCCCTATAAAAGTTTTTTTTCGAGCGTTTAGGGTATTTTCTCGAAAAACCCTTGAACACGTAAACTGAGATATAAGTTAAAGTATTTTTATCCAAAATTTTATAAAGATTGGTGAAGGCGTTTTAGAGTTGGGTTTTTTTTACTTGCTATGCGTTAATTTTGACGCGCAGTGTATATATCGACGTAGTGTTGTGTTGTCTATATATAAAATATAGAAAGACATAGGCCACTTTATGAGGTTGTAGAATAGACGTCGCAAAAATCATTTTTTAATATGTTGTGGGTTAGGCTTTGATAAGACCGACGATTTGATGGTATTGTACTAACCTTGACTTGTAATGTTTGAAATTGTTTTTTCAATATAAAATGTTGAAAACAGGACAAACGATTTTTTCTGTAATTTTTATTTTTTAGAACTTTATTTATGAGTCAATCCATATGAAAACGCCGAAACTCGTTGCTCGGCCATCTTGGATTTTGCTCAAATTTTATAGTAATATTCATTAGGGTATCAAAGGACAAAACCCACCCTTATTTAATTTTTCGCATTTGTCAAATCCGGCCTATTCGAATTAAAACTTTTTAAAAACGTCATTTTTATGCTTCAATAATTTAAGCTGTAATTTTTTTTCTATTTAAGATATTTTAAATTTTAATATGTCATTTTAAAGCTAAAAAAAAAGTAGTTTTTAGAAAAAAAATATAAATTCACTCAATCAATATTTCTAAATAATTACACGGTGCTGAAAAAACGTGTATTTTACAAATTTTTCGTGTTTTTTAAATGCGTCTCATGTCTCGGCTGTTTAATATGAACAGCTATTTGTTTCATATATTAAGTTTACATACCAAAGACCAAATAAAACTTACAATTGAACTCGCATTATTTAGGCCATTATATGAGGATGTTGACTTCCGAACAGAATTATGAAATTTACAGGATAATTAATCCCTACTTTGATGTTCAAATGCCTGGTAGTTTGGTTTTGTTATTTTCATCGTTGAAGCTTTTACAGTAGCTTTAAATATTAAAAAGTCGCATTATTTCATCCATTTTATAAGCCCATGTAAAAGCAAAATGGATGAAAATATCAAAACAAGTCAAACAGGCATTTCATTTTCAAGGTAAGGACTAAATATCCTGTTAATGTCATATTTCTATATTAAAGTCAACATACTTAAATAATGGATGAAATAATGCGACTTTTTAATATTTCAATATTTTTCTCCTTCTAAAGTTAAAGTCAAAGATAAAAATAACAAATCCAAACTACCAGGCATTTGAACATTAAGGTAGGGGCTAATTATCCTGTAAATTTCATAATTCTATTTGGAATTCAACATCCTTATATAATGCGATTTTCTAGAATTTTAAAATTTTAAGCAGTTTTTTGTTTGGTATGTAAACTTTATATATGAAAAAAATTAGCTGTTCATATTAAATAGCGGAGACATGGGACGCATTTAAAAAAACACGAAAAATTAGTAAAATACACGTTTTTTCAGCACCGTGTAACTATTTAGAAATATTGATTGAGTGAATTTATATTTTTTATAACAACTACTATTTTTTAGCTTTAAAATGACATCTTAAAATTTAAAATATCTTAAATAGAAAAAAAATTACAGCTTAAATTATTAAAGCATAAAAATGACGTTTTTAAAAAGTTTTAATTGGATTAGACCGGATTTGACACATGCGAGATATTAAATAAGGACCTAATGAATTGGGACCCTAATGAATATTTCTATAAAATTTGAGCAAAATCCAAGATGGTCGAGCAACGAGTTTCGGCGTGTTCATATGGATTGACTCTTAAACAAAAAATAATTAAAATTTCTATAAAGGTGCATACCTAAAGGCTGGAGGTGTGATGGTGAAGATGACTGCGGCGACAACTCCGATGAAAACCAATGCGGTACGAATACATGTGCTAAAAACTATTTTGTGTGTGGGGACGGAAAATGCCTACCATCCTATTGGAAGTAAGTATAAAACAATCAATGATTTACATAATTTCTATGTTGTTATTTAATTGATTCTGCTATAAAGTTTTTATGTCTATATAGTAGCCTATTTATATTTTTAACTAGCAAAGGTTATTGACTCGTGTATTTACTTTCTAGATGTGATTACGAACCAGACTGCTCAGACGGTTCTGACGAACTGAATTGTCCCCATGAAAACTGCACTTCAGCGCAGTTCAAGTGCACAAACGGCAGATGCATATCGAAGAAGTGGGTGTGCGACGGGCAAAACGATTGCGGAAACGGAAGCGACGAAGTCGACTGTCATCCCAATCCACCCTCCAATTCTTGCAAAAGTAAGTCTACCTATTTTATCTTTCTTTATAAAAACAGCTTTTATTAAATTTAGTTTGAAACCTTAAACTATATAAAAAGAACTTTTATATTCTTTTAATGTGTTTTTTAATTCTCTTGGTAAAAAGTTTAATTTGGTAAATGTCATTCGGAAATGTTAAAATCTGTAAAAAATATACATATGTATTCAAAATATTATAAAATTAATTTTATATCTTGAACCGTTTTTAAATTATAAGAACACATGCACATTTCCCGAAAATGGCGCATTTTAAAACTTTTCGATTTAAAATTGTTATTTAAGGATTTAAAAATTGAATTTTTTTTTGTTAATATTTTGCGAATATTTATTGCGATTTATTTATATAAGCATATAGAAAAAAAATTCTAAAGGAGTTTCAAAAATAAACCTTTTTTTAATAACATCAAAGCTATGTCAATAATTTCCTACAACTTGTATAAAAAATTATTAAATTTAAATGATTTTCAAATAAAACTTTTATTATAAAAGTATTAAAAAAATGGGAAAGAAATATTATTTTTTAAAATACTATAAACTTATAGAAGAAATGTTTGCCACAATAAAATGATCTTTTCCCGCCAATCATTTTCCCAGCAGCGAAAAATTATCCGCAGCTTGGCAACACCGCTTTCCAAACATCCCATCAAGGTGTGCGCGCACCTTCATGCATTTCGCCGCTGTTTTATGCGAAAAGTCCTATAAGTACCTGACCGAACAATTCTTTCGTCACTCTGGTATCTCTTCAATAAGCGAATAAATCTTTCGCCTTTTACTAAAGATTTCCGTGGAGAGGTACAACTCAAATGAGTCTATAAACAATTTTTTGTTGGCCTAGCGCAAGTTGGGCCGTTTTAATAATAAAAGAATAATTTATTAGGAAATGACTATTATATTAATAAGGCTTCTTAAATAAGCATAATATGATTAATTAATTAATATTTATAATAGACTATTATAAATATTATTAATAGTTATTTACCGAACTAGTGCGGAAAGTGCAAGATACATACCAGAGACCTTGTCTCTGATACATACTAGAGATGTTTTTTTTATCTATGGGTAGGTTGCGATTTCACTAACTGCTACTCGTTTGTCACACTCACGGTCTGCTCCAGTCCCAGCCAAGTAGCAGTGACATTTTGTCACAGGTTAACACTCGATTGGACGGCCGCTTCGATTCTTTTTAATAATGTTTTGCAATTATTGTAATAAAAAAATCAAAGGGTAAAATATTTTCTTAACACAATCGTATTTTGAAGTTATTTTAATATTTTAAAGTATCAATAAATGTTAAGTTTAATAAAATGAATAAAAAGGCAATGTTACAGGTGACATAAACCCGAAACCGTGCGAGCTGCGATGCAGGGAACATATCTCGGCCGCTACCGCGACTATATGTCACATAGCATGTGACACTGCAGATTATATCAGTAACTGCTCCAAAAAATCACTGCCATTTGTCACCGTTACACGTCTGGAGCAGTTACGTCTTGTCACTGCTCCTCTAAAATTGCAGGTTGGCCCAATACATACACCTTAAGATAGTTATATCCACTAACAATTGTTCTTGGTTGTTAACTTGCTCTGTTTTTTTGTTAAACTTGTTGTTTTTGCGTTCGATAAGGTTCGAATTACTTTTCAGTGTTTAAATTATGGTTATTGCGTTGTGTTAACCTGTTCTGTTTGTGCTAAACTTATTGTTTTTGTATTGCATTAACTTGTTTTGTTTGTGTTGTGCCATTTGCATTTATTAAAATGCAGTATGTCATATTTGGATGCAATACATTTTATTAATTATTAAAAATATTATATATTGACCGTGTAAGGCATAAATATGAGAAATACCAAAAAGCTACAAACTTTTAAAGTTAGTGGAACCATTAAACTTTAAATTTTTCTATATAAATAACTTTGGATTGAGTTTAAACCCCTCCACGCCCTTTTAAAAATTTCATTTTGAATTTATAATATTAACAAAAGGTTTAAAATAAATCAATACAAAAATAAAATTTCACAGACATTTATGAAATTGTTTCGTAAATTGTTTGTACTATTATTTAAAATTGTAATAAATATTTTTATTTAAAATTGATGTATTTTCTTTTAATAATAGGAAATTACATTTAAATAGAATTAAATATTTTTTTAAAGCACCTAGCATCTTTTTATTAACACTTTATTGTAATAAATACAACAACAAATTATTGCATTTTTTTAATAATAAAAAAATAGATTTAAATAGTAATTCATATTTTTCAAAGCATTTAGCATCCATAATATAATATATTATCACTATCTTCAATATCATATTTAAAAAAACGGACTATGTCCAGATATTTTTCTATAGTCTTTGATAGTATTGCTGTAATTCGTGTATTCGCGCGGCTACTACTCATCGGGTGACGTAATGCGCGGCACGAACAAAAACTCGTCCACGGGAGCATCTAGCCCTGGGAAAGTGCTACTTTTCCGCACGCGACTGCCGTTGAACACAACGTTCGATCAGCAATCGAGTGACTTTCCGTCATCAGTTTTTATTTGTAATTTTTTTCTTCCAGCGTGCGGAAAGTTGCTACGAGCTTGGGGAAAAGTACAATTTCTCGCTCGCTTGTAGAAAACATCATTTATATAATATTAACAAAAATGTAATATTGATAGTAGGCGTTTAAATAAATATAAGTAACTTACTTTGTGTTACTAAGATATTCTGAGTAAGAACTTCTTACCTACATGTTTGCGCTTTTAATTTAATAATATTAATTTAATAGTATGAAATGTTATGGCTGTTTGAAGTTCAGTGGCTTATACGCGTAATCTGTACTTCACCATTTACCAAAAGTCGTACGAGTTTTATTCAACATTAACTTCAAACTTTATTTACAAATTTTAATTAATAATTATAATTTATAAATATATTTATTTAAATAATTTATTAAAATATATAAATTAAAACAATTTGTTTTCATGATTTTAAGATTAGTAAATCAGTGGTAGGCAATCCATATTACTTTAATGGATTTTGGATTATAGAAAAACTGACAGTAGTTCTTTGAACAATTTAAAATTCATTATAACATTATCAATTACAATTGAATGGTAAAGTGATAAAGGGATTACGTAATTTTAAATAAAAATAGATTTGGAACTGCATTACAATATTTTTTGTTTGAAGGTGACATGTTACATTTAAGTTCAAAAAAGAACAAACAATATTGTGATTGTAAATGAAAATGAATTTGGTATTGCAATTAAAATATTGTTTGTCCTTTAATATTAAAAATGTTACTAACCCCTTTATCCACTTGCCCTTAAAAATGCATTAAAATATAGAATTTATTTGCAAATATTGGTGAATAAGTCATTTAAACTTTGAACGACCATTACATGTGAAGTTAAGCTAAGGTGACCAACCGTTCTGATTTAACCAGAACTATACTGTTTTTGAGAACCATGTTCTGGTTGTAAATTAAGTAAAGTAAAAGTTCTGTTTTTCAAAAGCTTTTCTGTTTTTTTCTGTTTTCATACTTACATATACCTACAATGCTAATCAATTGATTAGCATTGTGGCTTAAGCCATAACGATAAAATTATATTTTCCACTGCCAGATTTCTCGCCCAATCGTGCAACCCTGCTCGCCCTACTTCCACTAAATAGTATTTAGTAAATACATTCGCGTTGGCGTTGGCGTTCCCACTTGGCTCTTCCCAAACGAACTAATAGTTCGGAACTATTTTTGTATTGCGCATGTTCCTGGCCTCTGCGCGTTTTATTGTGGTTAAATATTAAGCGATTTGTAGCGACTAACCTTGCTGGTTACGGTTGGTATGTCCCCCACTTAAAAATTGTGTCGTCATCCGCTGAATGACGTAGCGGTTAAGTTTCGCTAAAACGCGGTTGGTATTCTGTGGTTCAAATATTTGTTTATGTCGACATAACCTAACAAAATAATGGATAAGTTATGTTTGTTGTTATTTAACGCAGATGAATTATTTTTTAGTGATTTTATGTTTAACTTGTTACTTCTAAATGAAAACAAGACTAAAATAATTTGCAATATTCTTAAAACTTAGAATGCCTGTGCCGGACACTTGTTGGCTAGAAAGCTATCATGAAATTGTCTTTTTTAACTATTTAGATTGAAAAAAAGTACATTTGATAAACTGCTGAATATTATATTAAAAAATGATACAAACATGCTGGTAAAGAAGAAATATTACGTTTATATCTTTACCATTTAATAGAATATTAGCAGTTTGCATATCACAAATTGCTTTGTAATCCTCCCCTTCATAATTTAAGGTTATTTCTATAAATTCCTTATCCATTTTTAAAAATTGAAATAAACACAACAATAAACATAACCTCTTCTTTCGTAACCAACTCTAACTCACGTCTTGAACAGGGTTACGACCGGTAACGGAAATGACGAAAATTTATGACGTCATTACGCCCTCCCCTACCATACCGCTTTCTGGCAGAAATAAAATGGTCAGATAACCGATCATACCCGGTAAGACCTAGTTACTCGCTACAAATCGCTTATTGTTTTTATATTTCAAACTCTAAATGATATGCCTCTGCAAAGAGGAAAATGCAGAAATGCAAAAGAATTACCCATATTGTTGTGTTTATCTTGAACAAATAGTCCTGTAGAGAAAGTTTTTTCCAATATGAACAACTTTTGGACAAAAGACAAATCAGAATTGCATATTGAAACACTAAAAGTAGGTACTAATAAAAAAAATTCACTCCCAAGAAAAATATAGTTTTAAAAAATCTTAATTTGTAATAATATTATGTAAATAGAAATACATGTAAAAATTTTATAAAAAATACAAATTTTTTATTAAAGTTCTGGTTTTTCTTTCAGGAGAGTTGGTCACCTTAAGTTAAGCTAAACTTTTAAAATCCATTATAGGTTTCCAATCCACATTGCGACCAAGTAATTTTTGTACTAATATTTTAAGAATGTTTAAAATAATTTTATATATTTGTTATTTATGTCCATTATTTTTTGTTTTGAAAATGGTTTTAGAGTGTAATATTTTCATACAATTATTTGCTTCATATATATTATATTAGTTAGTAGCAATTTAAGGTGCAGGCGGATAAAGGGGTTAAGTAACATTTTTAATAATAAATAGTAGAAAATGTTTTTTACTCCCATACTTAATTCGTATATTATACATTTCTTACCTGTACTTTAATAAGATCCATTATGATACAAATTTTTCATTACGATACATACCTATTTTTAACCAATAGAAATGCAATACACGGAAATATTTTGACAAGTAATTAGTGTTTTTTAAGTAAATTTCTACTTTATTTTGATAGTCATGAAAAAAATAGTGCATGAAACTCCCATTTAATGGGCTATTAAGACATAATTCTCATGCTCATGTCTTAATATTATCATCATTAAATGGTTGTTGCATAAAATACTATATTGTAAATAAAAATACAATTGGTATTGCAATTAAAATATTGTTTGTCCCCTATTATAAAAATGTTACTTAACTTCTCCATATCCTTGCCCATTCTGCATGTATAGGTACAGTTTATTCATTCCACGAAAAATCGCATATCTTGGGTGAAAATATAAAAATAATTTCCACTTTAATTTAATTTTAAATTATCTTTTTTAAAAGAATGTACATCACTGCACAGTTATACAACAGTATATTATGTATCAAGTTATATAAACGGCATTTTAGTCACGAGTTTTAATTACACCCAAGCAAAGCTTGCAACAGAGTCTTTAATAAAAACGAGTTTGTAGAGAAGTTGCCTGCTATACTTTATATACTAAGAACACAAAAAACAATTTAAAAGACAATTTTATTTGTTAAAATTTTGACATCTTATAACTGTCAGACGAATTTAACCTCACTTTTACCAGTTAATTATAATAGTACTAGTCCTTTAACTATAGGAGTAGGATAAAAAAAAATTCGATATTTTTTAAATATCCAACGGCCTAGGGGTTGGGCACATAACCAAATTCATTCAGTTTCAAATGTTACTCTAATTTAATAAAATTTGATGCATCGATCAGAATTAGATTTTGTATGATGTAAGGTTTTTAATAAAATCTTTTTATAAGGGTTTAAATACTGAATATTTATTGTACACGACCCCAAATCTATGAAAGAAAGTTGCCATTTTATTTATTGGGCTGCAGATTAATTTTGTAGAAAAAATTACAGAATTCCGATTTGGCTAAAAATGTTTTTATAAGAGCGCATAAAATTTGTGGCGTGGCGTCGGGTTTTTCCACCTTTAATGTTTGGTTTAAATTTGCAGCTGACGAGTTCCACTGTCAATCAGGCGGTCTGACCTGCATCCCGTCCACATGGAAATGCGACGGTGAGCCGGATTGCCGCGACGGCAGCGACGAGGTAAACTGCAACAACAATACGTGCACCGAGGCGCAGTTCTCGTGCGGGGAGCCCAGCTTCCGCTGCATCTACAAGAGTTGGATCTGCGACGGCGACAAGGACTGTCCCGACGGCAGGGACGAGCTTAACTGCACAACCACCAGACCGCAGCACCAGCCCTATCCCTTCCCACAGGCAGTAAGTACAATTTAAAATGATAATATTACCTATAAGACAAAGAGCAATGTTACAGTGTATGTTTATGATATTTTGCACTATCTATTTATTATTGTACCCTTGACATGTTCTACATACTGTTTCTATGAACGTAATTGAAGATTTGACTTGAAACTTCTTTTTCAAAATCTTTATTGTTTTTTGGCCAGGAAATTATTAAGAAATACTGTATTTTTAAGACACGCTTAAAATATATATAATTCAATGCAATGAAGATGAAATGCTACAGTCTTTAATTTTGACTCATGACTTAAGTACTATACTATACATTAGAATACATGAGGAACAAATTTTATAACGATCAAATATCACATATTAACAAGGTTCAGACTTATTGGTCTGATGGCATGAACTGATAACCAATAGTTTATAAGATAATTAAGAAAAACTGATTTTAGACTATACTTCATGCCATTATTCCAATAGGTCTGAAATTTTCACATATCTTGTTAAAGCCTTTTCGACCTTGCCAGAATCATAATGATACACTGTAGACTAAACAAACATTACATAATGTAACGTTTTTGTGGTTCGACAGTGTGAATAGAACACGCACTGGTTTATTAACGAAGTAAACTATTTATTTTATAACTTAATTACAATTAAAACACTAAGAAACTATAAAACTAACTAATCACTTAACTACTAATTATTTATATATCCCTACTGTACAAGAGTCGATTTATTTGCACGTATATTTAATTTATTTTGTCGCGTGTACCAAAGCTTAACCAACTTCTCGATGCTCCGCTATGCCTTATATATCCAGTGCTTACGTGAATTCACCTCACGCAAACACCTTCCCGAATATTCCAGCGAGCGGTGACTCACCGGCGAAGACTCATGCACATACAATTACTATATAGATCGGAATTCGTGAAATAAGCATGAAAAAAAAAATTGACCATAAAAATTTCTTGACCAAACAAAATTAAGTATGTTATCTTTTAATGCCAAATGAAATTTTAAAAGTTATCAAACAAAACCTAGTTATTCTTGAACCAATAAATCGATTTTGATAATACTTTGAATACTTTGGCATATACTTTGGAAATTTGTTCTGAAATTTCCGAAAAAAACTTTTTTCGTGTTCTGATCTTAAAAATCAAAATGTCAGTTTACTAAAAAACTCTAAGGAATCTAAATACTTGTTTGCATTAAAATAATTTTATAAGCATATAGAAACATAGAGAAAATGGGTTTTCCATATTAAGTATTACTTAAATATCATAAAATTCGAAAGATAGATCAACATAATTTTCCAGATGAATTGACTTTATTATAAACAATTGTAAAAGACTAATGTTTCACGAAAAATACTTTACTAATAATAATAATGATTATTATTGCGCTGATAAGAGTAAATGCTCATAAATTTATAAACACTAAAATATAAATTTAAATTTTATAAAAAAATGTCATTAAAAAAATAGAGGTATAAGTACTCCATATTGGAGAAATTTGAAGTGGCATAATTTGTTTGTTTTTAAAAGTTTTATAAAAAAAGTCCAAACCTTAGTTTCATGTCTAACCATTTTGGAATAGGATGTTATGATGTTCTGTATGACGTAGTTATTTGTTGGATATGTTATAATCAGTGTTGCCAATTGATTTTACCAGTTTACTCTTAAAAGTTTCTGGGTTTACTTACAAATTACTTACAACTTCAAAAAATATACCAATTTTTTTAAATTAAACATTTTGTAGTGCTAGAACCCGAAAAAATATCGGGAAATCAGAAATATCCTCTTATTAGCGACACTTTGCTGTGCAATGTTGGCAAACATTAAAAATGAAATTCCCAAGATGTTTAGTTATCGAGTTTTTCAAAGAAAATATAGAATTAGCAAAATTTTTGTTATGTCCTGATTACTTACATTTTTCTCGCAAATGCAAGGAATTACTCACAGATTGGAAATTCCGCTTTTTAGTTTTGACGCCAAATTCAAATATCGAGCACTTTAGTAAATGCTTGAGTATTTATTTATAAGCGCTCGATCATTTATAAGCGTTTCCTATAATTATTATTATACGGTTTAGTAAACCTAGTTGGTTGCCTAACTTAAGATGTTATACAGGGTGTCCAAAATGTGATGGGATAGTATTGCTATCTCGGTAACGGTTATAGTTGGAATAGGGCATCAAGAGTTCAAAAGTTGCGTAATTACATGCCTTTTAATATGGCATAGAAGATATATTATATATTATATATATTATATAAAATATAAAAAAAAATATAAAAATCGGTTAAAACTTATTATCGCTATAACGTTTTTATTTCTAGGAATTTTATAATACTGAAAGGTTTACATTAAAACATATAAAGTTACATACATTTTGATCCAATTTGTGTATTTTTACGCCAACTAGATTTTGAGATACGGCTACTATCTTTTGTTTCTCATATGCCCGCCATATGTGGCCATATCTCAGAATCTAGTAGGAGTAAAAATACACAAAAAGGATCAAAACGTATGTAATTGTGTATGTTTTTATGTAAACCTTTCAGTTTTTCAAAATTTCTATAAATAAAAAAATAATAGCGATAATAAGTTTTAACCAATTTTCAGTTTTTTTCAAATATTTTGAGAACCGCTGATTTTGTGTGCAATATTCAGATGCCATAATAAAAGGCATGTACTTAGGCAACTTTTGAACCCTTGATGCCCTATTCCATCTGTAACCGTTTCCGAGATAGCAATGCTATCCCATCACATTTTGGACACCCTGTAGATATAATATAACTATAACACCTATAACATATTATGTGTTATAAGGTGTTATAGTTAGTATATGTTTCAATACAGTTTTTGTACATAAATTATAAAACAATATTACATTTTTTATGCATGTTGCAATGAAAATTGTCCCCTGTTAAAGAAAAATTGCGGGTTTGTCGAAAAAACGGTCTAAAATACTACATACTATACTATGATAACGAATATACAAAATTTAAAACCTTAAAATTGTAAAAAAATATATTGGAACTATTTAATTTTTTGGAACCTTACAAAATACAGAGTTTTTGGGAACCCATTCTCTTGTTTCAACCAATGCAGAATTGTCCCTCCAGGCCTTGGGAAAATTGTCTTTTTGGAGAATTGATTTTTTTTAAATCTACACATTTAAATAAAAATAGCGATCAGCAACTTAACATTATTTTAATAAAAAAAAAATATTCTTTGTCACAGAAAAAAATAAAAATAAAACGTCAACGTTAAATATATTATCGGTTGGGTCCTTTTTGCAAAATCATTTAAAATACGCTGTGTCTACAGTCCCGATGCGGGACCTAAGTTCGATCCTGACTGACGTTATAATTTTATGATTTCATAAAATTTTTACGATAAAACTAAAACAAACCAACCCAACACGTTTTAAAAAAGTAATATCCATTTATAACTGTAGCAAAATGATAATGAGAAAGGGAAAATACTTTAAAATATTAATGTAAAATTGCTTTTAAGGCCACATTGTATTATTTTATTCGTTAAATAGAAATAAAAAAAAGTTGTAAAGGCGCTAACTATCGAACCCGGTACCTCTCGCATGTAAAGCAGGTGCTCTTCCATAATATAAATTTCCTATCGCTCGGGACACAACGTAATATTATATAATTATAATCTGCGTCGGAAATTTTTTCTCGATATCAGTGTACAATGTACACTGTACATATATTATCCGTAAAAAATTGTAAATTTTCAGAAAAAGTTCGTATTACCCTTTGAATAAAATAAATAACATGCAAGTCAATTTTTCTGAAATTTTTTCGATTTTGTTTGTTGGAAAAAACGTTTTTTTTCGCCGGCTCAATTTTTCCGGAAACCCTAGTCCCCCCTTTGGAAAGGTTTGGAAAGTGTGACAAATATTCCGTCACCTAACAGATCTACATTTATTTTTCTTTGCATTAAAGTCTATTGGCTATTTTGACCCGAAATACAATTTGACTGCTTAATGCATTCAATACATTTGTGTGCTCTTTTAGAATGGAACTTGCGAAGAATGGATGTTTAAATGTGCAAACAACCGGTGCGTGCCGTTCTGGTGGAAGTGCGATGACGCTGATGACTGTGGCGACGGCAGCGACGAAGAGGGATGCACTCGAGTCAATTTATCCTCCACTACAGTGCGACCCGGATCTGGCCCGACCTCTGACGACAACCGATGCGGCAATAACATGTTCCAATGTCCAACTGGTAAGAAAAATTAAAATGCGTAATTTTACACAAGAAAGTATAAACAATTTATTTAAGAATGCACGCTGTAAGACTTATATAGTATTTTAATTCAACACCCTAGCACAACACCTACATTATGACTATGGTTTAAAAATATAAATGCATTGGAACAAATATTTTAAGGATTATTATAATTGAGGAGCATCCGTGCAAAATCGGCTATATCCACTTTAATAAAATGTTGGGAAAATGGCAAAAACTCTTGGTTTCCTGGCCTTTACAGATAAAAGAAAAAGCAAACATGAGTTTTGTGGGCTTTGTGGTACTTGATTTATAAGACATACTTTCGTTTTCAAAAACTTTATATTAAGGCCAAAATTTCAAAAAATGTTTTGTATATAGCCGGTTTTGCTCAAAAACCGAATAAAATGTGAAAAAAAACCTTTATTATTAAAAAATATTAACAAAATAAATTTAGTGCAAACATGAAAAAACGGAACTAATTTTAGTAGTAGTATCGACATATCCAAGCCACATGCTCAACATCATTATTATTTATTGGATATAGCCGGGTTTGCTATAAAAACGTGGATTTGGCCGGATTTAAACAGAATTATCTTAGTTGTCGATAGAAATGAACACAAAGATGTGAAATCAGAAAAAAAACCAAAAACTGAATAAAATGGATTTAGCCGGTTTTGCACGGATGCTCCTCAATTGTTAATTTTATTTGTGATTTTAAGATTTTTCGTTTTTAGTTCAAAACAAAATTTAAAATAATTTATATTGTTTTAGGACAATGTATATTTAGTGGATGGCTATGTGATGGTACCAAAGATTGCCCAGAAGGCGAAGATGAATTACACTGCGGTGAAATGAGGAATTGTACAAGGGAACAGTTTAAGTGCAGAGTTGACGGAAGTTGTATTTCGGTAGGTTTTTGATTTTTTTTCATAAAAAAATATATTTTAATCAAAGACTTTTTTTGCCCATAAAATTGTTGAAATTTAACACCCCAACTTTAAATTTAATTCTTAAAATTTCTGAATATTTTACAAAAAATAATATATGTGCCCCATCTGTACATATATATATATACAGTGTGTCCCGGATGGGGTTGCCAATAGGAAAAACTTTTTTATTATGCGTTTTACAGCAATCACTGGTTTGCAACAATCACCAAGACTGTCCGGACGGCAGCGACGAGTCATCGTGCGATCATCCACAAAACCTTCCCGGACCGGCCACGCCCAGCTGCAGCAAAGGCTACTTTCCTTGCGATGGCAGCAGCTGTTACCCATTGTCTCTGCTCTGCGACAACAAGCAAGACTGTCATGACGGCTACGATGAGAGGAACTGTAGCAACCGCTCGCAACGCATCTACCAGGTAAACCAGTTAATTTTGTAGTGCAAAAGGTGGGGAAATTTACAGAAATTATCTGAGGATCTGACAAAATTTTAAAATTTTACCGAGAATTTTACTGTATATTGGCACCTTATGAGAAATAATGACACATTTAAAAAACTATTTGATTGTAAACTAGGGTGTTAAAAAAAGCAAATTGTTTTTGTCTTGCAAACAGGCTCAAAAGCCTGTGAAAATATGAGCTCTTAATTTTAATATCTGAATCCTCCGCATCGCACTTTTTGATTTTCCATAAGAATAACATGGGAAAAATTGTTTTTGTTCATTCTGATTTTTGTAACTCACCAACCAAAGGTCATAAAAAAAATGTGTTTGAATATTTTTGTAGAGAATTAAACGCTCTACAAAAAAGTTTTCTTTTGATTTTTTGCTTAACAAATTGATTAAAAAGTTTTTAAAGATCAAAGTTCAACTTACCAACGGTTTTTCGGTATTGCAGCTGAACTAGTCAGTTTTATCAAAAAATTGAGCACGAAATTTCATGCGGAACGTAAATTTGACATTACAAGAGTCCTTAACCAACATTAAAAAAATAATATTGGTTAAATTTTTTTTTTATTTGCAAATGTAAACAGAACATTTTACTAAAATAATATTATAATAAATTTTTTTCAATTTCATTTTTGTTATGAAAACATACTTAACTTTGCTGCCTGAAATTTCAGTATTTGATGCCACCAACATTTTTTATAAATCGATTTTGAACTCAACTAATGTTCGTTGAGCAACTTTTTTTTTATTTTACTGACTATTCTACTCATTACTTTATGGACCAAACAGATTTCAGAAAACGAGTGTTTTTTTAGTTTTGCAGCGATAAAACTACTATTTAGGTGACTATTTCCCTCGTCTTAATTTCCACCAACCACAAACGCGCAATTTTAAATTACAATTGGTTTCTAAAGTGAAGTCAAATCCAAGACAAACTAAAACAAAAAACGCCAGACGCGTGATCAGTCGTTTGCAGGTGGATAGAACGGTTCTTATTGGGCGAGTCTGAGTTGTGAAGCGTGCCGAAAATTCTTGTCAGGGCCGCATTATGTCCATTGCGGTTATTAATAGCGTATTGTTTGATTACTTCCTTGTTTTCGCGGCTTTCATCTTTGTGGTTATTTTTGTTATTGTTTTATTATTAATACTTGTTATATAACGTTATTTGTTGTTATTGTTGTTGTTATTGCTATCATTGTTGTGGTTATTTGGTTTTTATTGATATTATTCAATTAAGTGCGATGTCTAGCACAGACGAAGCTGAACATTTTCAAAAATGTTTGTTAATTTTGTAATTTAAAAAAACATATTTTTTAAATGTTTTAAAACTTTCACATTAAACTTTAATTATTAAAGTTTAAAACAATTAATTTAAAATAATTTTCAAAAAATTCGTGAAGTTAATTTAAAAAATATCATTTTTATAAAAATTTAAAAACTTTACATTAAAGTTTAAAAAAATAAATTTAAAATAATAATGAAATTATTTCCCAAAATTTTGTTAATTTCGTAATTTAAAAAATATAACTTTTATAAATATTTTAACACCTTTCCATCAAAGTTTAAAAAATAAATTTAAAATATTAAATGATCAATAATATTGATTCAATATATTTTAATACGGCCCAGTGCAACAATTTTCGTCGATCACGTGAATAGAGCATGGACAACGCATGATTGTGTTTATGTCGAGTTCGGCTTGGATTTGACTTGACTTTAGGTGGAAAAACTGTGTGACACCTGTCAGCAGTTTTTTCGAGTTTACCCGCGGCCACGGTCTTATATACAGGTCTTGCAACTTTAAGCTTCGAGGTGGCTTCCTTAACGTGCCAAGCCGCTAGGTGGCGCTAAGATCGAAGGGTGAAGTCAATTAAATGAACTACTTAGTTAAATGTGGAACTACTGCATAACCATAACCTAACTTTTTAAATTCTTTTTCTATGTTTTGTTTACATTTTCAAAAATTTAATATTTGTGAGTTTGTTTCGGATAATTTACGTTAACAAAATAGGACAACAAAGTCTATACTCTATGCACAAAGTCCTCGGCCGTCACATGCCCAGACCAAACATGTAAGTTAATGTATAAAATACATACGTATATCATATATAAGTTACGGCTAATGTGTAAACATGGATAGTTTATAAAGTAGCTGGGTAGTTTATAAACTAGCCAAACTGTCAGCTATTATAATTTATTTTAATCTAATTAATAAGTAAAAACTCCCTGTAACAAAATACACAAGCTTGTTTATAAAAATGTAGGTTATGTTTCTTAACACAGTACATAAGTAGGTAGTTCATTTGACCTTTTATCCCATAGACTTTAAGGACTTAGAGCCGGTTTTACAATCGTTAGATTAAGTTAGCTTATTTGGCGGATAACTTTCATAGAAACCTTCTATCGAAGAAAATTATCCACCAGAGAGCTTATCTAACGATTGTAAAACCCAAAGATAAAGAAGGTAAAAACGACCTTTAAACATCTATGGTTCACCCACAACTCGATGCGCCATCTGGTGGGTGTCTCATTAGAGAGGTCACTTTTCCTATTGAAATTGGGCGAAGTTGCAAGACCTGTATATAAGACCGTGCCCGCGGCAAAACTTGACAGCTGTTGTCACCATTGCAATTTATATTTTAATTGTACCATAAATAATTAAGTATGTAGTATTGTGTAATTAAATAAATTACCTACTTTTCCGTTTTCATACAAGTTGCATGGCAACCAATTGGTTGCTATGCAAAAATTAATTGTCAATGATGACGTTTCTAATTTTAAAATAAAAATTTTGGTCAAAAAAATCATACATAAATTTATTCTAATTAAAAAAAAATATTCGTGATCGCCGAATACCACTCGTGATAAAATTTTCCCTGAAAAAATTTTTGATTTTTATTTACTCAAGATTTTTCCCTGCAAATTTCGCTCATGGCATTAATTTAAAACCTAGCCTAGCGGCTCGTGGTCTTAAAAAATAATGCCACCAAGAAAAAAACATACGTATAGAAATCAAAAATTTTATCGGTAAAATTTTACCACTGTGGTATTATATACGATAAATAGTTGTTTTTACACTCAGCTGTTAACACTGTTTTTGACACTAGATGGCGTTATGGCTGGTTTATAATGGCGTTTTCCCTATTTATTTCCGGTTTTAGAATATATTCTAAAAACTGTTCAAAAATTGAAGATGTCGATAATTCATTATAGCTGCATTACCGATATTTTGACATATTATGTTGATGTCTTTCATAAAATGGACGGATCCGTACGTTCAACGTATAAACAAACTCTTAAAAATAAATTTATGTTTATTTACAATATTAAAAACTATATTCGATATTAATATATGATATTAGAAACAATATTTAAACCATTATTTTTAGTTGAAAGGAAGGGTAATTAAAGGGTATTTGGTTTTTGAATGATTTAATTCTATTTTCAGAAATATTTTATACGATTAAGGAAACTTTTTCACCAGGCTATTTAATTTGCAATTAAAATCTAAATACACACTGAACCTAAATATGTAAAATTTACATCTTTAATTTTTGAACATTGTGTTAGCAACTGAGTGTAAAAACAAATATTTTTATCGGTAAAATAAAAAAAAATTGCTTAACAAAATCATTTATTGAATTATCAAATTTGATATACTGAAATTTCAGGCAGTAAAGTTAAATAATATTTAATAAATATGTTTTCATAATAAAAATGTAATTAAAAAAATATATTATCTGTTATCTATTATTTGTAAAAGAAAAAAATATGAATAGAATATAATAGAATTTATTAAAAAACCTTTCAAAATTTACATTTCATTACAGGCTTATCCTCTAAATATTTACATTAATATTTAACATTGCACATTTTTACACATTTCACAAGAATCGCATTTTGTCAGTCTCAAACATATTTTTAACTTAAGTACTTAAGACTTAAGTCTTAAGTTGATCTACATAATATTATTTACATATTTAGTATACTAGTACAAAATAGTTAACAAGAATTTTATCACAGAAAATTAATATTTTATAGATTGGTCAGGTGGACCTTTAACAGTCTCTTAAAGTTTCTGTCCGGTGCCTTATGTGATGGTTGTATTGGTTAACGACTCTTGTAATGTCAAATTTTTTTATAAAACTAGTTCCGCTGCAATACCGAAAAATCGGCAAAATTAATGGTGAGTTTGACTTTGATCTTTAATATCTTTTTAACCAATTGGTTTCGCAAAAAATCATAAGAACCCTTTTTTGAAGAGCGTTAAATTCTCTATAAAAATATCCAAACACATTTTCTATATGACCTTTGGTTGGTGAGTTACAAAAATCAGAAGGAACAAAACAAATTTTTTGTTATTCTTATGGAAAATCGAAAAATGCGATGCGGAGCATTAAGATATTAAAATTAAAAGCTTATTTTTATACATAAACGAAACTTTTGAGCCTGTTTGCAGGAAAAAAACAATCCGCTTTTTCTTTGAAACACTCTATTGTGAACAGAATAAATTTCTTATTAGAATCAAACAAAAATACATAGCGAAAATCTGTACAGGTAATGCAGATGGGCGTTAACGAGCGCGGCGTGTCCGACTCCTCTTTGTCGATTTACTGGTGGATTCAGAGACCGAGCGAAATAAAGTTGGAGTTCATACCGAGCATAAGTCGCGTGGGCGACGATAAATGGGAGAACAAAACCGCTACGGACGATACCGAGTACGAGTTCACCAACTTGGAGCCGTACACAAAGTACAACATAACGATTTACGTGAAAATCAAGAACAGCGGCACCGTATTCCCGCCCGCCAAACATTTCATTGCTCACACTGTAGAAGGTAAGTGACAAAATATTATTATACATAATATCCGAGACAATATGTAATATATATTATATCTAATTATTTTTTAAAGGATTTAATTAGAAAAAAACATCCGTTATTTTGTTTTTTAAAGGTTTTATTCTTTTTGTTTTTTTCATAAGTTTATATAACAAAAATATATTTAAAATATTGAAGGAATATTTTTGCTAAATAACCAAATATTTTAGAAATATTAGTCATTATCATTTAAATGCCTCTAAAATGTCCCACTTTTTATATTTATACAATATTTTTCACAACATTTTTGTAAATGTTTTAGGTACATTACCTAATATATTATTAATGTTTCCTCAACTTTACAAAAATATCTAGAAATATTTTTAAAATATTTACAGTTCATTGAATATTTATTTTAAAAATGTTGTAAATGTTGCTTTTATATTAAAAGCCATGCGAATAGTATCACATGATGTGATACTATTTGTGTACTGAATTTTCTTGTTTTGGACTGCAAAAAGTAGATATGGTGATCTCATAATATTTATATCGATTATTTTAAAATTTAAAATAAACTATTTTTTTATTTTTTATTAAGACGTGTACTAAATTTTCTTGTATTTTTAGCGTTTTAGCTATGGTACCACTGTTTTAGTATATATAATATTATTATATATACTAAAACAGTGGAATACCATAGCTAAAACGCTAAAAATACAAGAAAATTTAGTAAACGTCTTAATAAAAAATAAAACTATATTTTATTATATTATATTATTATAATATTATTAAATAGACTAAAACAGTGGAATACCAAAGCTAAAACGCTAAAAATACAAGAAAATTTAGTACACGTCTTAATAAAAAAATAGTTTATTTTAAAACATGCACATGCATTCATTTCAGACAGACACCCAAATTTAGGCCCCATAACTAATTTATTTTTGAGAGTTTGTCAAAATTTCAGTTTTACTAAAAAATTATGTTATTGTCTGGCGCCCAACAGCACATTTCTGTTCTCTCTAAAGCCGAATCTTTTTCTTCTCTGCGCCCAATTTATGTTTGTATGTAACTGATATTTTATTCACTTTTGCAAGATCTACATACACACTGAGAGGAAAAGAGAACTCTATTGGTAATATTCAAAACCTTAGATAGGCACAATGTGCTCCCATGTGGGGGCCCTGATCCGATATTTCCATTTACAACCTTTGATCAATTAATAGACATTATTAATGAAGAAGTATCTATACCTAGGAGACCTAACAACAAATTAAAAACAAATCAGTTCCATAATGGAATAGAACTTGCCAGGAAAAATTTGGCAACTCTGTGTTCTTACTGTGTTGTATATACAGTTAATTCACATACTGAATACAGTGTTCTTGGCTAGGCCTTGTTTGTTTTTTTTTCCACAATATCCGTTTTTAGGCGTATGATATTTTGGTATATAAAATATAAATTAAAATATTGCCCCCTTTTGCATGGTATTGTCACCCTGTATAATCATTGTAGGCCGTAGCCAGAGTGTATCTTCTGCCAGGTCCATGGTCTTCATATTTAATATATGTATATGGGGATTTCACGCCAAATCGGCCACTTCTAAACCCGACCCCTTTTTAAAAACATTTCTGTGGGTTTATTCATTACGTAATTTATTCTGCTTTAATGCCGCAAATCCCATGGTGGGACAACTTTTCATTCTGTTTTTTTTATTTGCAAAACTTTTTTAAAAAGTTTTGCAATCTAGCTCGGTTTTAATAATAAAATAAATTTAATTAATTATAAAAAATAGAAAGAAGAGTATGGGATTTGGGGAATTAAACGGAAAATAAATCAAAGTTTTTCGGGGAAAAAACTAAAAATGTCAAATTTCACGAATAATTTGATAAAAAAAATCTCTTGATTAGTCAGTTCTTAGTGGGGTAGTAAAATTCAGTCAAAGGTGTCGAGTTTTAAATTTTTTGATTTATAAAATATACGGAATATTTTTTATTGCGCAGGAAGACAATTATTTATTAAAAAATAGTCTAATTAATTTTTAATTAGTTTAAGATTCTCTGCCAAGGCCCTGGCTACGGCCCTGATTGTGTCAGTAAAATATATTATTTTCCAACATTTACTGTAACTAATTGTTTAGAGAAGAAGTTCACAATTTTTCTTGTATTGTTGTTTAATTTTATATTTTCTTTTTCTTTAAGGTGTGCCTTCTGAACCCTGGAACGTCACAGCAAAGCAGATTAACGGTTCGCATATTTTGCTTAAATGGAATGCACCGAAACATCCGAAAGGAGTCATTACCAATTACCGCGTCGTTTGGTACCAAAACGACAGATTTATTACGGACGTTAGGCTCAGAGGTTCAGAAACCAAGCACCTATTGCCTGTTGATTTAGAACATGGAAAAGTCTACAACTTTTACGTAAGTAAAAAGGGAATACTATTGTTTAAATTTTATTTTGCGGATTTTGCTGTATCTTGGCCGCACTAAAAAAACAGAAAAATGTTGCCTATGCGTTTTAACAAAATCTTTTTACCGAAACAATGTCCCATTGTTTGTTATTATAAACATTTAAATTTTCAGGTAATTGCCATAAATAATAAGTTTGAGAGCAACAAATCCATCGTGGGAACGTTAAATTACGACGGAAAGACTTTCTTGGAGGCCTTCAAGGATCTCAGCGTTAAGGATGTAACCAATCACAGCGTCGCGTTGGCTTGGAAGTACGACGGCGAACAACCCGAGGGCTTCCTGGTAAAAACCTTCACCGAACGGTTGTATCCCGCTTTGCCGTACATGAAAACAACGAACAACTCGTTGACGATCAATCTGGCGCCTGGAACAACTTACCACTTTGAGGTAAGTTTATCAAATAATTTTTATTTTTGCCTTGCAAAATGCTTCAAAGTAAATTCGTTATTTTAAAATTTGATGCTTCATTACTTGTGATTTTGTAAGAACTTTTTTAAGGAATATTCCCAGCAAAGACCACTGTAAAGGTTCTACAGGGTGTCCGGGAAAAGGAGGTCAATCCGTTAACCATATATTCTTTGAGTTAAAACAATGAGACTTTCATAATACCATTTTTCAATTTAGAGCTTCATGTTCGATATACAGGGTGACAAAGTTTGAAATTTAAAACTGATTTTTTTTAATAATTCAAGTAATTGATAAGATATTAAGTTCAAATTCGGTACACTACTTCAACATAAATAGTTACATTTTTTGAGACCAACAAAACAAAAAACAATTGTTAAATAATCAAAATAGGGGGGTCCAGTACTCACTGACTCCCTCTATTTTTTAGTACGTGCGCCAATGACTCCCAAACGGTATGTTTTCAGGTAATCATTTATTGTTGAAAATTTTTTGTCTCTTATAAAATTTTGATAAAATGATTTGTTTTAGAGATAATTTGTAAAGTATGGGTCAATCCATATCAAATTTTTGAAATTTAATTTTTTTTGAAAAAATTTAGGTCATGTGATATATCATAAAAAATGTCTCTAATAGGCCTTTAAAAGGTGAGTTCGGGATTGCTACACCGTTCACACCGTGCGCACTTAGCAGTTCGGGTATGCAATTAATGTAAAAAGTGTGATTGTAATTGCGTTCGGGTATTTTAGTGTGGTGTGAACGGTGTTTGCACCAAACGCCCCGACTTGTGAGCTAGGGCTTTGGTGCGGGCATGCGCTTTAGGTAGGTATTACATTTTTGAATTAAAAGTTTTACCCATGGAACAACACAACAACAGGTGTTGTTCTATGGTTTTAACCTTACAAATTGAAAGTTACAATTGTTAACAATTCTGTGATAATAACAAAGGTGATACCTACATAATTTTGCTATAATCTGTTATAATGGAAGAAATTTCAAAGAAAACCTATTGCCCTGTGCAAGATACGCAGGGAAACATTATAATTAAGGAAAATAAAATTTTGTTATGCAGTAAGAAAAGTAAGTGGGTTAAAGGCTGCATTTATTCGTAATAAAATGTTTATTTCATTTATAGCAATGGATCTGTGTTATGTACCACTTGATACTCAAGTTATAAAAGAGTTTCAAGTGGTGGTAGCACCACAGGAATTAGTTCGTAATGCACCACAGGAATTAGTTGCAGAGGATGTTGCAGAGGATGACGAAGCACCAGATGAAAATGAAAACAAGAGAATATGGACTGAGCAAAATATTAAGCTGCTGATTGAAACAGTAAAGGAATTTGACGCAGAATTTTCAACAGGAATAAAAAATAAGGTTTGGGACAAGGTGGCAGGTAAATTAAGGTCCAAAATAAATTCAAAACTTACAAGCCTTCAAGTTAATAAATGGAAGGGGTTAAAACGCACCTATAAAAGTATTCTGGTCAATAATAACACTTCTGGTCAAAAAAGAAGAACTTGGCAATATTTTGAATTAATGAATAATGTTCTATTTCAAAAGCCTGAAATAACCCCAGTGGCAACCTGCAGCAGCCGGCTAGGTTTAAGTGTAAACATAAATGGTAAGTTATTATTTAATCACATGCTGCAGTATGAAATGTTCATCTTATTTTAGAGAGTAAGACTGAAAGCCCTTTAAGAAGTGAGGCCCCCCCAGAAGAAGAAAGTGAAAATATTACCCCAAAGAATTATACAAGTTCATTTTCAAGGAAGCGAAAGGCTCGCCAGTCTGAAGCTGAAAAACGGCATCTGGATAAGATGCAAAGGCTGGACCGGTTTAATAACATCTTCGAAAAGTTGGTAAACAAAATAACCAACAGCGACCATGAGAGTGGAACTGAAGATTAAATTGCTCCTAATAAGGATTTACGTTTTTGCCAAAGAATTCTTTGTTTTTTTTTTAGTTTGAGAATTTGACTTTTGTTTTTGTTCATTTGGGACAACTGGAATGTTCAATTAATCCAAGTAATATATATATATATATATATATATATATATATATATATAATATATATATATATATATATACAGTGTGTCCAATTAAGTCGGAACCATATGGAAAACTTTTTTATTATTGGTTTTATGAAAAAATTTTATTCCTGATAAAAAGTTCTGCATAGTCCAAAACTTAAAATGCAACCATCATATATCAATTTTCTTATGCCGTATACAAGGTTAGTCGAAAAATATGAATTTTGCCCAAGAGCAAAGTACCTTTATTTTTGAAAATATCGAAAATTGTTATTAAAAAAAGGTGATCAGGACTAAAAAACTTGTTTAAATATGTAGTTACACCCATTTACGATGAAAAAAATAGGTTTTGTTATTTTGTAATAATTTTTCTGCATCATTAATTATGAATGAACATTTATCTATTGTAAAAAAACTATTTTTTCATCGTAAATGGGTGTAACTGCATATTTAAACAAGGTCGTGATCACCTTTTTTTAATAACAATTTTCGATATTGTCAAAAATAAACGTACTTTGCTCTTGGGAAAAATTCATATTTTCCGACTAACCTCGTATACGGTTTAAAAAAATTGATATCTGATGGTTGCATTTTAAGTTTTGGACTATGCAGAACTTTTTTATCAAGAATAACTTTTTTTTTTAAAACCAATAATAAAGTTTTCCATATGGTTCTGACTTAATTGGACACACTGTATATATGAGATGAAGGCATATTTCGCTATTTGAAGTAATACATATTTAAATTAATAATATTTTGAACAGCTTAGCAAAATTTCTAACAAAAAGTAATCTTATTTTTTATTTTGGTCTATAGATCAAAATTTTTGGTCTAGAGACTAAAATAGCTTAATAAAACCTTATATAATGAGTGTAAAAACACTTAACTTTTCTAGAAAATTTGTTCTTGGATTAATAATTAATTATTAAACATGTTAGTTATCCCATATGGTATTAATATTTTTGTTTTGTTATGTTTATGATTAATATTTTTGCTTTTATGATTAATATTTTTGCTTTGTTATGTTTATGATTAATAAAATATTAATTAGTTTAATTAGTTTAATAATTAATCCACGGTTTAATAAAATGATATTTCTTACCAAGAAATTCTTAGTGCAATAATAATTCCAAAGAAATAAAATTCAAAGAAATGCGTCATAAATGGTTTATTGAATAAAAATAAACTTTATTCTTCACGTTGAATAATAATCGGTAATCGGTGAACAATATTTCTGCGCTTTTGAACTGCACGTTCTGCATTTTGATTTTCATGTCTGATGTCTCCATCTACATTCTGAGGATTGTTTTCACGTTCCCTTTGTAGTTCTTCAGCTAAGTTCATTATGGGTTCATGCAGATCACCATTTAAGAGACAAATATTATGCAATATACAGGCCACGATAATGTTTAGTACTGCTAAGTCTAATCTAATTGTTTCTAACAATTTCAGTCTTCGAAACCTACCCTTTAACAGAGCAAATGCATTTTCTATTTTGACTCTTATTTTGCTCAAAATACAATTAAAATTTTTCATCTCTAATGTTAAATGGCCGTTATCTTTAAAGCCTACCAGCAGATGTTCGTCCAATTTGTAGGCTAAATCACCAAGTAAATGGGTGTTGTTATGAAATATAATTGATCCATCTTGGATACCTTGATAAAGGTCCGATCTTCGGTACAAGGTATAATCATGGATTGACCCAGCTTCTCCAGCATACACATCTGTGAATAATAACTTATGGTCACAGACACCCTGAATAAGTAAAGAATGATAATTTTTTCGGTTTATGTATGAATTGTGATTTTCTCTGGGAGCCACAATTTCAATGTGGGACCCATCAATGCAACCAATTACTCCTACAAATGGTGTTACAAATACCTTTACACACTTAGTACAAATCAACTTACCAGTAAAATCATTCCTCTCAAATCCATTGGAGATTTCAGCTTGTCTTTGCTGATCGGGCCAACTAATCACATTGTACTGACGATTCATCTGCAATAGTAGTTGGGTTGTATGGGTCAAAATATTCCAGCAAGTGGACTTGGTCACTCCAAATCTATTTGCTACTGATCTAGGAAAAAGCATAAGACTATTAATTTTGATCAATATTAGTATATTTACATACCTAATAGACTCCAGATTTCCTAAATACCAGACAGTTATCATGACTTCTTTTTCTAATTCTGTTCGTGGGAAACCTGGTTTAGTATGGCCAATATTTATGTTGTTCAAAATGGCAGTATGATGGACTTTTTGAAGTAGGTCTTCGAATGTATGTGGATTCAAACGAAAATGCATGTGAAACTCATTGTCTCTCATTAAAGGAACAGTGAGCTCAGCAAAATTTTCAATTTTTTCAACAACATTTTCAAAGTCCTCTTCGTCATCGTTCTCAAAGAATAATTCCCGAGCCATATTAATAATTGGTAGTAGCAAACCAGGTAATCGATGGCGATGGAAATTCATTGCAATCTTTTAAGGTTAAGTTATTTATCTATGAATCTGTCAAATATCACACCATAAAAACACCGAAGCGTTCGGGTTGCGAATCATAGGTTTCTCTTGCGAATGCACTTTTAACTCCCTACTCCAACACTACACCGCACTACACTTACACCAAACCGCAATCCCGAACTCACCTAAAGTAAGCCATCACTCACCTTTCTACTTTTAATAGTTTACGAGATATCGCTATTTTTGTAAGTACTTGCAAAACCCAAATTTATCGGAATTTTTTGATTTTCAAAAATCAATAAAACAAAAACCACCCATCGAAAAAAAATCATATATGGGATTTTTGAGTTTTTTAGTGAGGTTAACAAATTTACCAAAAATTATCAAAATCGGAGATGGTGGGGGAAGAACCTTTGGTTGATTTGATATGGACTGACCCATACTTTACAAATTATCTCTAAAACAAATCATTTTATCAAAATTTTATAAGAGACAAATTTTTTTTAACAATAAATGATTACCTGAAAAAATACCGTTTGGAACTCATTGGCACACGTACTAAAAATAGGGGAAGTCAGTGAGTACTGGACCCCCCTATTTTGATTATTTAACAATTGTTTTTTGTTTTGTTGGTCTCAAAAAATGTAACTATTTATGTGGAAGTAGTGTACCGAATTTGAACTTAATATCTTATCAATTACTCGAATTATTAAAAAAAATCAGTTTTAAATTTCAAACTTTGTCGCCCTGTATATCGAACATGAAGCTCTAAATTGAAAAATGGTATTATGAAAATCTTATTGTTTTAACTCAAAGAATATATGGTTAACGGATTGACTTCCTTTTCCCGGACACCCTGTATAATGACCCTTTATAAACGTGCCCTTAATAAACTAAAGGCTTAATCTAATGGAACTGTACATATTATGTCGCGTTCACCTTTATTGGGCATGTATCGGCAGTCAATAAAGGCACTTACAAGAACCATTCCATTTTTTGATATGGGCGCTATAGGTTCTAACATGGCAGATTAAAGGTACAAATGTGGCAAGCTAAAGTGGTTATTTAAATATTTTTTAATGGATACGTATAAGGCGCCGTTTGTGTCAATAATATAAGCATAGTTTTATGTATATTTAAATTATTTGTTTAGTATATGTATACAGTATGTCCATGGATAGAGGGTCCAAGAGGACAAATGGACTAAAATTTTCATTTTTCCACCAAAACTCATTCTTCGTATATCAAAAAAAATATATATCTCGAATATTATTATATACATATCAAAATTAACGCATAATAAGTAAAACGCCTTTACCAATCTTTATGAAATTTTGTATAAAAATACTTCAACTTTTATATCAGTTTAAGTGTTTGAGGGTTTTTCGAGAAAATATTTTTAAAGCCCTTTTATTTAATGATAAAAAAACGTTCCAAAAATAAATTTTAGGGAATTTTTTTTAACTAAATAAAAAATATGCTGTTAAAGACCGTATTTTTGTTAGTATACCCTGAAAATTTTGTACAAATCAAACGAACAGTAACGAAGATACAGAGCTTCAAAGTCGGTAAAAATGACCCCTTTTTGATTATATTGCTGAAAAATGGTCATTTTTGACGACTTTGAAGCGCTGTATTTTCGTTACTGTTGCAACCAACATGTTGGTTTGATTTTTACAACATTTGCAGGGTATACTTACAAAAATACAGTATTTCACAAAATAGTTTTTATTTACTAAAAAAAATCCACATAAAAGTTTTTTTTCGAGCGTGTTTTATTATTAAATAAAAGGGCTTTAAGGATATTTTTTCGAAAAACACCTGAACACGTAAACTGAGATATAAGTTGAAGTATTTTTATTCAAAATTTCATAAAGATTGGTAAAGGCGTTTTAGAGTTTTTTACTTATTATGCGTTAATTTTGACGGGCAGTGTATTTTTGGCACAAACGGCGCCTCATAGATACGTGAAGTATATTTTATGGTGGTTAAATGTGGTATATTTATTAGATGAGGTATTCCATTATAATTAGAAATTGTTATCCCCACCGTCACAATAAAATTTTTAACAGTCGGGATACAAATTTCCGATTGTCGTGGAATATCTGACTCAATAAATATACACAAACCACATTTAATCCACCAAAATAAATACTTTACTTATCCATTATAATAATAATTTATTATGGTAAAATGTAATACTAAACCATTTATAAATTTACAAGAAAAAATACAAAGCAATGTGTTGGTTTATTGTTTACAAAAGAGGAGTAAAATGATTGTTCTTACCACTTTGAGGTCTCTTTTTAGGCTTGCAAGTCTCTCTGTAAGAAACACAACGTTTAAAACGATTATTAATCTGTACAAACCCAAAGCACAAGAATTGTAAACAACAAAAATTGCCGCCATTGCAGTGTTGCAGTGATTTTTAGTATTTTTAGTATGAGATCGAACAGACCTTGCTGTGTGGATTGTGGTCCTCTATAACAAAGAAAACCAGGTTTTCTTTGTCATTATTAATTTCTTTTATTCTCCCCAATTTTGACCTTATCAATTAAACCTTTCTTCTAAATTCTTTGGCGGTATTTTGTTTGTAATAAGAGTTCCAAAATTTGTAAAAAAAAAATGCACCTACTTGTTTAAATTTAACAACAGTTTGCCATTATTATTATTTTTTTTATATATAACCCACTGTTAAAACTATAGGAATTACACTGAGTGTCATTTTTAAAATATGGCGGTAACCAAAGGGTAGTTAAAGGTTTATGTAAGTTTTATATACAGAAAACATTTGGCACAATGGTTTTTTAAAGTCCCATTAATTTCATGCTAAAAATTCCCATATATGACTCTTTTATGGTAAAAAAATACAAATATTAACCATAAAAGGGCCATTGCAAGACCTTATCATGACAGCCTTTTATCAAAATTAATATTTTTGTTAAAACATGACTGTAAAGGCCCATTACAAGGAAAGCTTTGGCCAAAAATGCCATTATTAAGCCATGAAACTATGTAATGGGCCATTACATAATCAGACTTATGTGTTTGCTGGGTTAGTTTGAATTTGTCCTCAAAACATCACATTTCTTACTAGTTCCATTCTGATATTAACATGCACAGTTGCTATAGAAGTAACAGGTACAAAGGTTACAAAGCTAACGTTTATATTTCATATTTAGAAAAAAAATGACGAATATTTTTTCGGTATAAAGAAAAGTTTATTTGTAAAAAAATATATTGCATTTAAAATATTTTTTTGTCTCAGGTTTATGCCTTCAGGAACACCCTCAATGGTCCTTCATCGTTTTTAACCGTCAAGACTAAGGGTTTTCCATTGCCTCAAGTGGCAAATTTGGAAGCCATTTTGATAAAACAAACCGGTACTGGTGTGAAATTAACCTGGGACAGGCCAAAGGATGGCAGAAAAGTTAAATGGAACTACGGAATTTTCTATGGAATTACTGAGGAGGAGTTAGTATCAAGTAAGTTTAATCATAAAATAGTAGATTTGTCTATAAGTTAAGAACATTGAAATTTTTCTCTCTATTTCCACCAGATAGAAAACTCACTTTTCTTACACGTTGAACACTTTGTTTTTCGTATTTTTAATGGAAAAGCATTAATTAATTAAATAAAATCATCATAGATTATTATAGTCGCCGCTCGTATACATTATCGTCTATTTCATTTGCACGCCCATCCGTAACACGTTTTTATATTAAATTTCTTGAACGTTCAAATTTACTTACATTACTTACTTACTGCCAGAGGTACAATAACGCTGTCTGTCAAAATCCAATACAGACGTACTAGATATCCCCAATTTCCCCCATATTATAGAATTTTTTATATATTAGACTTGAAAAATTGTCAAAAATGATATTTCTGCTAGTAAACCACATATGATCGGTTTTTTAAGTCAAATGAAGTAATTTCATGCACCTACAATTACGGTTTTCCTCCAATAACTATAACTTTTTTGTTAATCTCGATCTATAATTATTGTTTTATTAAATTATATCAATGTTATTATTCTTTGCTAACGCGATGTTTAATTTTTACATTTTATACATTGCGTGTTTTTGAGTGAAAAGTAAATTAAAGACGTATAATGCGTTTTAAAGTTGATTTATGAGTAAAAAAGTCATTTGCAAGTGATAAACTAGTTTTTTTATATTTTATATGATAAACCGAGTGAAAAACTAAAACGTAGAACAGGTATGAATAGAAAGATCGTTTCAACCCAAATGAACCCGAACGCCCCTCCCCAGATGCAACGATTTATAGTCCTGGAGGCAGTGAAGATTTTCGGTACTTATTTTCCCAGTCGGCAAACACCAATACAATTATTGGGTTTGTTATTCTGAGCAAAATTTATATATATTTAGGGGGGGGTTTTCCGATGGGTTAAGGCGGAAAATGCGTTATAAAGTACAAATATATTGCACTTTTTTTTCCAGTGATAAAAATAATTCCATTAGTGAGAGATATAGTGAACTTAAGAAAAAAAATAGTCTGGCTAATCTGTGAGTATGGGTAATATGTCTGGCAGGTGGAAAAATTATCAAAACCATTGCCCTTATTTTCGCAGTCCTAAAAATTTTGTGAGATGATAGTTTATATTATAATTACAGCTGCAAATATAGTCTGGCTAATGTGGAACACTCCGAAAGCCTTGCCAGACTCGTCCAACCCTCCACAGGCGCGCTAAATTCGGCATGTTCAATTATACAGGTGATTGTTGTCATCTCTACATGTTTTTACTTTTCATAATGTATGATAAGAAAATAATTTGTGTAAAGCAAAATTTAAATATGGCTAAAAAAAATAAGCACCCGTCGCTTCCTCTCCTCATTTAACTATCTGACTTATGAGTCTGGCGGGGCTTTCCTGATTGTAAATAACAGCCAGACGTGTATTTTCTACGAAATTATAGTATTATTTATCATGTGACAAATTTTCAAATCCGGGAAAATAAGAGCAACATTGTTGTAATTCTTACGATTTTCAAGATGCCGCCAGAACAATTTGCCAATTTCATAAATCAGCCAGACTTAATTTTGATTATAGTTTATGAGAGTACCAAATAATGGGTTAAATTTTAAGCATGGGAAAATAAGGGCTACGTATTTCAAAAACCGGTCAAATTTTTGCTTCCGCAAATATTCAGCCAGACTGACTTTCCTTCACTTGGGATGTGCCAGACTGTTATTTCCATTAATAAAATGACTCACTTTAATTAATGTGAAATATTTATGACTGGGAAAATAAGTGGACTTGACTTTTTGGCTCATCTACTGAACCCATCCGAAAATTTTAGCCAGACACACAAATTGTCGTTTTGTGTCACCATTTGAACAACCTTAATGACATTCACAAACTGGGAAAATAAGAAGATAAAAATCTTCACTGCCTCCCAGACTATTACTTATGTTTTGCATTTTTTAGTGTGTATTTCGAGCGTTTTAACATAAATTAATTTCTTTTATTTAAAATTATAAATTATAATGTCCTACACATTGCATTGTTTGACGTAATTTGGGAAAACGTTTGAAAAAAGCTTTGAATAAATTATTCAAAGCTTGTATTCAAATAATAATTTATTATTTTTATTAATTAATTAATAAATAAATAAAAAATAATTATAAAATAAATTCATTAATTTAGAATTGATTTATTATTATTATGTAGATATAAAAACAAATATGTTTTGAAAGTTTCACGTGTTTTATTTACATTTGACAATTGTTTCGTCACACAGTGACTTCTTCAGAATGTATTTATAACTTATTATTAAGTGAGTTTATATAACACAATGTTTTATGGTACAAAAATTTTGGTCTACCTGAATAATATTTGCTTAATACATTGAAAGAGAGTAATAATGGAAAAACCTAATTTATTGTAGTACAGTATTTTCCTGAATAATTAAAATAAATTTAATAGAGGTGAATTATTGGTTTCGATTTGATCATTTAATACAATATCAGTTTGTTTCTTTAATTTATTGATTTCCAGTGATTCTAGTAAATTTAATTTTAAGCCTTTACTTTCTACATGTAAAATTTTGAAATTATGATTAAAAGTATGGTTTTCTTGAATTAAGTGGTTGGCGTAAGCTGAATCTATTTTATTATTATTAAACGATCTCCTGTGTTCGTTGATTCTAGTTTTAAAATTCCGACCTGTTTGTCCTATATAGGTTTTGGGGCAATCAGAACATGTTAATTGGTAAACTCCTGACTTCTTATGTTTGTTAGATTTATCTTTATTATTTTTAATTAAAATACCTAAGTTATTGTTAGTTTTAAAAGCGAGTTCGCTGTTGATTTTTTTAAACAAGGTAAAAACGTGTCTCATGTTATAACCTAGGTATGTAAAACTATTGTACGTATTAGTATGGGTTTTTTGTATTGGAAATATTTGGTTAATGGCAATTTTTTGTTTTTTAAAATTTCATTGATTATTTGTGCTGGATATCCATTATTGACGGCTATTTGCTTAATTAGATTTAATTCTTGATCAAAATCTGTTTTTGACAGTGGTACATTTAAAAGTCTATGAATCATTGAATTAAAGGCTGCTCTTTTTTGGGGCCAAGGGTGTGAGGATGAATTATGAATAACTATGTCTGTGTAACTAGGTTTATGAAATATTTTGAATGTATGATAGCCATAACTTTTTTGTATAGTAAGATCAAGGAAATTAATTTGATTGTTTTGTTCTTCTTCCATTGTGAATTTGATGTTTGGGTGAATGTCATTTATAAAATTTAGAAAACTATTTAGTTGTCGTTTTGTACCCGTGAAGCAGGTTAGGATATCGTCAACGTATCTGTACCAATATAAAAAATTTTTGTAATGTGGGTTTTTGTGGATAATTAGTTCTAACTGATTGACAAAGATATCTGCAAGTTTCACTTTTTAATTTAACGCGACTTCTACAGTTAATTTTTTTTATCTGGACTTTTTTGTTAGGTTGATGGCTTATGCCAGTTTGACTTAGTATTTTTAGTATTTAAAAATGGTACTTCTGCTAAAGAATTTAATTAAATACTTTGACACTGTCAAATTGACAATAATATTTATTATTGATAATTTTCTTGTCAATTATAAATAAAAAGATAATTATGCCAAAAATAATAGCAACGAATTCGAATGTAAAAGCCCTTTTGAGGGCAAAACTTCATTTAGATGAAATTATGCCAAATGCCACAATGGAAGAAAAAGTACATCGCCTTATGGGCATTTTTGGAGTAAAAAAGTAACGAATTTGGTTTTCACATTATTCACCATTGGACAACATTTACGTTTTCAAACAATTTTAATTTCTTTTATATAAATTCTTTTTAAAGCGAAGATTTTTATCCGCTAGGAATACTTTCTCTTCTGGGCCGTAAAGCAACCTATATTTAACTACTTTTTTATACGATTTTACTCCACCAAAGCCAAATTAATTGCATTTTAACTACGAATTTTGACAACTCAGCTTGAAACTGCACAATGTAACCTACAATAATTTATACATAACCACAATTAGATTTATAACTAGCTTAGTTTGTTTTAATTAATGCGACCAACTTGACAACTGTATTAGTCCAGATAAAAAAATGAACTTTATTACTTTTGCCTTTATTTTGTTTGTATGGCAAAAAAACTAATTCTGGCGTGCGATAAATTTCTTCATTTAGCCAGGTAACCTACAGGCTTTCCAGTTACGTTTATAAATAGCCTTAAAACTATTCAAGCTATTTTTAAGTAAATCAATTTTCTCAGGAGGGCACTCTGTGCACATTTCCAATGGTCTGATTACGTCTCTATAGAGAAGGGAAGGGATCATACTCTCTTCCCTACTCTAAGCGAAAACTAATAAATACTATCACAGCATCATATTTTGATTAGTCCTATATGACTATTTCCCTATAGGGATATTTTGTATACAGTGCTTGCAAATCCAAGTCCGACCGCGTTGGGAAGGATGGTTGTTCAATACCCGCGTGAAAAGAATAAGGATAGAATGCCAAACAGAATTTGATTGGTCAGAGCGTCAGGCGTGCGTATTGTAAGCGCCTTCTGTTTGGCGTTCTATCCTTGTTATTTTCACGCGTCCTTCCCAAACCGGTCAGACTTGGATTTGCAAGCACTGTAGAAATATTTTTATACATGAGCAACAAATTGCTCGATTTTACTTAAAACACTATTTTACCGGGCTACAAAAATTCTTTAAAACGTTTTTTCAATATTTTTAGAAACCAGGCTTAGAACCACTGAAGAATCTGCTCAGATAACCGATTTAGCCGCTTGCGAAATCTACATGTTCTCAGTGGCCATAGTCGGTCCCTATGGTTACGGACCTCTTGCTAACTTGGTAATAGTTCGTACGTCGATCAACATTTTGGCGCCGCCAGAAAGGGTGAGCGTCAGTCCCGAACCCTACAACAAGATGGCGATACGCGTCACCTGGGAACCGTCCTGTCCTAACCAGAACAACACACCTTACTTGGTAAGTGATCAAATATGTCTTAAAAAGTTTAAAACTTCAATAAAATACAATTTAAAACAATATTTGAATTCCATTCACAATCTGTGAAGATTTTTTAAATTGATTGTAAAAAAAATCTAAACATGTTATAATTGTAGCATGTCTAGATTTTTTTTACTAATATATTCATCTTGAACAAACTTCGTGTAACATTGCACTAAATGAAAAGTGAATTTTGTGAGAAATAAATTGTCAAGCCCGCTGAAAATAGCCTGGTTACGGGAACGAGAACGGGAAAAAGTAAAAAATTTCAAATTTAACGTAAGCATGCACAACACCCGCAAACGAAAACGCGAACGGGAACGTACAATTTTTAACTTCTTTGCATAGTTGTAAAAAAACTCCGAATTTGAATTGTTACTCGGAAAATATTTCTTTTAATTATAATATTAATCTTTACTTCTTTTAAGTGTGATTTAAGGTAAAGTCTATATATAGTCTGCATGGGTGAATGTAATAAATGCGGTTTAATTACGTCATTATTACCAACTGAACTGTTAAGTAACTTCCGTTAAAACTGTTTTTAACGGGCGTAATTTTGATTCGGAAAAAAAAAGATTTTGCGAATAACCGCTTACATTGTAAATGTGGAATAAGGTATCTGTATTTTTTAAATAATAACTTTCATCAAGAGCTTTTTAGTGATACCAAATACTTGTGGTTTAGTCATTAGTTTGATTTAGTTATACAAGGTGACGCAAAAGTCATTCCTCAATTTCCTAAGGCTATAATTTTTTTTGTAAATGAAAATCGGTTCTGTTCGTTATTTGGACCTTCAAAAAATTCGAAAAAATAATAACGGCCAAGTGGCCTCTGCCAGAGTTGCACATTTGGTCGCACTTTAGAGCATTTTACATCACTTTTCTTAATACTTCAATCACTATAGTAAATTTAAAAGGAAACGCCGTACACGTCATCAATCAGCTGATAGGACACGGTTGTCAATGTGATGCTAAAATCATTGCATCAAGTGAAAGTGGTAGTGCAACTACAGAGCGATAGATGCCGTTTACATGCATAATACCATAGAGTCCCTAGATTTGAGACCTTAGAATACCAAAATGTCAAAAGTCAGAGTTTTATAACCTGTATGATGCACCGCCAAAGTATGTTTTTAGCCATTTTTAAAGACATTTTCAGCTATAAAACCCAGAAATTTTGCCATCTAAAGTCAGTCTCTGGTATATATATTATTATTTTAAGTATCCAACATATATTTTGTTAAATATTCTAATATATAATTAATAATAATCCTGTTCTGCCTCAAAATAGCGTATTAAGGATGATACCAACTTTTGACTCCGACTATTTAAATGCTTCGGCATTTTAAATATAGGAAAAAGAAAAAAACGATATATAACAAACACAAAAACGGCAATGAAAACTTAAACTATATAAAATAACAGAAACAACAAACAAAACAAACGAAATTATACACGAATTAAATGAAATATTCAAAAATACAACTGACAGCTTCGAAATTCTAAAACGTCAATTTCTTTTTCATTTTATTTAGCAAAATTTTAATCTTAACATGACAACATTGCTATTGCTGCCAACTTAATTTGGTTAAAATGCATTAAAATATTCAATTACAGACTTCGTTTTATACATTTAGTATTGGTACCAGTGCGCAAAATTATGACGTCATCGATGACGTGTACGTCGTTTCCTTTTAAATTTAATATAGTCACGGCCAAATCTATATGGGTGCACGTCATCAATGAGATATAATGACGTCAGCATTACCAACTTTGAATTGTAAAGTTACTGCCGTTAAATTTGCTTTTTTAAGGCGTAATTCTGATGTGTTATTAAAAAGAAATCATTCATTTGCGTATTGTTTACCAAGAACTGTAACAATTTCCTTGTTTTAAAACGTTTTTTCACGAAATTATCAAAATAAAACCATTCACTTAGTAATTTTTGTGTGTGCCAGTTGGTAATAGCTTAAGGCTGGCGCGCACCGTTCAATATTATTGATGGGTCGCTGTCATTTTATATTTGACGTATTTTTGTAATTGTGACATTTCGTCCGGAAGCATCGTTTGTTGCAAATTATTATAAATAATATTATACATTATGTTTATAAGATTCTATCCCTGGATTGTGCAAACAATGATATAAGGCTTGTTGGCAACTAGCCGTTATTAGATTTCGAAGACATTGCGCCCTTAATAATAAATTTGGGGAAATAATCAGACTTCAATTCTGACCTGGTTTGCTCTGATGACAAGGACGACTGGTAATTTATATATTTTGTGTTTCTGATAATTTAGAATTTTTGTTATGTGCATATGTAATAAAAATGTAATAAACTCCGTTTGTTTTCTCTTTAAACACATTTAATAAAAATTTGCCTGTAACAAACTCCTAATTAGTTAGTGCAGAAGATTATAACAAGGACGTTATAATTCCATCTTAATAATAGACCCCACCGCTATAAACAGTCAACAATACACGAGCGTTAGATTGTGTCTGCAGACACCATGGGCACGTATGAATAGACCTTAACGCTGACGTCATATGCCGTTGATGACGTGCACCCATACAGATTTGGCCGTGACTATATATAGTAAATTTAAAAGTAAACTACGTACACGTCATCAATCAGCTGATCGGGCACGGTTGTCAATGTGATGCTAAAATCCTTGCATCAAGGGAAAGTGGTAGTGCAACTACAGGGCGATAGATGGCGTTTACATGAATAATACCAAAATGTCAAAAGTCTTAGTTTTTATAACCTATATGATGCACCGCCAAAAGTATGTTTTTAGCCATTTTTAAAGACATTTTCTGATATAAAACCCAAAAATTTTGCCATCTAAAGTCAGTCTCTGGTATATATATTATTATTTCATGTATCCAACATATATTTTGTTAAATATTCTAATATATAATTAATAATAATCCTATTTACCTCTCTAACAGCTGTTAAAGGTAACAAAGGTTCATTATTATCCCGTTCTGCCTCAAAATAGCGTATTAAGGATGACACCAACTCTTGACTCCGACTATTTAAATGCTTCGGCATTTTAAATATAGGAAACACAAAAAAACGATATATATAACAAACACAAAAACGGCAATGAAAACTTAAACGATATAAAATAACACAAACAACAAACAAAATAAACGAAATAATACACGAATTAAACGAAATATTCAAAAACACAACTGACAGCTTCGAAATTCTAAAACGTCAAATTCTTTTTTATGTGTCATTTAAATATGAAAAATTTGAATGTAAACATGACAACATCACAATTGTTGCCAACTTAATTTGGTTAAAATGCATTCAAATATTCAATTACAGACTTCGATTTAGTCATTTAGTGTTGGTACCAATGCGTAAAATTTTTGTTTTATTGATGACGTGTACGTAGTTTACTTTTAAATTTACTATAGCTTTGTCATTTTTTCTTTCAATGTTCTCTTTAAGGGCTGCCAAGGCCTGCGGCTTGTTCACATAAAGGCGAAAGTTTAAATAACCCCAAAGAAATAAATTTGGAGTAGTCAAATCAGACGAGCAACAATGGACATTCAGCTCGCGATATTTTCCGGTTTTGGTCACTTGCAGACTGCTCCAGACTTCTTTCTTTGAGGTTACTTGAAGTCTCGCCTTTATGTGATGAGCCAAAGAGTTTGGCAGACCTAAAAAAGAACATTGAAGAAGAAAAGAAAAATCTATCACCTGAAGTATTGAGAAATGTAATGATAAATGCATCAAAACGTGCAAATGCAAATATGCATTATATACAAAAGTGCTCTTTTAGTTCCACCCTTACTTCCTAAGAAGTCCCAAAATCCAACTGAATGGCTTATGCGGGTTAGGGGTAGAAACGGCCCGCGTTCTTAAGTCCCCCCGGATGGACGTATACGCAATATGACAACACAAATAAACAACCATTCCATTCCAATGTGGGACTTAACATGAAAAAATGTAATGGTTCAACTAAACATTATTCACAAGCAGAACGGTTTTTTCATTTACAAAAAAAGTAGCCTTGCGAAAAATGTTCTAAAACGCGCCCAAATTTGCATTTGCATTGGTGGCGCCCACCAACAGGAAATGATGTTAAGGTCCAACTAAACATTATTCACAAACAACCTTTTTTTTTCATTTACAAAAAAAGTTACAGCCTTGTGAAATTACGCCACCTTGTACAGTGGTGGACACGGAATTTTGATCATAATTTAGTCGTCCTTGTATGATTCTGTAAATAGCAAAGATACAATAATGACCATTTTTGGTTTTTCTGTCAAAATGATAAGAATAGTGATTACATAGTGGGACATATTGCCCGATGAGCTCTATTTGACCATGTGAAAAAATTTAAATTTTCATTTTTTAAAAATAGATAGATAGAAGGTTTTGGGAGCAAAACCCCCCAAAATAAAAAAAAAACGTATATTCTGAACAAAACTATTTTCAAAATTGTATACTCTAAAATTAGACTCAAATGTTGAGCTCAAACTTTGTATAAAATTATTTGAGGTACGTCTTAATCGAATTTAAAAAAAAAATTGCCTAGTGATCTTTTTCTCAATTCGACCCATTAAGCAGGTCTAAGCAGGCCTTGAAAAAATTAAAATTTAAAATTTTCCTACATTGTCCAAGCTCATCAAGCAATATGTCCCCAACGCACAGTGGTCAGTTTGGGCAATCTGGGGCGGAAAAAATATTTTAGTAATGTTTGTAAGTTCATGCTATACTAACACGGTATAATATGGTATAGGAATACCAAATCCCTCTAAAGGCATTCTTTTATTATACAGGGTGTCACATTAAAGTCATATTTTACACCTAAATAAATTAAAAAGCAAAAGCTTTACACTAGAAATATTAAATACGGTTTTACGGATAAATTTAGTAAAAAATCTAACAAATTATGTAACTTTTATAAAATGTCAAGAATAATTATTACAATTTTTAATATAAAATCTAGTTTGAATTTTTAAACCGTTAAAACTGCATATTTTTTCTCCTTTGGATTATCACTTTTTTACTTAATTTACAATATTATATACTATAATAATAATTTATTACTATGCGTAGTAAAATAATATTTAAGTCTTATCTAGTATAGTTATTTTAATAATAATTTATAAAGTTATTCACTATTATCACTAGACTCCTGGTTGGTCTGAGAATATATTGATGGTGGTGTTTTGAGCATTTTAATTACATCTTCTGGTAAATTGTTACGCTTTCTTTTACTTGGTTTTCTTAAACTTGTAATAAATGGATCAGAAGAGATCAGGAGCATGTGGATCATGTCCTCCATGGTTTGCTCTCTGGTAAATTTCCTTGAATGATATTCTCTGATGTTCTTTGCATCTTTATTGCGCGCTTCTTGGGCCTCTTCCGACATTTGCCCAATAGGGAGTACTGATGTGTTCACCAGGATTCCTCCATGAATTAGTATCTTGTGGACACTTTGTGGCATGTAATACCACGGATATAGTGATACATAAAGTTCAGCGGTATCCAGACAGTACTGCTGAAATCTGTCGACGGCGATCTCGTGTCCGCAGGCTATCGTTGTTAGGACCACGTGAAATCTTTTTATTAGATCCTTATCAATTTCTGTTATTGCGGCAGAAATTATAGGATTTTGGAAGAAACGTCTTGCCGTATTTCCATCGTTGGTCGTTCCAAATCCAGGTTTTGGAATATCGACCAACAGACCCATTTCACGGCGAAATCTCTCTTGGATCAACTTCTTCCTTTTACTAAAAGCTTCCTTATCTGCATTTCTAATAGACCATTTCTTAATATCCATTTTATAGGAAATGTGAAGAAGGCATTCAAAACACTTAATCCATGCGTGCAAGCTGGATATACCAAGTTCAACGTTCTCCACTAATATTTGACGTATTTTAACTTCTTCGATGTTGTTCATCATGCTGGGTGTTGCATAACATATATGGCAGTTTTGTGAAGATGATTTTGCCAGCCAACTACAAATTTTGCCATCAATCATCGTTAGATATAAAAAAGATGTGCAATTGTACAAATTTCCTCCAATTTCAACAGGGCTTGGTCGAAGTAAAGAGATTTGATTTTTTATCTTCAGAATTTCATTTTTGACAAATTCCTCTTTTTCTTGCTTGAAAACAATTGCTATAGGTCTACAGTAATTCGTCGATGAAGTTGTAGGATTCTGAAAAACAATAATTTCTTCATTTTGGTCATTTTTAACTAAAATCTTCAAAGGTACCATTGAAATTGAAAATAAAAATGAATCATCTCTGTCTTCATTTGTAAAAGATTGTTTGTAGCGACTTTGCCCAGATGCTCCATCACATCCCCACTTGAACAATGCCTCAATAGAAGAAATTGTATGGTTCCGATGAATATGGTCCATGACTTCAGCCTGGGCATTGATTAATCTAGCAATGGTGTGGTCTACTAGCTCTTGTAATGGCACTTCTGCTGTTATTTCATTAGTTGTGATGCCTGTAGGATAGCATCTTTTTTTAGCTTCCAATAACTTATTATAATTTGGATATATGTCTGCATTAAATTCTTTACTGTTTTGTTTAATACGGTTGTATTGCGCTTTCGTCATTTTGGTGTCAACAAAGATTGCGAGTGCCTGATCTGGAGTCATTTTCTTCGGCAATTTATGATCCATTTGTAAACTTCTTTTAAGGCGTGTAGCTCTTTCAGGCGAGCACGAAGATACTTGTTTTACGATATCTGCTGCATCTCTTTGACCGCTTGCATGCATACTTAGTCTGGTAGCAAACGACAGCTCTTCTTTACTAGTAGATGCCACAAGTTCTCGCACCTTCTTTCGTTTTGCCGATTCTGTACAGTCTTCAAAATTTTTCGCTGGTCTACCTGGAGATTTTTTTTTAGGCTCTAATCCAAAGCGAGTTTTGCCTATTAGCCACGCTTCGTTAGTGGCTAAGAATAGTTTTTCGTTACGGTGACACTTTATCCATTTTTGTCTCAAAATAGCACACAAATTTTTGATAGCCTTTTTTATTTTACTTTGGACAACATCTTCAAAGTCTTTAAAGCCGTTTAAAGAACTTACAAAATTAACCACAGCCCGAACTTTTCTACCCGGAACTTGCTCTTCTTTCCATATGTCGAATATGACATGCCTAGTGATACCGGCTTCCAACTCTGAACCCATTTCACACCAATATAATAATAATCAATGAACGATATTTGATAAAGCACAATTGTGCTTAAGATGAATGTATTTTTCATAAATTTATGAAGGATGGAAGGATTTATGTCATCGCCCAGGTAATGCAATAACATTATTTGTAACTAGGCAATTAAAATAAAGGATTAAGGGGAGTGAAAAATAAAATATTTATTATTATGTAACAGATTTTTAGATAATGTTTGTGTGATCCATTGGGTGATAAATTATTTAATAATAAAGCAAAACCTATATGATTTGCGATAATAAACCCTTAAAATTGTACGAGTTCCTAAATTGAACGTCTGTGTTAACAAAACACAAAATTGGCAGTTTCATTGTGAAACCGGGTGCTTATAAATTGCTTATAACTTTTTAGATTGCAAGATATTGCAGATAAAACCAATTTATATGTAAAGACCGATATTTTTTGAGACAAATAAAGTACTTTTTACAACCAATCCGCGCCAATCCCAAAAGTTCTATATTAACAAATGCCAAAAATATGTCTTAAAAATGGGTTCTAATGTAACCGTAATTAAATAAAAATGTAACCAAAGTATAAGCACAAAATAACATAACTACTTACTTATGACTATAAATGATAGAAATTATCAATCAAAACAACAAAATAGGCATTAAGTTAGTTATATTAATAGTACAGGAAGACCGACTCGCAGACCTTCCCTATAATGCACAAATAAAACATTGCTATAACTGCAAGTGAACTGGCTTTTGTTGGCGGGTTAAACAAATTATTTTCTAGAATATGTTAAAAAGTATTTAGGTTCACAGTGCCGTATAAAATATGGTAATAAAGACAAATTTAAATTTTGATTTATTCCGCCCCAGATTGCCAAAACTGACCATTGTGCAACGCGTTGCAACGCGTAAATAACCCCAAATGAATTTTTGAAAAAAAATATAATTTTTGACAATTTTTGTTGTAAATGCAAAAATGAACGTGAAGATTTTTGAATTTTTCTAAAAAATTGGGTCTCGTGCGGTTGCAACCGGTTGTATTGATTTTCGAAGTTTGACAGACGGAAATAAGGTTTTTGATAGAATTGCTTCTTGAACTTCTTGATCATATTTTTTGAATGAATGATTCAATTTTTCAAGCGATTTTTTCAATTTCATTAAAAAAAACAGAAAATTGACCATTAAAAAAACTCTGGCTGACCTTCCATTTTTTGCATATCCCAGCTTTGTTGCAATTTTTTTCAAAATATTGTAATACATATCGATTAAATAAAAACAAAACACGAATTATTTAAATTGTCCAAAAGAAGTTTTACTTCAGCTGTGTACTCTAAGCGCACCTCAAAGTGCTTATGAATTTTTTAAATTTTAGGTGGAAATCACAGAACTTAACTCAAGATACACACACAACAAGCAAATTTCCAATCTGACTGGCGTTTTCAACATCGCCATGGGCGGCAGATATCAAATCAGAGTGCGCACTCTTCAGGACAAGTCGAAATTTTCGATTCCCGTTTACATAGACGGGCCGCCGATAATGGCGCCCTACGAGGTTCGAGTTTTGCCGGAAAATAACGGAAGTTACATCGTCTACTGGCAAGAGAGACAGTTGCCCAAGGAAGTGGGCAACTACACGTACGAGATTTTGGTGTGCGAAGGTAACGTATTGAACGAAAAAACCGCAGCGAGATTCAATGCGAGCAGTCCGCCGTTCATTTACACCAACACGTCCGGGGACACGTACACTTTTGCGGCGCGGATCAAGACGCACGAGGGTATGCTCTCGATGACGTCCGATCACGTGAGCAAGCGCAGCGAGTACGCCGCCGCGCCGGTCGCGTCCAACTCCACCACGGTCGTGGTGTCCGTGTCGGTCTGCCTGATTTTGGTCGCCGTGATCGGGTACTTGGTCGCGCGAAATCGCAAGTTGCACAGCAGTTTCACGAGATTCGCCAACTCTCACTACGACACGCGGTCTCAAGCCGCCACTTTCGACGACAACGGTTTGGAGGACGAGGACTGTCCGCAAATCAGGGACAGGTTCTCGGACGACGAGCCGTTGGTAATAGCCTAAATAGAGCTAAAACTGCTGGGAAATATTTAGGGATCCTAATATTTGGATGACAGGGTACTTATTTATTTCACAGTAGTTTTTTGTTTGAAGGGAGAGATGGCCAGACTAGGATTTGTTACCGCAGTATCTTTAAATGGTCTTTGATCATTCTATTATTAAAATTATACTATACTGTAGAAATGTTTATGCAAATCTAAAAGAAGAGTATTTGATGGTAATGTTTTATTGTAAATAATTTATGGATGTTGTAAGTTTTTTTTAATTGTATAAAATATATGTTACTAAATGCTAGTCGCGCGTGTCTAAGCCAAATTTAAAAAAAAATACGTTATATATTTTTTTTCATTACACTGTGCGACAAGATTTCTCATTTTTTAGTGTTAAAAATCCGGAAAAATTGAGTCGGCGAAAAAACGATTTTTTTTTTCGTAAAAAGAAACGAGAAAAACTAAATATTAGGAAATTTTCACAAAAATTTCCCAATTTTTTCATTTAAAATGCTAGTAGTTTTTAAAGGATATTAAAAAATAAAAACCGATTTTTTCTACAAGGTATGGAAATTTTTTTTTGTTTCTGTGACAGTTGAGGAGCGATCAGACAAAACCAGACAAATCCATTTAAGTGATTTGCAGAAAAGCAAAAGAATTATTTTATTTTTGATTTCTTTCAACAAATCACAAAAATAAATTTGTCTGGTTTTGTCTGATCGCTACTCAGTTATTAAACTTACAATAGCCTATCAATTTAAAACTTCAAATTCGACATCAATTGATTTTCTGACTTAAATAATATGTTTTTTAACATTAAATCGTCGTTTTTCCTTCACAGAAAAAATTATGTACAGGTAAAAAAAATTAAATGTTTCACAGAAAAGACAATTTTTTCAAGGCCTGGGGGAAAACCAGAAAAGTTTTTCCCCCAATTTTTCCGTTTTTTTCTGACGCTTTAAAACGATTTTTTCCCCACAAAAGTCTAAAATTACTATTCTTTCCCTTTAATATCCTTTTGAGATTTTTAATGCCTTTTCGGTTAAAATTTATTAATTTGATCAAGATAAAAATTTGATTTATTTTAATTTAACAAAGGATTTCTCAAAGACAAGGAAAGATATTGAAAAAAATTAAAAATATTTTTTAAGAGAGAGTGGCACTTTTAGATAAGATAACAAGTTTTGTGAAAATACAATATTTTGTGATGTAACAAAACGCGTTTTTTTGTGAGGTCGAATTCGAATACAGGGCATCAAAAACCTTTTCAGGTAGAAATTTGGTAAAATTTTGTCGCAATTTTATTATAACTACGCAGACACGCGCCCATTGTTAATTTTAAGGTATCTCAATGTGACTACTATGCATCATTATAAATTATTAAATTAACCTGCCGTCCAATTCAAACTAATGCAGGATTTAAATTGCAAATATGTAAACATAAATAAATGTCTCAAAATATTATTGTAGGTAAAACGTTTTTTCATAAATATTCATTTTTACTTTTTTTAGACATTTACTATTGTTGTGCAAGTCAAGTTTCTGTGATAATTAATGTTTTATAAAACAGAAACAAATAATGTAAATTTTATTAGTTGACCTCAGTTAATATTATGAATTTAGTTTTAATTTAACTCTATATTATTCTAGCAAAAGAAACAAAATAAATCAATAAAAAAACTAATAAATTCTTTTTATTTACTTATACCTTACAGTGAGTAAAATAATAGAACTAATAGTTTACTTGTTGTCTGAAGTGAGGCTGGAATTTGTTGGCTTTAAGTCCCATTTTCATGACATACTTGGACTGCATTCTTTTCATAAAGTGAATGTCTCTGGCTCTCCTGAAAAAATAACGATAACAATTCTCCAAATAAAAAACTATTTAACTTACTTAGCTGCAGCTGTTTGTTGAGTAGCAGTCCAACCTAAACTTCTATATTGTGCTAAAACTTTGTGCAGCTTTTTATTGCCTTTATTTGAAACCACTACAGCTGAATTGGGATTTAAACTTTGTTTATAATATCTCATCAAACTTCTGTGACCTACAACAGCCCCTGAGGGAAGTACCAGTTGGTACTCGGAAGCTTCCAGCTCAGGTACATCAAGCTAAAATTTGTTTTATTGTTAAGATTAATATGTGTATGTAAAAGACCATTGCTTTGTATTATACTTACTTCTTCATCTATGTTGGATTCTTTCTCTGCATCAGGATATGATGATGAATAATCATAAAAGTCTGCATATTCAGCCAATGCTAAACCTTCATGTAACATTTTACAATGTCCTTTATCAAGCATATGACTTCTAGCAGAGTCAGATGAATGGAATGTTTTACCTTTTTCATTGCACCATAAACACATGAAGCCTAAAACAATATGGTTCTTAAAATAAAGATATTAAATTTAAAAAAATATTTTTTTTATGATTTTTTTCAATCAATAAAGTGAACTTAAAAAAAAGTGTTATAATATCTGTGCATTCTTAAAGGGAATTTGTAAGTTTAGATTGCATAACAAAATATCATTTGCAATGTTCTTGATGCAAATTCAAAAAAAAAAAATTGAAGTTGCTAAAAATATTTTAGTTCCTATTAAATGTTGCTGCTTATTTCAACTGAGTAAGCTCCACCAAAAGCTATTTTATTTTGTTAAAAATAGGTTTTTTGAAGGACTTTATGAAGGACATTAATGTGTATGATTTATTTTTGTAATAGAATTGATTAAAAAATATATACACAGACTGTATACAATCAAGTAAGTATGGCTGAAGACAAGGATAACATACTCTGATAATCAGAGGAAAAGAATCAAACTAAAAATAGGAGTGGTTTAAACCAAGTCGTCATTAAGCAGAATTTAATGGATTAAGCAAAATAGTTACCATCTGAAATTTTCTCTCCCAAATATCTTAACAATCCCTCCAAATCCACACAGTATTCAATGTCAGGTATAAAAAAAGAATGTGCTATAGTCATATGCTCCAAGTTTTTTATCAAATTACGACTGTGGTGCAAGCAGAATATACAATCATTATTATCAATAGGATTCTCTGTATCTTCTTCCCATTCATCTGAATCAACTTCCTCGTCTACCTCCATATCTACTTCTGGTTTAGCTTTAACTTTAACCTCCCTTGTTTCACCCTCAACATAATTCTTACTGTTATCCTTATGTTTCTTTGAATTTAAGTGATTATCATAAGCATTCTGATTCCCAAAACTTTTCCTGCAAGCATTACAATACACGTTTGTATCCTGACGCATCAACTCTTCTGTGTTTCTTTGATTCAAAACTCTTCTTTGGAACTCTTCGGCAGTCACTGGTGGCAACTCAGCAACCTTTCTTTTCAAATTATAGCGATGCCAGTCGCTTTTGTAGTGCTGTCTTTGTACTTCGGCATCTTTAAATGCCACTCTACAAGTAATACAAGTGAAGGAATCCGAAATTTGGATAATTTCCGACATTGTTAACCACACATGTAATTTTTGACGTTTAATTTTTAGGTTAAGATGGATTTGTATGAAGTTGGCAGCAGATTTTTTTACTTTCGCCATCTATGATTGGGTTATAGCATTAAAAGCTATAAGCTTAATGTACTAGATGTCGCAGTAAACTTTTGTGATTTTTAGTTTTTCTGATAATTGTGTAGAATGTGGAGAACTCCAATCATGTAGTGTGTACAGTAGGGCAGTGGCGGCTGGTGGATTTTAAGTATACCAATATCTCAGTTATTAGACATGGGACCCACACCAAATTTATAATAGTTTATATTGACATTAAATAAACAAGTTCGGCGCAAACAGAATTTAAATTGAAGTTTGCGAAAAAAAGTTAGTTTTTCCTGTCGCCTACCCTGCCTCCAGGCCCCCCTATTTGAGATAATTCAAATTAAAGTGGTGCAATTTATTATCTACTATAATTTATCGACAAATTTAAAATTTTATTTAAAAAATCCAAATATTACAGTTTTTATACCATTTTAAATGTTTTTTTATTTTAATAAAATAAATAATAAAAATTTAAAATCGAATAAAATCTGTAATATTTGGATTTTTTGAATAAAATTTTAAATTTGTCGATAAATTATAGTAGATAATAAATTGCACCACTTTAATTTGAATTATCTCAAATAGGGGGGCCTAGAGGCAGGGTAGGCGACAGGAAAAACTAACTTTTTTTCGCAAACTTCAATTTAAATTCTGTTTGCGCCGAACTTGTTTATTTAATGTCAATATAAACTATTATAAATTTGGTGTGGGTCCCATGTCTAATAACTGAGATATTGGTATACTTAAAATCCACCAGCCGCCACTGCAGTAGGGTGTCCCTTATTTTTATTTTTTTTACGCATACCCTCTAATTATATTTATTACTTGTTTATATACTCCCAGTAAAAATTTCAGCTCATTCTATAAACGGGAACCCGTGCAAGTATACTTGCATCTGAACCCTCCATTAGCCAACGTTAGGCGCGTGGTATTTTGTAAGTCATTTTGTGTTTGTTATTATGTGACCCTTATATTATAAATTATTAAAAAATGTTAAAATATAGTTTTATTTATGTGTATACTTTAATAAAAATGAATATTTTTACAGAAAGTGGCTAGTTACCCGGAAGTGTCGGGTGAATAGGCCGTAAAACTAATTACCATTAATTAATTAAATTCTTTTTTTTTATATCTGAATGACCATAAAAAAATAACCAAAAAAAATTTAATTGATTTTATCCCTTAAATATATTAATATACTAATTAGTATTGCTAAAATATACTGTTATATGAAATTTCAGCTTTTTATAAGCATTTCTTTTCTTGATGTCCTCCCAAAAATATTTCAGACAGTTCAATAAGTTTTCGGTAGTCATCTCTCACAATATATTGTATATATACTCTTTTAGTTATTTAGAGTAAAACCCATTAAGTTTATCAATTTCAGAGTTTACGGCCTATTCACTTCCGGGTAACTAGCCACTCTCTGTGAAAATATACATTTTTATAAAAGTATACACATAAATAAAACTATATTTTAACATAATATGTCAATAATTTATAATATAAGGGTCACATAATAACAAACACAAAATGACTTACGATCGAAGACCTCGCGACCAACCGTGTTACAAAATACCGCGCGCCTAACGTTGGCTAACGGAGGGTTCAGATGCAAGTCGGCACGGGTTCCCGTTTATAGAATGAGCTGAAATTTTTACTGGGAGTATATAAACACGTAATAAATATAATTAGAGGGTATGCGTGAAAAAATAAGGGACACCCTAGTGTACAGTGTTGCCAACCCTACTAAAGTTTCGGTAGATAACCAATTTATAAATAATTTTACAGGGGTTAATCCATAAAAAAGGTAGGGCTTAGATTTTATTATCGTTAGACCATTGAGTAACTTTACTCAATTACAACACTTTACTCAATGGTTAGACCGTTAAGTGATCAATGGTTAAGCCTGATTTATAGATTGCCTTTCTTCCGTAAAAGATAAACAGCACTACGGCAAAGATTATCTTCGCACTACGGTTTTCGTATTTTTCATCTTTTATGGGAGGAAGGAAGGAATGAAGGAAGGCAATGTATAAATCAGGCTTTAGCCTACACCTAAATCAGCACAAAAATGTAATTTTTGGTATCTTAAGGCGGGTTTATACAACAATTGATAATTTAGGGGACAATTTATTTGATAATTTAATAATAATAATAATAATAATCTTTATTTAGCATAAGCTATTTTACATATACATAAAACATAACTTTAAAATTTGGTTTATACAATTAATTAATTTAAATATATTTTATTTTTTCAAATATCGATAATTAAAATTGATAAATAACACAAAATCCCCCATAAAAACTCATGTTTTGTAGAAACTTTGTAGTATTTTTTAAGGCACAAACACTAAACGCAATAATTATAAATTATAACCTTAAAAAATGGAGAGAGAAAATTTGTTGGCACATGCGCTGTTCAATCTTATTTATAATTCATAATTTATTTCATAAAAGTTGGCGGGTTTATACAACTTCATATCATTTATTTATTTTATAATTCACAATTTAGTGCAAACAAACGAAATAAATCAATTTTTAAAAGGGAAGATATATCTTGCAATTTTTCTTAAAAATTAACTAGGTATACTGGTCAAAAAATTGTGAAAATATCAATTTATACGTGAAAATAAGAAATAGTATATTACACTACAAGGGCAGAAAGTGTGAGATTCCTGCACTGCGCGCCATGAGGCGAAGCCGAGGGCATCATGGCGCGCAGTTCAAGGCTCTCACACTTTCTGCCCGTGTAGTGTATACTATTTTTCTTACTACCTCGGCCGAAAATACAACCCGGCCGAAAATACGGGAAAAAATTAAAAGTGTATATCGAAACATATTGATGCCTGCCCAAATTTTGAGGTTATATTAGTGTCGTAATCAGAGATGCATATTTTGAGCACACGACTAAAAAATTTTTACTCCCGCTATTATAGAGTGTGCGCGTATAGCTTGACCAATGCAAGAAACGTAAACTTTCTGCCGTGGAATCGGGGACGAAACAACGTATTTTCAGTCGAGGTAGCAAGTTTTTCGGCTTTGTTTAGTCTAGTACTACACTGAGAAAAAAGTTTATTGCTCCCAAATAAAAAAAATATTTAAATATGGGACAAGGGTACAGTTTATTTATAGTTATTATTTCGACTATTTGGAGGTAATAAACAATATACCTATTCACTATTAATAAAAGTATTAGCTACACAGTTTATTTGTCCCATTTTTTCTCAGTGTACGTAGTGTTGCCAAACATACCGAAACTTCGGCCGATTTCTAAATAATTCGTTATAACGATCTAATCAATATTGTACCCTTTGACTAACTATAAATATATATTTATTTAACTATTTTTTTTTCTCAAAATAAAAATCTTGTGAGTTTAGATACTTGGAGCAGCTGAAGAATGGTGAAAACAGCAATTCATATAAGAAAATAGCAAAAAATAATTGAGACCCACATACAATCTAGTAGATTGAATCTACCAGTTTTTAAAAACAATCAAGGAAACAATGAATCTACTAAATTGTTGTGCGTTTTTAACAATATTGTTTTGTTTTTATATATTTATTTTCGTATTATATTTTACATTGTTTTTTCGTTTAAATTTTTAGTGAATATATTTTATTTAATAAAAAATACATTTACATACCTACCAATAAAAGTGGTGTAGTAGTGGGCAGGTTTTTGTGCTTCCTGCTTTCTGACCCTTTTTCTTTTGCTGTTTTGTCCAATAATGGTATGGTAATAATAAAACATAATGATACAAATATTAATTGATTTTATTAAATGAGTTGGTGTGCTCCTGTACAATAACGAATGGAAAATTAATAAAAATTACATTATCACTTTTCAAAAAGGAAAAATTCGATTTATGAGCACTAAAAAATGAAGCACAGCTTTATATATTTTAAGAGATAGTCTACTGATATACACAGATTATTAAACTTTACAATTTTGATTGCACCAAAGGATATAAATACCTAGTAGAAAAAATATGGAATATTTCAGTGTGTTTTGGGTAAAACAAGATTTTAAATGCCGGAAGCATCGTTAGCAAAGAAAAATGATGAACAGACAATTTATTTAATTCATTTAAAATCTGACACTGTGCATTGCAAAAATCTAATATCTGGCATAATCTGATACAATGCATTTTTCAGATAATAAAAAGGACTGTTACTGTATATATACATATATTTGTGTTGTATTTTTTTAATGAATCAAAAAAAATCACTAAATCTATTGAGTATAGTAGCACTTTTATACATTATAATTTAATACCAAAAAAAATTCATTGATATTCCCAGTGTCATATTTTATAAAGATTTTAAATAAAAAAAGATACAGTACAAAATAATACATATAAACTCTCTTAAAATTTCATAATATACAAAGGGGTCGCAAATAACGCGCCATTTATAGTGATAAAGTTCTTTTTCAAAAATCACATTTTTGATTGTTGAAATGTCCACCACTTTCTTCTACTAATATCACTGTTACACTACATTACTATTCAAGCTGTGCTCTATACAGTCTATTTCCGCCCACAATTGACGCACGTTGAAAAACAGCTGAAAAATAAAAACAATAAATTATTATAAATTTACTTATATTGGTAATTACATACAGTGTGCCCCACTTAAAACCTTATCACCCTTCTAAAATTTCCATTTTTCAACTGATTTTGATAAAACTTTTTTTGTTTTTTTGTCATGGTCAACTGTGATCTTTCTATGGGGTCAAAATTTCAAAAAGTACTATTAGGGAATTTTCCAGAGAAAAAGTAACTAATAAATCTTATTTGAGACTACTTAAAACCCCACTAAACAATTTTTTATTGCTCTTAAATCTATATTACTTTCAATAAGCACTACAAAGCAAGTAAATCAGACAGTGACAATGTGTGACAGTGATAGTAATTGTTGATCATTTTTAATTTCTTGTTTTCCATTGCATGTTGCTTAATTAGGTAATAGAAATTATTGCAAGTTAGGAGATGGTTAAATAAAAATTTTTCCAGTAAGATTTTAATTTAAGATTTTGATCATTTTTACGTATGTTTTGTTAGACTACTTACATACCCTGAAGTAAATTTAGTTGTTTCTTGGGAAGCATTTAATATTATTAAAATATCCATGTTTATTTACGAAACTTTTTTTGTTTTAAAAAAAATTAAAAAGTGCCCAACTGGGACACCCTGTATTTAAGAGCGATAGAAATTGGTATAATAGGGTTTAAAGTGGTCTTAAATAAGAATACGTGGTTACTTTTGCCTTGAAAAAATTCCTAATAGTACTTTTCAAAATGTTGACCCCAAAAGACACCACAGATAGCCATGAGTTTAGTCATCAAAACAAGTGACATATGCGTTTAAAGGCTTTTTCAGAGATCTATCAAATTTACGAAAATCGGTTGTAAAAGGCAAATTTTATAAGGTCTAAAGTGGGACACACTGTATAATTAATCAAGATGCTCAATGCTACTTTTTATAATGCCAATATTTCAAAACCAAATGTAAAAAAATTGTTTAAAATTAAAAATATAATTTTGGAATTTTACCATTATTTATAAAATGTCTGTTAACAACTAACATAGATTATTGTCCACCTAGGCATTGTTTATAATAAATAAATGTTCCTTTTGTTTAAAGGGTAAAATATATCACACAATTTTAATATTAATACCTTATAAAATACAAAAAATAAACAGACTATAATAATGTGTGGCTTACTAGGGGTGGAGAACTATCGATAGTGGTGCAACTCGATAGTATCGATAGGTGATGTTATAAAATCAAATATTTATATAAAAACGTTTATTTTAAAGTTAAGACCATGTAAGTTTTTATTTTAGAACTGATTTTTTTAAATTTTGTTGTATACTATTTTTTGTGCATGTTCATTAATTGGTTAGTTTAGCTACTCATTTTACACAAGAACAAGACGCAAGAACAATTTCAATTTGCGATTTTACAAAACAAATTAACTCAACTGTCAAAACGTTTATTTCCATTATCGGGGAACAACTTACCTATAAGTAAGATAATTAGGTGACCCATCTAGCGGTGAGAGATTTAATAGTAAATTGACAGCTTACAGCAATCTGCACGATCTGCAATTTTCGGCAATAGAAATAATACTTAGTTCTATATATCACAATGTTACCATGCAGACCTATCCATGGTATAAATACATGTATTTAAACCATATATGTAGTAAAATACTGTATTTTACACGCTAGATGGATAAGCTAACTTTTTAAAAATATTTGAATAAAAATAGATATTTATAGTACAGTACAGTATAGTATATCGATATTTTTTCAAATTAATATGACTATTTTTTTGTTATTCAGAAACAGTTACCTATAGGTAACTGTTTCTGAATAACAAAAAAATAGTCATATTAATTTGAAAAAATATCGATAGTCAGTTAAAAACTTTTGATAGGTCTACAGTAAAGTTTTATTGTAAACTATCGATATAATCGATAGTTACTATCGATAGTTCTCCACCTCTATGGCTTACTTTGCGTACCGTAAACACGGGTGGCTTTAGCTCACTTTCAAACTTAATCTTAACATTTTTGTAGTTTTAACATCATTCATAATAACTATGTTATAATATTACATAGGGCTAAGTTTCAAAAATAAAAACTGGGTGTGCAAAGTTACCCCCTGGTTGCGGGTTACTTTGTCACACAGTGTATTTTCCGTATAAAATTAACTCAATATTTTATTTTTATTAGACATATGTTAGCAGCGACATATATTATAGCAATTGCAAGGGATTACCGATAAAAACAATAAAAAATCGACCTGTAGTTAACCAAGGATCATCATTCCAAAGAATTGCGCATAATATAGAAATTGAAACGCGTGTATTTTTAAGAGTTTTGCACTAATGCAATATATACAACTTTAAAGTGTAATAAATCCCATTTATTTTAACACTGATTTTCCTGTAATATAAACTCAATAGAATCGCTCAACTGACAGGTTTAGACCAACAAATTATAAATGTTAATTTTATCGAGCGCGTAAAATTTTTTCATAAAAGGGCTAAAGTCACCCGCGGGGTGCAAAGTCACCCGTGTTTACGGTACACTTACTTTGCGCACGCAAATTCATTAATGGAGGAATATTATCATTAAATCATGAAGCCTTTAATATTATTTTTAACTAAAAATATTTCTAAAATAATTTAATATAAAAAACGTAAGTAGCAACTTTCCGCACGCTTGTAGAAAAAAAGTAAAATATTGTTCCTATCACATGCAAAAAGTAATTTTTCCGCACATACTGCTTCGCGTCGTGTGCGGAAAATATATCTTGGCGCACTTTTTAGGAAATAGTATATTCGTGGAAATAGCCAACTTTCTTAAGAGTTGAAAACTATAATTTTCTAATTTTGTTAAAGAATTTTTAAAAAAATGTTAACCTCTCTTACACTTTCTCAACAGAAAAACAAAAATCTTGTCGTATCATTATTATTTTTATTTAAAAAAATTTAACGAGAGCTAGAAGAGTACCTAGAAAAATATCTAAATAAACTAAAACATTGTTATTGTAAGTTTTTTTAATTATGTTTAGCTTTTTTTAAGTCGGCTAAAAAATTTTAATTTGCACATAGAAGTTTTTACTAAACCATCGACGATATTTTAATTTGATTGTTGTTTTTTTAATAAAATTTAATTTAATTAGAAAAAAAATAATAATTTGGAGTTTTAATAAAATATAGTGTGAAAATATTAATGTGTGTGTGAGAGAAAGAGAGAGAGATTCGTTAAACCATTTTTTCTACTACCTTACTAGAAAACTTATTTTTCCACCCCCGAACGAGGGAGGAAAATGCCTCTTTTCCTCCCCGGGAGGAAAAAAAATTTCCTCCCTCTTTTTTTTTAAATTTTACATTGGCAAGAGTTTTTGTACCTTGTCTAGCCTTATTTGGTTTTGTAGGAAAAAGATTTACTCCGCGCTTGTCCAACCATTCTTTTAACATTCTTTTAACAAACTATATTCATATTCACTATTTTAGATTTTTAAGGAAGGAAATTAATTGCAACTATTAAATTTATGATAAACATTATGACAACTTATAAAAACTGTTATGTTGGTATTACCAAAAATACCATAGCAACAAAGCGTTGTCAACATAACGTCGGCGACGCAAAACCTACTTAATATTTTGTCATAATTTTATAGCCCCATACCGGGTAAGTAAAAGGAACCGGAACGCTTAAAATGTCTTAAAACCGTTAAAAGGTAATAGAAAAAACTATATACATACCTCAGGAGGAAAATGCATTTCCTCCCTTGAATATTTAATGCCCTTCGCTTCGCGTCGGGCATCAAACTATTCGCGGGAGGAAATGCAATATTTTCCTCCCATGGTATGTAAATAGCTATTTTCTCCGTAAGACCGAGCGCACGTCTTCTGGAACCGCGCGACGCGGCGTTGCTACGCGTAGGCTTGGATTTGTAGCGACGATTTCACCTGCATTTCTTTACAAAAAAATTCATAACTTCTACAGTTTTTGAGTCCCCTCCAAAAAGAAGTAGTCAAAATTTGCGGAAAATTTAGGGCTATCATCATGATGATTTTTTTTTAAATTTGAGGTGGCGCTTTTTGGGAATTTAAATTTGAAAAAAATTTGAACAAAATTTTTTTATTTTTATTTTATCTTAAAGAGCGTCAAAAAATATGTTTATATGGTTTTTTCAAAATTTTTTGTCTTTCGGGTTTTTAAATAATCGAAAAATAAGAGAAGTGACATTTTTTTCTATTATGTAAAATCTACAAAAATGCATAAAAGAGGTTGAAATTTTAGATTTCTCCATTATTTGAGTTCGTCTATCAACCCTGAAAATTTGAAGCAAATCGGAAACATGAAGTCTTACTTAAGAGTTTAAATAAAAATTACTTAATTGGTGTGAAAAAAGCCTAGTATTACATTTGAGACATACTATTTTCAGAGGAACATTTATGAGAATTGTGCTTTAACAATACAGCAGGTAAGTCATATATAATATATGACTTACCTGCTGTATTGTTATGATATGATATATTACATATTATTGGTTAAGTTGACATTTGGATTGGCTGATTTTATATGATAAAATATTTACCGTAGTTAACCAGGCTTCGTCAGCTAGCAGCTCATTTAAAATACACGTCGTATCCTTATTTGGATCCAAACCGCGTTTTTCTGTCACTTTTTTTGCACACTCTATATACATTAGATATTTTTGATGGGTTATTTTATTTGATAACTCTACTCTACTTGCACATAACCGACACATTAGGAAATCCTAAAAAAATAAACATTTAAGATAAATAACAGTTATTATAGTGATTATTTCTTACTTTTTCATTCATTGCTGTAGGATCAGGCTGACAACCCTCCAAAGTAGTGGAATTATAAGGCTGTCCGTACATCAAAACTCGCACGGAAACCTCTTTTTTTCCACAAGCATGGCACTTTTTTAATTGGGCATCAGAAACCTTAAAAAAAGTTATTAAAACGAACTATATTACGACTTTTATCGGCTTTTTTATAGATTGGAAATTTCCAAAACTTGTTTTGAGTAAAATATGCAGATGGTTTAAAATAGTTATTTTTGATGCTAGATTGCCAAATGCCAATTGCCAAATGAAAAAATTTCGCAATTGATTATCAAACAAAATTTTTTCGAAAATTGTATCCCAGTTTATAAATTACTAAAAATGTGAAGGGAAAATTTTGAAACCAATGTAAAAATATTTTGCGTACATAGAAACGACAGCTTTCGAAAATAGTATATTACACTACAAGGGCAGAAAGTGTGAGATTCCTGCACTGCGCGCCATGATGCCAGAGGCGAAGCCGAGGGCATCATGGCGCGCAGTTCAGGGCTCTCACACTTTCTGCCCGTGTAGTGTATACTAGTTTTCTTGCTACCCGGCAGAAAATACGGGAAAAAATTAAATGTGTATAAAAAACTTGTGTCAAAATTAAAATCTGACGTTTAATTTAAGTCTGACGTTTACATTCAAAATCAATCAAACTGTAGCGTTGTCATGGTAACGGGAGGAAATGAAACTTTTCTTACTACCTCGGCCGAAAATACGTAGAGCCTTGACCAATGCATAAAACGTAAACTTTCTGCCGTGGAATCGGGGACGAAACAACGTATTTTCTGCCGGGTAGCAAGAAAAAGTAATTTTTCGAAAAATGTCATTAAAAGTTGACTTTTATATAGTTAACTATGGGTTCGCGTAAAAATCGAACAAATTTTGGACATTTCTTTGCAAGTGATGCCAATTGAATATATTTTTTAACCTTGTTTCTACATATAAATGGTGCATTAAAAAAAAATTCATCCATTGACGGCTGTGGTTTTTAGGCCAACTCTACTGTGTTAAAAATAGATAAATTTCAATATTTTGTAATAACATTTTTATTTAAAAACATATCAATTTGAAATTAAGATAAAATGTAGACCTTATTAGTGGCAATAAATCCACGTATAATTTTTTTAGATTTTAACATACAGGGGGCGCTGAGGACAATTTAATTTAAAATTTTACCATTTTTTAAGGGTTAAAAAGTCGAAGAAGCAACGTTGTTTTATAATTTTGAGTATATCACGTTAAAGTACTGATAATTAACTATTATTTGATATATAAACTTCTACATGCAAATTATGTTTCTAAGAGAGACACCATTTTTAAATTATGCCTTCAAAGGGCATAATACTAACGTGTTTTACAAAGTACCTATATATTCTTTTATCTAGTTTTATAAGATAATGTATTGTAAATTACATATTATACATTATATATTACATATAATATATTATATATAACATACAATTCTTACATATTTATTTTAAAAAATCGCCATAGATAAAGCTAAAATTACTTTTATAATAAAAGTTTTATTAATAAATTTTAAATTTTTTCAAGTTCACTAATTTTGATCATAGTAGGTATCATGAAATATAATTTGTCAGTTCAGCTTAAGTTGCAAATGACTGATTGCGTTTCAATTTATAAGTGTACTATAAACTCAAAACATTAATTTATTAAAATGAATAAACTAAATAATAATTATTGACAGTGTCAGCAAGTTAGAAATTATAACCTACTTTAACCACAACCAAGCTTCAATTTATTTTTTACTTGATAAGCAAGCTTCAATTTTAATTCCAAACTGAGGAAAGTAATATTTACCCAATAAATAAAGTAGAATAAAGATTTTATTTTGCAATTGGCTATTTAGATATATGTATATTTTTATTCAGTTGTTTTTCGCTTTTTTGTAATTAGTTATTTTGAATTTTTTATATTTAATATAATGCCATTGTGTTTCTGGAGAAACGCAAACGATATGTTATAAAGTTCAAGATATTAATTTTTTTTGTTCAAATTTTGCTAAATGAGCGTTAATCAAAAATAGCCTCTAATTTTTTTGTTATTATGTTTGCTGACATGGGGTTGGAATTTTTGGAATATTAAAACATTGTTTAAATAATTTAATTTTTTAAAGGTTTTTCAACAAATAGCTTGAAAAAAAACCACTTGAAATTACACAATAATACCGTTTTTATTATAAATGTAAAACCCTGTATGTTTTAACATAATCAAATAGAAAATTAAAGAATCTTTCGATATGCAACTGTTTCCTGAAGTTAAAATTTCAGAGACATTTAACAATTCCTAATATTTTCAATACTATTTTGTATCAATAAACTGGTGAAATTCTACCTGTGGGTTTATGTGACAGTGGTTACCACCAAATCTGCCATAGTTTAAAATTAATTAAAATATGTGATCGAAAAATATTGACTTTATACCTATAGCTATGGGTATAGGATACCTATATCTATAGGTATAGGATATGGTAAAGGTTTAGATATGGTATAGGATATGGAATAGCCATTTTACTCAGAATTTTATGTAGAATTAAAAAATGTAAAAATTTATGAGGTGTCCTGTTTAAAATAACAAAGTTAAAGACATTTCCGGTAAAACAGGAAGTATTATTTTGTTCAAAATAATTTAGGAAAAAAGTCTAATAATCGAATAATGTAGGCTATTAAAATTTTAAATCGATGACTTTCGCGTTTCCCTAAAAACTTCTAACGGACTACGTTCGTGAAACACCCTGTATATTAAACGTCATTTATGTGTTATGCCACAATCCACACAACAAGGTCTGTTCTATCTCATGCTAAAAATACTAAAAATCACTGCAACACTGCACAGAGTTTAACGGCGGCCATTTTTGTTGTTTACAATTCTTGTGCTTTGGGTTTGTACTGTTTAATAATTGTTTTAAACGTTGTGTTTGCTAAAAATACTAAAAATCACTGCAACACTGCACAGAGTTTAACGGCGGCCATTTTTGTTGTTTACAATTCTTGTGCTTTGGGTTTGTACTGTTTAATAATTGTTTTAAACGTTGTGTTTCTTACAGAGGCACTTGTAAGCCTCAAATAAGGCTTTTAAGTGCCAAGGACAACCATTTTACTCCTCTTTTATAATAAATATACCTTATTCTATCAGGGCTGTCAAATGACAATTTGAAGGTTAATTTGTGGGTTATAATTTAACCTTAAAATTGACATTTGACAGTTTTATGACAGCCTTGATAGAATAAAGTTTATTTTTTACAATAGAGGAGTAAAATGGTTGTTCTTAGCACTTTAAGGACTCTTTTAAGGCTTACTATGAGAAACACAACGTTTAAAACGATTATTAATCTGTATAAACAGAGCACAAACCCAAAGCACAAAAATTGTAAACAACAAAAATGGCCGCCGTTAAACTGTGCAGTGTTGCCGTGATTTTTTGTATTTTTAGTACGAGATAGAACAGACCTTGTTGTGTGGATTGTGTGTTATGCTATACTTAATTAAGATACAACAATATTTGTATAAAAATTACAAAATGTACTAAACCAAACATTTATGAATACTGCTACTTCTAATTCAAAACTGATCCTGGCCACAAAAACATTTGCATAAAAAAGTTAATATATCAAATAATAGTCAAATATCAATACTTTAACGTGTTATACTCAAAGTTATAAAACAAAGTTGCTTCTTCGATTATTTATCCCTTAAAAATTGTTAAATTTAAAATTAAATTATCACCAGCGCCCCCTGTACATTACAATCTAAACAAAATTTTTTCATTAGTAAGATCTACATTTGTCCAAATTTTAAATCGATACGTTTTGATATAAAAAAGTAAAAATAAATTTCTTCATTTTTAACACAGTGTCAATGGACGAGATTTTTTTTAAAAAGTAGGTACTGCATTTAGATGTAGAAATAAGGTAAAAAAGTTTTAATCGATTTCTTGAACCCTTGCAAATCGACCGTTCGATCCTTTCGCGAAACCGTAGTTAAGTGTTAAAACAACAGTTTTTTTTGTCTACAGAACGTAAAAATACTTTTACATGTGTTTTAAAAATTCTATTCACATTTTTAGTAAATTTTAAATGGTGGGATACAGTTTTCGAAAAAATATTGTTTGATACTCAATTACGAAATTTTCCAATCTAGTATCAAAAATAACAATTTCAAGATATTAAACTAATTTGAAAAAATATATACATAAATAAAAAATAGTATTTGTGACCACAAAAACACCCTTTGCCATGCCCCAAACAGAATTTTTTAAATTTCAGGAATGTTTGCAAATAAGATTTTTTTTATGCCAATCTTTAGTAAAATTAAGAAATGTTTTAACATAATAAATATTATTTTATGTTTTTCTAAAATTCAATGTAAACTTTAACAACTTACCTCTCTAATAACGTTAAAGCATGGCCAAGTACACACAGCAGCTTGTACTGATGAAGGCCACCTCAATATTGATAGTAACTTGGATTTTTTACTCTCGGCTATCTCATCTATTGTTCTGACATTCAACAAAAAGTATTCGTCTATAAAAACAAAGAACATTTAACTCCAGTACAATTTCAAGTAAATAATAACTACCTTTCTCACTAAATATTTCCATAAGGAAATTGCTGTCCAAAGCTTGGGATATTAAGGTTTGTATGTAGACTTCAAAATTGTCTTGGTAAAATTCGAACTCCTTCATACATTTTTCTTCTTGTATAGGATCTATTATTGTTATTTCTTTCTTCAAAAACTCTACTATTGTTTCCATGGAACCTTGCGACTTACATTTTACTGGTATTGAAATGTATTGCTTTTTACTCTCTGACGTCCAAGACGTATACTACAAAAAAATAATTAGAATTTTATAAGTACACCAATTAAATATTAATTACCGTTGATATATTCCTATAGAGAGTACAGCCATTCTGTTCAAAAGGTTCATATTTTTGTAATAACGTTTTACCGTCCACCCTCCAAATTGGTGGCCATTCTTGATTTAAGTCTGCTTTTATTGCCAGAAATTCGCCAGTCTAAAAATAAAACAAAAAATTACACTACACTAATATAATATAACTTTATTATTGATAATATCAAAAATATTATTAAATATTATTATGACTTTTAAAAATTTAGCATTTTGTATGGTGGAAGGACAAAAGTCAATGGCGCTTTAACGATTTATTTTTTAATAAAGAAGATTTATTATTATAACATTTTTGCGGTTTATTTTTCATCAATTTTTCGTTTTTTTTTTTTAAATTGTTCATTGATTTATGCATAAAATATCTTCCAACAAAAATTCATTTTTGAACTATAAAACTGATTTCATGAAAATAATCCCTTTAAAAACGCATTTTGGGAAAAAAAATGTACAATAAAATTGAAATGAAAAAAGTCATGGTACAAAATTTTTTTTTTCGCAAAAAACGACCTTCAAGCGGTCTTTAATTTAAACTTTATTATTGTCAACACACTACTAAAGTGATTAATTATCGGATGGGCTGTTAAAACAATTTATACCAACCAGGTAAAATTGTTTACCTCGTATGTAAAAAAACCCGTTTAGACCAATAAATAAATTTGACTACTGTTATATATACTGCCAAATAAGGTCTAAATATATAATTCGTCACCTGAGAATTATAGTGTTCTATCTGCATTTTTTTTTAAATTAAGGTTAGTCTTGTTTTAAGCCTTAAACTGTACAATTTCTACCCCAATTATATATAGATAGAACAATATGCATCTAAAACAAGACTAACCTCAATTAAAAAAAAATGCAGATAGAACATTATAATTCTCAGATGACGAATTATTAATTATTAAACTTTGAGCAAAAAAAAAAGACTTCTCAGTCTAATGACATAAATAACTATATTTTGTAAAATAGTTTAAATCTTCCCACAAAAATACATTTTGAAGTATAAAATTGACTTTGTGAATAGAATAACTTTAAAGACAATAATAAAAGAAAAGAAATTGTACAGGGTGGTCACTTTTTTTAACTACATTTCTCTTACTTTTCCCGTTTATTTAAATGGTTTATTTTTTATAGGGAAGTAACTTATTTAAATCTTAAAGAGAAACTACTGAAGGTTTGGGTCCTAGATATAATCCATGAAATTCTGCGTTGTTTTTGCTAGACTTTATAAATAGACTAACAACAATAAATGTTATGTGCTGTCATATAAAAAAATCCGTAATAATTCCCCTACTCCGAAAAAAAATCCCTGACTATCCCAGACATTTTCAGGTTATTCCCCGTTTTCAGAAAATGGCCACCACATAAAAAATAATATACTATAATATAAAAATAAAGCTCCAAGGGTCTTAAAAAAACTTACCTTAAAAGGATTTTCATCAAGTGCTGCAGCATTATGCATGGATGCAGCAATATTGTCTTCTAATGTTGGAGGCACCCCTCCAACTTTTGCTTTGATTTTGTGTTTTTTGCTGGCCAAATCGCTACTGTACATGTCGCTTTCGTTAATTCCTGCTCCCTGAGCCGCCGCCGCTATAAGATTTTTCACGCCTTTCTTCTGTTTTAAACCGTGTCGGTTTTTCTTGTTTTTCTTCAGCGGTAAAACGATGTCTTCTTCTTCGGTTTTGGCCAGCGGTGTCCACGCCGGGTCAGAATCAGAGTCCTGAAATATGTATTTTATGTTGGTTGTGTTCAGTCTTGCCAGTCAGTGAGTAATTCCTCACATTTGTGAGGAATTCCATGGTCTGTGAGGAATTTTGTTAGTAAAGTACAATTGTGAGTAATAAGAACCTAACATATATAATGGTTTATATATGCTAATAAAACTATATTTTTCTTTGCAAACTCGAAAACGACTTATCGAGAATTTCATTTTTGATGTTTGGCAACATTGCACAGGAGTAAATTGCAATTCATAAATGGAGGGTTCTCACCTTAAAAATTGGCAAAATCAGTTGGCAACAACTTTGGAAAAGAACATAGATTTTAGTCAAAAAGCTCCGTTTTGCGGCAATAATTTAGTATTTTTTTCATTACGAATAAATAGTTATTTAATCCTTTTTTACTTTGTTAAGTAAGACTTTACACATAATTTATATTTTAATGAAAATATTTTTTTTATTTTTAAGGCATTTTAGGATGGTCAAACACAGAACTTTTTTATTATTAATTTTACTCCAAAAGAATAACTTTTTTTTTGAAAATTAATAATAAAAAAGTTTCCCTTATATAGACAACTTAGGCAAACACACTGAAAATATATATATTTTTTTTACTGTGTTTGGTAAGACTTATTACTTATAATTTACTATATTTTAATTAAAATTGATTTTTGCATTTATTTTCGAGCATTTAAAACATCACAAGCACTTAAAAAAAAAATCAGAAAAATTGAATTTTCTATTATCCATAATACAGGTATTATACTACGTATAATATGGAAGAAATGCAAAATTCAATCTGCAAATATATTAATTTTCCGTTTAAAATTCTTGCGATGTTTTATTTATTTATTTTTTTATGGCCTCAAAAAACAGTTAGGTAACAACTTATAATATAACAAAAAAAATAAATAAATAAAAACTGTGATTATAAGCTATAAAGTAATAAAATATATATGAATCATAACAAAGAGATAAAGTATATCATATATTTATGTATGCAAACAAGTTTAAGAAAAATGTCCAGAGATCAGATATGACTTTACTTTCACAATAAAACTATTCCATTCGTCTATTTGTTTTAATTCTTGCTCCGAATTTTTTTTCCTGCAAAATGCGAAATTATTTTTTTTTAAGTTGGATTAAAAAAAGTTATAATTCAAGTAAAATAAAGTATTTATTTATAAATAACATAAAAAGATACTTTTAATAAAATGTGTGTATTATTAAATGTCGAAAAAAAAAATTTCCCAAAAAAGGCAAATGTTTCATAAGTACCTGAAATTCGGCGGGTTCATCAGGTTCCTCGTCTTTCATCAAGGCATGAAGATTTTTTTTCTCTTTAGCTGCCCTTTTGCTCGTTTCTCTTTTTGGAAGTTCCTCATCAATGACTATAAAAAATTTGATTCATTTAGCGGAAATATAATTTTAATTGTCTTTGTTGCTTACCATCACGGTCTCTACCGTATTTCAAACGATCCTTTGCCATTTGTTTGAGCCTCCTCCTCTCTGTTGGTCCTCCAGGTTTACAGGGTCTGCCTTTCCTTGACGATCTTTCTTTATCATCTAAAAATAAAAAAAATATTTTTACATTTTCTTGTATAAAATGAACAAGACAACTTACTTTTCCTATCTCTTTCCTTGTTTTCACTCTTACATGGAGGCATTGATAAGCTTTTCCTTCCTGAACTGAAGAAACCATCATCTGAGTCATTGTCAGAATCAGAGTCAAAGCTGTTCCTTTTTCTTTCCTTTGGTAGGGGGAAATACCTATACAAGAAAAAATATGTTTAATTTTTTTTTTTTTGTAATTAGGTTAATATTTTTTTACCTTGGATCATCTTGGGGATCACCTTGCGATAGCCTGGTGATAGGAGGCACAATTGGTGTAACTGGTGGTATGTTTGGAGTAGGATGCTTGTCTGTGTAAAAACACACATTTGTATATTTTTAACATGACAAAAGTTATATTTTTTTATATTAACAGTTTTTAAAATAGGTAAGATAAATAAATAAAAATGTTATAGATGATAGGTATTACAAAAGGAATACAAAATTAGAGGTAAATGGGAGAATGCACAAGACAATTCTTAGAAATTTATTATTTAAAAAAATAATTTTTAATTAGTGTACAAAAAACTGGTCTAATTTTTAATAAAAAATATTAAAAATTTATATCAAGATTTGGAAAAAAGCAAAATCTCCCAGGTTGTTCCATTTTTCATATTTAACAATTTTACAAAGCACTTTAAAGCTAATTTAAATTATTTTTTGAAAAAAGAAATGTGCCAATATAGCTTAACTGTTATGTTATTCTTGATCAAAACAAATTTGTAGAAAATTAAACGATCTTCAAAATTGCTAATTGACTTTTTTTCTACGATTTGTAGTTTAGCTGCTAAATGTAAACATATCATTTTTTTTTAGAATTTATGTTTCAACGTTAATAAAAAAGAAACAGTTGAATCTACAGACTGGACTTTGTAGATAATTTAATGCTAAAAAAGGACCAGTGATTGTTTATCAAAAAAAAAGTTCTACATAGCATGCGGGCGAAATAAATCTTAAAAAACTATTTTTCCATGTTAAATCAATGTGAAAACTTTAAATTCCATGATGGACCTTTCAAAATTAATATTAAGATCTCAAATTTTGACAGAATTTTTTTAGCATAAGTGACTAGAATTTCACATGAATTCGAAAAAAGAAAAATATTGCCTTATTTTGAAACACCCTAATGTATATGTATTTTTATTGATAACCAGGTAATGAACAAAAATCTTTTACAGGATTAGTAGTTAATAACTAGTACTATAATTTAGTAAAATTTAGTATTGGCGAATTTTGCCCCTTTTTTATCTACAATCCCTCACAATTTTTTTTAATTTTGGAAATTTGTAAAAAAAAATATTTACGATAAAATTGAAAAAATATTTACGATAAAATTGAAATTAAAAGAAAATGCTAAAAAATCTTTAAAACTGATATTTGCAATAAAACTTGACTACAAAACTTTTAAATATTTATCTTAACATATGTTAAGATAAATATTTAAAAGTGTTACATATGTAATCTAAGTTTTATTGCAAAAATAAGTTGTAAACCCCAAAAAGTTGTATTTGTGAAAAATATTAATTCATCACTTTTTTATCATCATAAAAATGTGTTTTAACACAATTCTATACAAAAAATCCCTGTTGTACTTGAAAAATGCATTTTTGTGAGAATATATTGATATCAATTGACTATATTTATAAATAGTAAAATATTTTAGAAATTCACAAAATTAAAGAAAATGTAACGTTGTATGTTAATTTTGTTAATTAGTTTATTCTTTTTTCAAAAATTTCTTTTGAAATCAGTTTTAAATTTTACTAGAATTTGTAAATTTTAAAAAATCCGTAAATCAAAGAAATGTCTTATAATTATGAGCACAATTAAATTTTATTTACTGTATTTACATAATATTTAAATCAAATAATCAAAAAATAATTAATAAAGTATCTACAATCACATTTTTTCATAATTTTCGTTTCTATAATTAATAAAGTATCTACAATCACATTTTTTCATAATTTTCGTTTCTTACTTGCAACGACCCCATTGGTCTCTGGTGCGGCAACCCCGCCTTCCTGCTTGACCGCCGTCCTGGTCCAGTTGGTCTTTCTTCCGCCCCTCTGGATTGGCGGAGGCGACGAATCGCGCTCGCCTTGCAGAAACTTCAGATAGCTGGACATGAAACCGGCTCCAGGTCCGCTTGCGGCGTCCGGTTTACCGAGTCCGCCCGCTGCAGCATTCGGTTGCGAATTGTTCGCTTTCGCCAGCGACGCCGAGTTCGATGATGGCGCTCTAACCGTACCTTTTAAAAATAAAAAGTTTTTATGTAGTTATGTTAAAATTAGTTAAATGTTTATTATATCCAGAAATCTAGTGTTTTTCATAGCTTTGTATTTGATTAGATTAAATAAGACTTCAGTTTATAAGAAAATCACTTTATTTTTGAAATTCTGTAGGTGCAAAATTATTTAGAAAGAAGAAATATGCTGGACACGCACGTTTGTTTTGGCCGGTCAATTTTTTCCCGAAACCAATATTTTTGCCGTGTAACCAAAACAGAAAAACCAATTTAACTACATTAAAGTTCGGAACGTGGGAAACACTGTTTTTTTTAAATTTCACGTCTTTATTTTAATTGTTTCAATTTCAATTGTTTTGCTAACACTGTAGCTAGAGATGCGACTTTAAAAAAACGGTCCGTTTTTTTTTGTTTTTTTTCAAATGTTTTTTTATCTTCATATTTTAGTTTTTTTCAAGATTAGTCCCATTGCCTTATTTTTTATGGTTCCAATCCAGTTCGTAATTTTTTCTATTAGTTTAGAAGTTTTACATTGCTATTGGTTTGTAATGTGGATACCACCAAAGAAATCAGATTTTTTACTCTCTGTCAAAATTTTCAATAATGAAAAATGTAATATATTCTACATTTCACTTTATTATTAATATACACTTTACTCAAAATTTCATTTTTAAAAATTACTCCATTTTTTAAGATTGATGTTATTTATTGACAGAATATTGCAGCTGATTAAAGAAAAACAAAAAAAAAACCTTTTTTTCTAGTTTTTTTCCACATCTGAAAAAATAGTAGATTATATCATAAGGAGTAGAAGTGACTCTTTTTGTGGTGAGTACAGAGATTGACGGCCGAAGCGTAGCTGAGGCAGGCAACTGTACGAAGCACAAAAAGAGCTTCTACTCCAAATAACATATACAATTTTTTTTTCAAGGGCGTAATATAAATAGGATAAGCAATAGAATTATTTTATTTACTCATAACTTATGTGGTATAAAATTTTGGCTAAAAGCATTATAAATTATTGTTAAAAACTAAAAAAACTTATAAGGGTTACTTACAATGCCGAAAAATATCCTAAACTAAAAATAAACAATGCTCTGTCAAAATGCTGCGCTTGAATTAATTTTGACGTACTGACATTTCTTTGGAGTTCTGACATTGGCGACTCGTCTATCATCATAATATTATACTAATAAACTAGTTGTTCTTTGTTTCGTTCAATTAAAATTTAATAAATAATCACTAAATATTCCGTGCGATTATAATTAATATAATTAATACATCGTGATTGCTTTGTATAAAATGCTAAATTAATTTTATTATTTGACGTCTATTGAGACACCTATGGATTTACTTCTATCCTTAGGCTTTCTTGAGTTTTTTGTCTGCCGCTAATGAAAAAGACGCACTTCAACTATCTCTATACAGGCATATAAGGTTGTATATCATGGCCGCTTGAAAAAAAATAGTAGATTATGTCATACGGAGTAGAAGTGACTCTTTTTGTGGTAAGTACAGAGATTGACGGCCGAAGCGTAGCTGAGGCAGGCAACTGTACGAAGCACAAAAAGAGCTTCTACTCCAAATAACATATACAATTTTTTTTTCAAGGGCGTAATATAAATAGGATAAGCAATAGAATTATTTTATTTACTCATAACTCATGTGGTATAAAATTTTGGCTAAAAGCATTAGAAATTATTGATAAAAACTAAAAAAACTTATAACCCTTACTTACAATGCCGATAAATATCCTAAACCATAGATAACAAAGCCTAAACTAAAACTAAACACTGCTCTGTCAAAATGCTGCGCTTGAATTAATTTTGACGTAATGACATTTGTTTGAAGTTTCGACATTGGCGACTCGTCTATCATCATAATATTATACTAATAAACTAGTTTTTCTTTATTTCGTTCAATTAAAATTTAATAAATAATCACTAAATATTCCGTGCGATTATAATTAATATAATTAATACATCGTGATTGCTTAGTATGAAATGCTAAATTAATTTTATTATTTGACGTTTATTGAGTCACCTATGGATTTACTTCTATCCCTAGGCTTTTTTGAGTTTTTTGTCTGCCGCTAATGAAAAAGACGCACTTCAACTATCTCTATACATGCATGTAAGGTTGTATATCATGGCCGCTTGAAAAAAAACGTTTTTTTACATCTCTAACTATAGCTTATTCAAAAATGATTTTAAACTTAATGTAATAACATAAGTTGTTTTACGTTTTATTTTTATTTTATACCAAGTAGGAGAATTTACCTGTAGAAGTTTAAAATATAACAAATGTTGTAATAAATCAATTATGGGGAATTTGTATTGTATTGTAATAGTTGTATTAGTAACATGTAGTTTCATCAAGTAAAGGTCGAAACAATAAAATATTTAATAGTAATAATATATATATATATATATATGTATATTAGACTGGGCCAAAAAAAATCGACTATTTGGAAAGTATATCGAAAATATTGTTTGGGGCCATAATATTAATATTTAATATTAATATTATGGCCCCAAACAATATTTTCGATATATATATATGAACTCCCAAATCATTGAGTTTAACAAAATTGACTTAAGAATATTTTTTTGAAGAAAATTGAATGCTCTACAAAAAAGGTTTGATTGGAATTTCCCGTCAGATGAACCCTTTTCTTACAATCATGCCTTAAAAATTGGTATAGTTTTACAATTTGATCTTTTAACTTTGGAATTTTGTAATTCAAGTAAAAATCAGTACCCTGAAAAAAAACTATAAATATTCTTATGGGAAATCAAATGATCTTCAATAAAAAGTCTTTTATCATTTTTGGCTAAATTCACTCCATCAAAAGTTATTCAAGGTTAAATTTGAAATCAAAACGAAATTTTAACCTTGAATAACTCTTGATTGAGTGAATTTAGCCAAAAATGTTAAGAGGCTTTTTTTGTAAAGCATTTGATTTCCCATAAGAATATTTATCGGTTTTTTATGGGTACTGATTTTTACATGAATTACAAAATTCCAATTTAAAAGATCAAAATGTAAAACAATACCAATTTTTAAGGCATGATTTTAAGGAAACGGTTCATCTGACGGAAAATATCACTTTAACCTTTTTTGTAGAGCATTTAATTTTCTTAAAAAAATATTTTCAAGTCAATTTTGTTAAACTCAATGGTTTGGGAGTTCTGAGCCTAAAACTTGCTGAGGAAAAAAAATTAAAATTGCGTTGATAGACCTCTTAATATTAATATTATGGACTCAAACTTTCACAATATATTTTTTTTGTCACCCCAAACCATATTTTCGATATACTTTTCAAAAAAAAAATAGTTGATTTTTTGGCCCAGTCTAATGTATATAACATTCATTCCAAAAAACGGTTTATAGAGATACACCTCTAAATAGATTAATTTTTTTTAGAGATGGCATATGCTCCAGCACTTTTAAAAGTGTCCATAAATGCTTAAAAATGCTCTAAAATGCTCGAACATTTTTAAACTTAGTTGTTGGTTATAATGCCGCTTAGTTATGGCGGAAAATGCACTTTTTTAAATCGCTCGAGCGCTTCTAAGCACTTTTTGAGTATTTTAAAAATAACCAGATTATGTAAAAATTCCTGCTTTTTAGTTTTGGCGAAAAATTCAAATATCGAGCACTTTGTAAAATGGTCGAGCACTTTTCGAGCATTTATGAGAATTTTTAAAAGTGCTTGATCAAATTAATAATTAGAATTTTTAAATTATCAAAACTACCAAAAACTACAATTTTCGATATTTTAAAAAAATTCAATATTATCAAAATTTACAAAATTTTAAGATCTTGAGATTTTTTATATTATCAAAACTACCAAAACCTACAATTTTCAATATTTTAAAAAAATTCGATAATTTCAAAATGTTCATTAACACAATTTTTTTTAAATTTCCAAAAAAATTAAAATCTTTAAAATTTCAAAATTAATTTATAAAATGCACAATAAAATAATTATCAGTTTGAAACGCATTTGAGAACGTATTTTAAATAATACAATTTTCTTACTTAATCACATGTACAGTTGTATTCATTAAAAAAGCGTACAAGAATTAGAATGAGAGAAACCTGTCAACATTATTGCGTAAAACCGGCTTTCCACTGACTTAAGTCACTATAACTGACAGTAGAAAATAAAAATGCCTCGTCAGTTAAAAAGGCTCAAAAAGTATCAAGAATTGAAGAAGAATGGTCAATTCGTACCGTGGTATAATAGAAATAAAAAATCTATATTAAAAATTATGCAATGCTGGGAACAGGAAGATTTACAAAACCAAAAAGTTGGTTCAGGTCGTCCCAAAATGTTCACCCCTGAACAGGATGCTGCTTTTTTGGGATATCTGAGAATTTATGGGAAACTATACAACTATACTATACCTACTATACTGCTGGGAGGATATTAATCCAAATATTTTATTAAATTTAATTCAGTTTATCCCAAATAGATTGGCTCAAGTAATAAAAAACACGGATGCATGACTAAATATTAAATTTTTTTAATCTTTGTTTTTTTTTCATTTCTAAAAGGTAATAATTTTTGTAATATTTAATTAACTTACGACGTCAATGCTCTTTATAACCTATAGTAATTATTTTAATGACTTATGTCAGTGATAAGCCGGTTTTAAGCAATAATATTATTTTGACAGTTTTCTCTCATTCTAATTCTCGAGTTCATTCGCATGACTTGCGTATACGCAAGTGCCAACTTACGAACGATAGAGTTGAAATGCGATTCTCGAATCTGTGCAAAAATGCGCATTCGTACATTTTTATTCGCAATGCAACGAGTGGTCAACAGCACTCGCTAAAATACCTTAATCTCAAATTTGTGACACAAAAAGTCAAGAGAATGGACGAGCTTATCAATTTAAATGGATTGGCGGCTATTGAAGAGGCTGAAATTAATAATTTAATAAACCATTAGAATAATTAAATACACGGTTAAGCAGCATTGAAAATGCACACATTGTTTTTGTTGATACAGTCAATGAAATTGATCCCTTGGAGGCTTCAAACGTTGAATATGAAATAACTGAATTTGAAGACACATATAAAGTTGTTGCATGTGCAAACGAATTGTTAAAATTACAATATCATGATTCAAGTTCACCTGGGTTAAATCATAGTGCCCTTACGCAAGTAAACTCAGAAAACATAAAAGACCAGTTAAAACTTCCAACAATTAATTTGCCAGGGGTGCGATCTTAACCAATTTGGAACTAACAAATGAGAATTATGCAATTGCCTGGGACCTTCTTTGGCAAAGATACGAAAACAAAAAACTCTTAGTATACAACCATATTAAAGCATTAATGGAATTACCAAATATCAAATATCAAGTACGAAAATGCGCAATTTATCAGAAATTTGATATGATCATTAAAATCATTAAAACAACATATAGACTCTTGGGACACCATACTAATATTCATTTTTTCCTTGAAATTAGATTCTAAAACTAAAATGCAGTGGGAAAAAACGAATAAAGAAGATTTTTCTAAATTTGAGGATTTTCTTAAATTTTTAATAAATCGATCCCAAATACTAGAATCTGTAGAACCAAATAAATCAAAAAGTTACCAAAGAAAAGACACATCTTTGGTAGTAACTAAAAATGTACAGTGTTCATTTTGTAAACGAAGCCATTTTAATTACCAATGTCCTGAATTTTTAAAAATTCCCATGAATAATCGATATAATGAAGTAAAAAACTACAAATTATGCACTAATTGCTTTTTTTCTCCTTTTCCTTTATAATAACAGCTCAATAATGATATAATAAATAATAAACTACACTATGTACTGATTTGCGTAAACGAATTTTTGGTAAACTAACCCAACTAATACTGGCCATCTGACAACGTTCATAAAATACATCAAAAACTATGTTGGTTATACTACAAACTAGCACCGTTGCCACATAATAAATTTTATGCATACCTACTTGTGCGCAAATTTTTGCGAACACTTAACGAAAAACTTGAGAATACAACAGTACAATATCATTCGCAAGTTTTCCACCGCAACTATTCACATTCGTAAGGTTGCCAATGAACTCGAGAATCGCACCCCTGGGGTTAAAACTTCCAACAATTAATTTGCCAGGGGTGCGATCTTAACCAATTTGGAACTAACAAATGAGAATTATGCAATTGCCTGGGACCTTCTTTGGCAAAGATACGAGAACAAAAAACTCTTAGTATACAACCATATTAAAGCATTAATGGAATTACCAAATATCAAATATCAAATACGAAAATGCGCAATTTATCAGAAATTTGATATGATCATTAAAATCATTAAAACAACCTATAGACTCTTGGGACACCATACTAATATTCATTTTTTCCTTGAAATTAGATTCTAAAACTAAAATGCAGTGGGAACAAACGAATAAAGAAGATTTTTCTAAATTTGAGGATTTTCTTAAATTTTTAATAAATCGATCCCAAATACTAGAATCTGTAGAACCAAATAAATCAAAAAGTTACCAAAGAAAAGACACATCTTTGGTAGTAACTAAAAATGTACAGTGTTCATTTTGTAAACGAAGCCATTTTAATTACCAATGTCCTGAATTTTTAAAAATTCCCATGAATAATCGACATAATGAAGTAAAAAAGTACAAATTATGCACTAATTGCTTTTTTCTCCTTTTCCATTTTTATAATAACAGCTCAATAATGATATAATAAATAATAAACTACACTATGTACTGATTTGCGTAAACGAATTTTTGGTAAACTAACCCAACTAATACTGGCCATCTGACAACTTTCATAAAATACATCAAAAACTATGTTGGTTATACTACAAACTAGCACCGTTGCCACATAATAAATTTTATGCATACCTACTTGTGCGCAAATTTTTGCGAACACTTAACGAAAAACTTGAGAATACAACAGTATAATATCATTCGCAAGTTTTCCACCGCAACTATTCGCATTCGTAAGGTTGCGAATGAACTCGAGAATCGCACCACACCTCAAAGTCCCACCACGTGACCACGTACGGAACGCAGTCTTTTGAAACTTTGGCATTTAAGGTTATGTATCTGTCAAAGTATAGTCAATGAAAAAAATAATATTTATAGTGTTACCGCTTATGTTTAAGCGTTAAAAGTTAATAAATCTTTATAGTATCACAATAACACTGGTTGGTTTAAGAATTTAGGAATATAAATACTGCATTTAATGAAATTCTAAAGTGTAAGGTGCAATATAAGTGATATTTTTGTGCATTGGGTCTACATTTTTCCATAAAATAGTTTTAACTAAACAACATTTATTTAAAAAAATCTAACTTCTCTATTATGAAATAAGAATATCTGTATCAAAGGTAGGTTAATGTATTAGAACAAAAAATATCTAATTTTGTATTTTAAGGTTAGAAAAATCTATTTTGACCAAAATAAATAAGTGGATTATTTGGAAGAGTGTGTTAATATGGTCATAAATAAATATAGTTATACTAAATAATTGTTGAATATGGTTCAAATTAAATTGAAGCTTTTATACTTCTAACGACAAAACTTGTGCATACCTCTCAGCATACCTACTTTAAGATTATAAGAAAACAAACTTGCAATGTGAAAATATTTAATACACCCATGACATGTCATTTATTAAAATCTTTAAAGTTATAATGATTTTTCGATGTAGATCAAATTTAGTCGAAGCTTTTTAACTAGGTATTTGTACTGACAAAACTTTATGTAGGTACAGATAAGAAGAACTACCACATTTTTAAATACCATATTATACAGTCTTTTAAATAATCCAAAATACTTAAACCTAACTTAACCTTAAAATTACAAAATTAGATGATATTTTTGTTATAATATATTAACCTACCTTTAAAACAGATATTCCATAATAGAGAAGCTAGATTTTTTTAATAAATGCTGTTTAGTTAAAATTATTTTATGGAGAAAACCAGATATTTGGACGAAATGCACAAAAATATTACTTATTTGGCACCATACACTTTAGAATTTCATTAAATGCAGTATTTATATTCTTAAATTCTTAAACCATCCATTGTTATTGTAATTTTATAAAGATTTATACATTTTTAACGCCTAAACATAATATTATTTCTTTTGTTGACTATACTTTGACAGATACATAACCTGAAAAGCCTTAAATGCCAAATTTTAAAAAGACTGCGTTCCGTACGTGTTCACGTGGTAGGACTTTGAGGTGTGTAACTTAAGTTACATAATTCATAAAGCTATGAAAAACAGTGTATTTAGTGTTTTACATAGCTTAAGAACATTTTATTATACAAAATAAAGATGCGTTACCGTATGCGTTTCATATTTATCATTTTAATTACTGCTTCTTACGATTTAAATTAAAAATAAAGTTACCTTCTGATAAAAAATTAAGTTCCTCCTCGATGTTGGGAACGACAACTTTGGGTTGGTCCTCCTGCGCAGGCTGTGGTTGCTGATAGTGCGCAGCAGACTGATGTTGTTGCTGTTGCTCGCTGTACGTCGTCAGCGTCGTCAGTTCTACATTGCTGTTGAACTCGCTTGGCGGGGGAATGTGGAACGGGGCGAAGTATGGCAACGGATGACCCGGGTGACCGTGAGGATGAGGTACCATAAGACCTTTATGGAAATATTATCAAATTATGCATAAATATTATTGTTTATTTTTTTTACACATAAAATGAGTTAAGCTTGTTTAATTTTATTGGATTTAAAATTAAGCCAAATTTAAGTAGCCTTATATTGATAAAATTGCAAGAAACTTTTTGTGCGTTGCCAAGTATTTTGAATATAATTTAAATTAAAAACACAAAACTGGCAACTATTTAAGAGACATTATTTTTACACTAATTATTTGCCATGCTTATGAAGGGAATAACAATAACATTAACTATTTGTTTTTATATGCGAAGTGGTGTTATTATTTTTCTATGGTGTTAATTTTGTATTCCAGTATTATGGATAAAGAATTATAAAATTGCGTAAACAAGTAAAATAGCTGACGAAGGTTTATTTGTACGCTACACGATGCGCATGCTCGCAAAATATTAAATAGCTCTAAAGATTCGCGCTCCCCAGATTTTAAAACGCTTTTCCCGACAAATTCAATGAACCAATAAGGACATTATTGGCAATTCGCATCATGTATGAAACTGTTAAAGTTTGCAGTGTACAATATTGTTTGTATTTTAACGACAAAAAAGTTTGTTACGATCAGAGTTACTTCGGACTATACCGGGTGTATCTTATTTTTTTAGAGAACAACTTTTTTTTTAAATATAGTCCAAATTTCTTTTAGCATATTATTATAATATTAATTTGTGATTTACAAATACAATTTTATTATATTTATCATATATTTATATTATCAAGTAATATTACGTGATAGTTAAGTAATACAACGAAATACCATGTAATACAACGTAATACCATGTAATACTTTGAGTAATACGTTAACATAATATGCAGATTTTGCGTTATAATTTAATAAAACAATTTAAAATTTTACCTGGTCATTGGCCACTTATTTTAATTTTATTTTTGCAAAAAATAAAAAAGAAGGTGCAACTTTACCTAATAATTGTAAAACAAGTGAATTGGATAAAAGAAAATAATAATTCACTTAATTAAAGATATAGGTAAGCTTTGGTAGTAGGTATATTATGAGAGGTGATATTTAATTAACAACGTTTCAGACTAAACAATAAAAATGAAAATGTTGTTTATTACATGGAAACGTGGAATATTTCAGATTAATTAATCGAAATTAACAATAAAGAAATAAAGTATTTGTCTAAAATGCAAAAAAAATAACAATTACCAAAAGAATATTTAAAAATACGTCAACCTTTTTTATATCCAATTTTATTAAACATGTTAAAATTCATGCTGATAAAACTAAAAAAACTTCTATGAAATCGAAAAGCAAACTTTGACACCCTTTCAGTCAGTAAGCAACAATAATATGGAATTAAATTCGCATCTTAATAATTATTGTGCAATAATGTTAATATTTTATATTGTTTTATGTGTTATATAAATTAAGGGTTATTTTATAAAGTTTATTTTTCAAAATGTTTTTTATTTATACTTAATGAGATACTTAAATTAAAAATGGAAAGGTACCTAAATAAAAACCTCAATAAAAACGTTATGTTTAATCGGTGTATAATTTAAACTTTATTGGCTAAAAAAAATCATTATTTACCGCGTTTCGACCAGTCATAAAATTCGATAATTATCAATGTCAATAACCATCTTTCTACTTATTGTTTCATTTAAGAAATTGTGCCTTGAAGAAAAAATATTAATTCCATTCTGCCAATAAGTTTTTTTGTGCTTTGCTTAGCACAAAAACATTTTTAACATTTTAAAAATATTTAATAAGCATATGTAGGTATATTAGTTACCCAACCTCAATTCTACACCTTTATAGATGGTATTATCTTTGGTTTCACCCTTAAAAATTAATTTATAATTAAAATTATAGATGGCAGCACTTACGTAATATAACCTAATACCAAGTAATACAAGGTAATACTAAATAATACTTGAGGTAATACCAAATTGTTTTACCTAATACGAGGTAATACATGGTAATTTTTCGTAATACTTGGGAAGTATTATGCGTTTTGCGTAATAGGCGTACAAATTTTGCCCGGTTGTTTACCCCTCGATATTTATAAATTATAAATTAATATTTTCAACCAAAAACTAAAAAATAAGGCTTGCAGTTTCCATATGAAAATATTTTTAAAACCACGTCATTTTGATAAAAATTAAAGAAAAAAATGGATTTATAAAACTATTTAAAATTACTAAATAGAGAATTTTCATTAAAAATTTCCGTAAAAAGTATTAAATTAAAGCAAATTTGTCATGGGGTCAGCAGTATTGCATGATAGACTTAATAAAAATGCAAACTTGTTGAAATACTATATTTTTGTTTGTCTTTAATAATTAAGTTTTTTGATACACTCACCTTGGTGTTGCTGATGCATGGCTTGGGTGGCAAAAATCTTTTGTGGCGGAGGTAGATTCCACCTTTCGAAGTCGAAATAGGCGCCGTTTTGTTGCTGCTGGCTTGCTGGAGTGTGAGCTGGTGGAGGAATTCGATCTAAATGAACATAATATTAATTTTAATAAATAACACTAGGACAAATTTTGCAAATAAAATTAATATATTCTACTCATAAAACTGTGTTTAAACCATGGGTGAGTTCTCAAGCCAAAAGAGCTTATTATTATCATAATAGTGATAATAGTGAAAAATTAAAAGAAAATGTATTTTAGTTGCAAAAAAATAAACTAGTGCATTTACTAAGTAAAATTAAACTTACTGGTAACATGAACATCTGCTGGTACAGCAGGTGGTTTTTCATTGCTCAACCTTCTTTTCACTGGTTTTTTGATTTCTTGCTTAATTTCCTGAACCTGTAACAAATAAAGTAAACAACAGTAAATATTGAACCATACCTACTGTATAAATACCGCAAAATACGACGTATAGTTGAAGCCTTAAATCTAAAAAGTTATATTCCGAGTTATATTTAATATCTTGTAAACTAAGCAATCCTATTTTATTTTTAAAACTTAATTGATTTAGATTTGTGTTGGGGTTTTAAAGTGTAGGAAAAAAAACGGTAAAATTGGGGAAAAACCTGTTTTTTCCGTTTTTTTCCTTGAAAAAATTGGCTTTTATGGGAAAAATTGATTTTTTTTGGAAATATACACATTTGAAAAAAGTAACCAATTAACAACTTAACATTATTTTAATTAAAAAAAAATCCTTTATTACAAAAAAAGATTTTACTTAACATTGAATTAAATTAAATTGATTTAAGAAAATAAATGTAAACGTTAAATATACTGTTGGTTGGTTTTTTGCAAAAAGGATTCCATTAAAAATATTCAACTACAAAATATTGAATAATTTATAAAGTTAAATTACAAAATTATAATTTTATAAATCAAAGTGTCAAATTATAGTTATTTATGTATCAAGGCAGTAAAGTCGTATTTTTTTATCATGAATGTGGAAATATTTAATAAACACGTGAGTGATAAAAAATGACTTTAATGCAAAGGTGCATATTAAATTTTATCCGAAATCACATTTAATAATACTAATATTGATGATTAATGTCATTTGATGATCAAATCAAATTTCATTTGAATGTAGGAAGTGTTTAAGTATACTGTTTGTTGCGACAGTTATTAAATATTTGCCCGTCGCTGCGATTTTTTAATCTAATTAATAAAATTAACATATTATTTTTATTAAACAACATTTTATGAAAGGGTCCAATCGACCTCCGCGACGGTGCTTTTTTTTAAATATTATTTAGTTGCTGCTGAGGAGCAGTAAACACATCTTAATTGGGCAGTAAAGTACTAATTTACTGCCGATTTCGGATAAAAAATATTTTAATACAGCATCGAATATAAACATATATGTTTTTTGCGGCCCGGTAGAATATTCTTACTGAACTAAATCAAAAGGAATAATTTTTATAATCATAATATGTAATACATATTATGTATTATGATTATATTCAGCGTCGGAAATAAATTTTTTTCTCGATATCAGTGTACGGTTATTATCCTTAAAAATTTGTAAATTTTTAGAAAAATTGACTTGAATATTTTCGTTTTACCCTTTGAATAAAAATTAAAAAATAAAAAAGTCAATTTTTCTGAAAATTTCCCAATTTTTTCGTTTTTTTTTTCGTAAAACAACGGTTTTTTTCCGCCGGCTCAATTTTTCCGGAAATTTTAAAACCCTAACTTGTAAACATATAATAAATAGTATAAAAATTACACTGATTATTCTTTCTGCTAAACTCGAACTAAATTTTTCTATGACAAGGTTTTTGAGATATGATTTTTTGTTTTTCTACAATTACAATTTAGGTCCATCTTGACTTAGAAACGGCCAATCTGGTTGCAAAAAAATCCTTTGACAAAAATAAGAATGCTTCATTTACCATTTCGTCAAGAATGAATAAAAATCATCAATATGACAATTTTTTAATTATCTAGAAAGTAATGACAGGTTTATGTAGCAAAATTCAACTTTTTGTTTATTTATATATTTATATACATTGTACTGTAAAGATATTTTCCCCAATTTTTTAACCACCCTGCTTAAAATACCCAATAAAAATTATCGGTCGCTAACGGACTTAATATGTGCATTTGTCCCTGCTTCTTCTGGATACGGCCCGATAGAAAATTTATAGGAAATTCCCTATAGCAAATAACTCAAGAAAGGATATTTAGGGTTATCCCTATAGAGCAACCATAACACATTTGACAAAATCCTATGGTTCTATGGGAGAAAAACTAATTTCTACATTTATGTGTATTTTCCCTATTGAGACCGGTAGCAAATAAATCAAGGAAGGATATCCCTATAGAACAACCATAAATCCCAACTATGGGTCCTATTCATACCAAAACACCATCCAATCTGATACAAAAATCTATCGGTTTGAACAGGGTCTCTATGTGACATTTTAACCATACTATGCGAATTTAGTTCAAGTATTCTAATACGACGCAGGCATGAGCGCGCGCCGTTTCCGTTTCACTTTCATAACGTTTATCCCGGCCGAAAGAGGTAACCCTTCAAAAATAGTTATTGTGTAAAACAAGTAATAGAAACCTACTTGACAACTCTGTTGCTGCTGCAAATTCTTTACGATGCTCATAGGGTCGCCTCTGCAACTGGACAAGTCCTGCAGAGTCACCTGGTGGGCGCCGGTGGAATCGAAATAAGTTTGCTGCCGTTCCGAGTTGCCCAAGTTTCTTTGGGTTTCGATGTGCCGCGCGATTTCCACATTGTTGCCCGGTTGCGGCTGCTGAGCGCCAGCGTACTGATTGTTTTGGAACTTGCGTTGCCGCTGCTCGTTCCAGTTGCAATTCGCTTGCTGCGACGAAGATGTTTGAGACTAAAACAATTTAAAAATAAATTATTCAAATTTTGATATTAAATTTATTATGATTGAGCATCCGTGCAAAACCGGCTAAATCCATTTTATTAAGTTTTTGGTTTTTTTTTTAATTTCAAATTTAAAAGGTAGTTTTAGGAGCAAAACCGGCCAAATCCACGTTTTTATAGCAAACCCGGCTATATCCATAAATAATAATGATGATGAGCATGTGGCTTGGATATGTCAATACTACCAATAAAATTTGTTCTGTTTTTTTCATGTTTGCACTAAATTTATTTTGTTAATATTTTTGAATAAAAAAGGTTTTTTTTCACATTTTATTCGGTTTTTGAGCAAAACCGGCTATATACTAAACATTTTTTGAAATTTTGGCCTTAATATAAAGTTTTTGAAAACGAAAGTATGTCTTATAAATCAAGTACCACAAAGCCCACAAAACTCAAGTTTGCTTTTTCTTTTATCTGTAAAGGCCAGGAAACCGAGAGTTTTTGCCATTTTCCCAACATTTTTTTAAAGTGGATATAGCCAGTTTTGCACGGATGCTCCTCAATTAGAGTTGCCCATTAATTGACCGATTTCAAATTTCGCAGGCAAATTACAACGAAATTTGGCCTGAATACCAAGTTGGGATTCCGAACCTTAAAAGATTAAACGCACAATACTTTCTGTGTATTCTAGATCTGTTCTATAGTATTAAAAACGGGTTTAGTTTTAAATTTAAAGCCTATAATTGTGGAGCATTCAGACAAAAGCAGATAAATCCAGTTTTGTTGAAAAATGAGTTAGGTATGAACAGTAAAAGAGGTAAGATTAATCCATTAGTAAACTCAGAATTGAGCCAAACCCAGTAATTGATATAGAATACCGGTCTTAAAACCTAACAAATCAAGCAAAAGCAGATAGGTAAATCCAAATTAATATAATTTAAATTCTTGTTTCAATGCAAATAAGATCACATGATTGTTATAAATTTTTCAGATTAATCCTGGACCACCCTGTATAGGTCAATGGATAAAAATGTTTTTTATTCCTATTTTAAGCAAATGGAGATAAATCCTGTCAATTCAAGCAACACTAGATTAATCCATTTTGTTTACTTTACTATAACACATGATGCTACATTCTATAGAATACATGGGTTGTTTTTTGTGTAAATGTTGCAGAATGAAAAATATTAGTTTTTCGCTGATCTCGAAACTGCTTGAAACAGATTTATCTGCTTTTGTCTGATTGCTCCACAATTAAGGGTTAATGACAAGTAATTTACATTTAAATTTTTTAATTAATAATAAATTTCAAATTACAATTCCAATGTTCCCTGCGAGGCATGAACTACTAAGGAAAAAAATTAAAAGGGTGGTACGCAATGAGTCGCTAAGCGACATTTTTTATTGGAATTTTTTTATCGGACGCTTATATAAAAGCATCGAATAAGAAAAAATGTTCAGATCAAAACGTCAATATAATGATGAACGTTTCTCCCTGACTTTAGCGTGATTACCCATCGGTTAACTGTCGCACAGACCGGTATTTGAACCTAAAACGTGGCCAAAATTCAATTTTGTTAATTTTTATTGCCCTTATTATCTAAGATTTTGTCCCAAAGAATAGCTAGAAGCTAGCGCTCTTTTACATCGTAAGTCTTCGTTCGCGACACTCTACAAAAAAAACAAGTTTTCGCCGGGTTGTTTCCTATGTTAAAAGAGATTTTGGCTAAAGAACATTTCATTTGTGTTATAATCTTTATTTATTCATATCGAGTACTATACTTATCTACCTAAAAATGCTTAATTTTTTTCGTTTTTTAAAAAAACACTTATATTTTTAAATATCGGCAACACCTCGCAACGGCATCCGACCTACATTTTATTAAACTTTAGGACATCTAGAATAACTGTAGCCATCAAAAACATACACAAGTTTTCACATCACGGAAAAATGTACCCTTGAAAACAGACACTTTAGATTTTTAGGTAAATGGATGTATTTTTTATTTTTTAAATGGCACAAAAACTTTAATATATGTTAAATTTTATTATTTTTATTGCATTACTTGCATGTAAGGAGATACTTCATAATTTTTTTATAAATAAATTTGTGAATACATATATTTTTTTATTTCTAATAAAAGTACCTACTATCACTTGTATACATTTAAAAATATGTTTTTTAGTCATTTGCTACCCTTTTGATAAAGAAAAAGTTCCCAAAATTTTTTTGGCCACGTTTTAGTTCAAAATACCGGTTAAATGTAATATGAAACCTTTATCCACTCATGTCTTTAATTGTAAATTACAATTTGTAATGCCTGTCATTTTAGAATTAACAGCAAAGAAATAACAAAAAAGTATGGTAATTAACAAATGATAGTTATATAGTAAACTGTGATTTTTTTTATAACTTTTTTGCAAAAAATAGTGTTTTCGGTATAACATTTTAAACGTCTTTCATCTGGGACATTATCGACACTATTTACGGTAAGTGTAGTTTAAAGTTATATAATTGATTATACTAAATTTATTGTTTTTTTTAACAAACGTGCACAGCAAGATCAAGAATTGGCCAAAGAAAAACTTCAAGAATTGCTAGCATCAATGCAGAAATTGAACAATTCAACACAAACGAAACTGATTTGTAGTAGTGTTTTATCGATTGTTTCTCAAATTGATAAAAAGTAAAACAAAAATTTAAAAAGGCAACAAAAACATAAATGTAGTAGATATGCAAGTTTCTTTTGTAATTAATAAAAATCTCTGAAAACTTCTTTTATGAATTTTCAAATTACACCGGAAAAGACGCTTCTGACAGGCGCTTGGGGGGTCTTTTGGTAAAATATAATATATAATAATAAGGGACTATGTATCAAGTTTGATATAGGTCATTTTAGTCACGAATTTAAATTAGCGGCCTTGAGAGCAAGTGTTTAATTAAATGTTGCATACAATAATTTTTCCACGACAAATACTTATTATCATCTAAAAATAATTTAAATGACATATTTGTATAGAGCGACATCTATAAAGCACTAACTTGAGAATCTGTATTACCGGCACGCCGGTAAAATGTCAAATTTTTATGTGTAAATCGAAATGTATCCCTTTAAAATGGACTAACAACAGTTTTTCACAGTGAATGTAAAGAAAATGTTTAATGGGCACTTCACGGTGGAGTCTTCACCCGAAATTAAGTTCAGTTTACTGCCAGTAAAATTAAAAGGTCAGTACAACTGAATATAAACTTTTCAAATATTGGCGTTGAGAAACTATTTAATACTTTTGTATTAAGATAATAAAATACCGTTCTCATTTAGTATTTGTATTTTTAAACGACATTGGGAAATATTATTTTATCTTCAAAATTGTTTTTAAACACAAGTTAAGAGACAAATTAAAGCCAACTTATAAAATTAGAAAAAAAAATATATTTTTTATTTATTTCAAACATTGTTCTCCGATATTATTTAAATGGATGGTTTTACGAAAATATCGTTAAAAAACGATAAACGATATCTTTTTTTTTTCAAAACTTATTTAGACTGTAAACAAATAATAATAAATAATAAACACGTCTACGCGCATTGTGAATTCGCGTTGATATTTGGGCTGTTAATTGGGTAGTTCAAAAAACGTTTACATACATGTATAACTAAATCAAATTAATGAATAAAGCACAAGTATTTGGTATCATTAAAAAGGTTTCCATGCGAGCTCTTATTTAAAAAAATTAGACAGTTTTATCAATATTGTTGGACGTCTTAGCGACAAAAAAATAATAATTTAGTTTGTTATTTTTGTATGGTTCCTAAAAAGCAATTTTACTGTAGAATGAATAAAAAGTGGGGCATATGTTCGTCAAAATGCTCGGTCTGAACAAGCCCATTAGCCCAATGTTATTAGATACCTGAATAAAATACAAGAAACTTGTTGTTGTTTATAATAATTAAGTAACATAATAAAAAATAAACTATTTAATTTATTTAGAGATTTATCAGAACAAAACTGGGCCTTTGCAAAAATTGAAAAAAAAAGAAAATTTACAAATTATCAAATCAAAACTGGAAACCTAAAAATATATTTAATAATATTTATAAAATATTGTGAAATATAAATAAAAATTATACAAATTTATTTTATTCGAGGAATTTCTGAAATGTAAATGAATCTTGCTGGGGATTTATATTGCCGCGCCAACATCAGTTGTATGGTAGGTATGTATAGCGGGTTTAAATCGGTAGTTTTTGCGTTGTTGTTGGTTGTTAACTTGATGTTTTTTTTTGTTAAACTTGTTAATGCTTTGTGTTAACCTGTTCTATTTGTGCTAAAATTGTTTTTGTGTTGCGTTAACTTGTTTTGTTTGTGTTTGATTTTGTTGTGCCATTTGCATTTATTAAAATGCGGTGTGCCATATTTGAATGCAATACATTTTATCAATTAAGGCGTGGAAGTAGTAAAGGGGGGTATGTGCCATTTTTGTTGTTGAGATTTTTTGTTAAAAAATATAGTATGTAACCTTACTATGTTTCTAACAAAGAATAGCACATACCCCCTTTGGTACTGGAAGTACCAAAGGATGTATGTGTCATTTTTGTTGAGATTTTTCGTTAAAAAACATAGTATGTACCATTACTATGTTTCTAACGAAAAATGGCACATACGCCTTTGGTATGCCTCAATTATTAATTATTAATGTAAAAAAAGTTTACAAAAATAAAATGTGCAATACAAATAAACGGAGAAAAAGTCAATTTTTATATTGGCGGTTACAACGTTGTTGCAGTTTAGCATTCAATTACTACTGTTGCACCCTGCAATATTGCAGTGATTCAATTAAAAAATGGGTTACAATTTTTGTATTTTTTAATGGTTTTAAATATTTTTGGTTAAAATGTTTTTCATAATAAAAAATAAACTTAAAATAGTACGAAGGGTGGAAAGTTTTCGGGAGATTTAATGAAATTTTTTTTTTTTTATATTTTAAATTTTTTGGTATTTTTTTCTGTATTCATTTAAATAAAAATTTAAAATTTTACAAAAATTTTTATACTGACTGTGTAAGGAACAAATATGAAAAATACCAAATATCTGCAAACTTAGTGGAACCATTAAGCTTTTTATGTAAAAAAACTTTTGATTGAGTTTAATTACCTCCTCACCCTCTCTTTTGAATTTATAATATTTATAATATTAGCAAAAAAAAATCAATGCAAAAATAAAAATTCACTGTAATTTAAGAATTTTTCCGGGAATTTTCGTACTATACAGGGTGTCCTGAAATTAATGCACCATACTTTAACAGCAGATTGTACGTGCAAAAATAAGAAAAAAAGTCCCTATAAACATAGGTCAAGAAATGCATCTTAAGGGAGCTACAGCCCCCAAAAGGAAAGCCCCTGAAGATGGTTTTTATTTAATATCTCCAAAACCGTTAGAAATATAAGAATGAAATTTGGGGGATTAATTAAACTTTTTATGACCAATAAGACGTAACAATAACAATTTAAAATTTTTTATGTGGTTTGGGTCAGATTGATAGGAAGTAGGGTTAAAACCACCTTAACTTTTTTGTACGTATCTTGTACCAGAATTTGGTGTCAGATTATAAAATTTAGAGTTTTGCACATAAAAAAGGTCATCTTGTTGAACTTCGATAACATACACCGTTTTCGCATAAAATCGATTTGAAAATTATTTTACATGGCATAAAAATTCACAATTAAATCACAACCATAGAAATGGACTCGCGTGGTCCTTGGAATACGGCTGCCATGTTTAGGAAAAAATAGAATAATTTAAGACAGGTGGCAGTTTCATGTAGTAAGTGACAGGGTGTTTTTACTTTTTTATTTATATTAGATAAAAACCATCTTCAGGGGCTCCCTTTTCGGGGGCTGTAGCTCCCTTAGGAGGCATTTCTCGACCTATATTTATAGGGACTTTTTTCTTATTTTTACACGTAGAATCTGCTGTTAAAGTATGGTGCACTAATTTCAGGACACCCTGTATTTTAAAATTGTAATAAATATTTTTGATTAAAATTATTGTATTTTCTTTTAATAATAAAAAGATTGATTTAAATAGTAATTAATATTTTTTCAAAGCATCCAGGATCTAGGAATATTATAAACTACAATAGTATTAACTATTTTTGGTTAAAACTATTGTATTTTTTTTAATAATGAAAAATAGATTTAAATAGTATCAAATAATTTTCAAAGCATCTAGTATCCATATTATTAAAACTTTTCTCAATATTAAATTTAAAAAAACGCACATTTCAAGATATATTTCTATATTCTTTGTTATCAAATATTATTAGTGTATTCGCGCGTTTACTACTCATTGAGTGACGTAATGCGCGGAACAAACGAAAACTCGTCCACGGGAGCATCCAGCCCTGCATGCAACCCAACCCAATGAAATGAGAAATATTTTTTACTTACGTCTATTTGGCTGTTGTGTTGAGCAGCATTTCGCTCATATCTTTCTGGGAAGGATTTATTATCAGAATTTAAAGCTCTTGTTATTATGACACTGGGGTAGGCGACGTTCTGTCCAGCCGCTTGAGTGCTGCTGCTGCGCGGAAGTGACGCGTCCAAAGGCGAAGTTCCGCTGGAAGTTTGTTGCTGCTGTGGCGATGACATTGAATTTAGGGGACTGGAAATTAAAAAAGTACTTATGTTAAACATGTATTTTGTGAAATGTGGAGTAGATTAAACAAGAAAAATAAATTTAACCTTTTTTGTAGGTAAACCTATATTATTTAAACTTAAAATGTCCTAAAAACTGTCGTAGAATTGTTTAAAATCGTCTATAGAAACTACCCATAATAGTATATTATAAAAAAAGTTTGCTAATTATTATTTGATTATCAAATTTATATGTAAAAAAGTTGTAGTGGTATTTTTTTTACTTTTTACTTTATAATAAATAACAGATTTCGAGTTAACATTAAAAATTAACTTTTAGTTATTTACGCGCATGTTTAAAACACATTGTACAGTGGCGGACACAGAATTTTAAACGTTATAATTTGGTTGTTTATGTATAAATTTGTAAATACGCAAAGAAACAATATTGCCCATTTTTGCTTTCGCTGTCAAAACGACAAGACCAACCCCCCTCCCACCCAACCAATCCCTTGTCTATGGACAAGACTAGTGATAACCGTAAGGTAAGGCCATAAAGGAAGTTAAGATTTTAATATTAACTGGACGAAAGCCGTTCTAAATTCCGTGTCGGCCACTTTATAGTATGCTTCTACAAGGCTAAGGCTAAGCAACAACGGGTTTTGAACTCTTTAGTCACAAGCTGAAGTTTAGTCATAGAAAAAGAGTAGTATGCAGTTCGCTTTATAAACTTCTCTATAAACTCTAAATGGTAACCATTATAACTAGGGATGCACCGGAATTCCGGCGGTACCACTAAATCCGGCCGATCCGGCCAGTTGGCCGGAACTACCGTTCCGGCCGGATCGCTTTCCGGCCGGAATTTTCGGAACTTTTTGGAAATGTTTAATTTTTAAATTTTTAATATAATTTAAATTCAAATATATGCAAAAATAAGGAAAATTATTTTAAGGTTTTTTTTAGTTGGTGCCTACTTATTGTTAAGTCGTTAATTAATCACAAATAATTTTTTTTTGAACAAAATATATTTTCTTTCCAAAAATTACAAAACATAAATAATAACTGAAAACATTATTAACAGCCAAATTCTAACAGCAAAAATAACAGCCAAATTCCCTGTCATGGAAGTCTTATAAGATAAGTATACAGTTTACATGAAAAATTAGAGTGAGAAACTTAGTATTCATAATTTATTTTATTAAGATTATGGTGAATAAATAAGAGCTTTTCGGCATTTTCAGAGTTTAGCCTACACCTGTATATATTACCAATTTCTGAAAATAGGCTGCTATTCTCCAATTGAATGAGTAGAATTGTTTTAATTTTGTTAACGCTAATTAAAAATTAATATTTAAATAAACAGTAATTTCTAATAGAAATTTTCTATCTAGGTAAAATTAATAGTAATAAACACTCTGCATACTGTAGCTAGTTTAAAAAAAAAGTAAAAATAAATCAGCCTCAATATTTTCAATGTTTTACGTATAAAAATAGGCATGCACATACATTTTAAATTTAGGTCCCGATCCGGCCGGAATTCCGGCGATCCGGTCCGGCCAGCGGCCGAAATTCCGGTTCCGGCCGGATCGGCAAAATACCCGATCCGGTGCATCCCTAATTATAACCGCCCCATCTAAAAACTGGAATAATGAACTCATTATTTACGTTGTTGGGCATCAATGATTGGCTGATTTCAATTTTAAAACTGTGGTTGGAACAGATGTCAGATTTTTTGATATATTCAAGCGGCGACTAAAATTGAGAAAAAGTGGGGTCATAATAAATTTTGTTATTAATAAAAACTACTGAATGGGAGTAGAAAAAGCATTAATCGGTATAATGCGCATTATCTCTCATATAATAATATACTATTTTCTCAAGGGAACTTTATTTTGACAAAACAGATGGTATGGCAATTTACAAGTGACAACCAACTTAAAGCCAACTTCAGCAAGTAACTAAAAAGCCCAAAACCCGTTGTGGCTTAGTTTATACTGTGACTAAAACGCAAGTCGCAGATTGTCAATGTGCAAATGAATTTAAAAGATCACTTAGCGATAAATGTCCCATTCTGTCCCTTTCCCCAGTAACTTTTTCTATAATTTAACATTACAAGTTGCAAGTTTATGTTAAAATGTAATCATTGTCATCAATGGTATTTTTGTCATTCTTGTGAATAAATAATTTCTATTAAAATCCATTAAAATTATGCTTTCCCCAATATTGTATTTGTAGTGAAACGAACGAGTGGAAAATAGCGTCATTGAAGAATGCAAGTGTCAAATTTGTAGTTAGTTATTTATTGTTTAAAATGATTACGTGCTTTTGTTAAAGAAAGAAGTTGGATTTTGAAAAACATCTGGAAATTCTCAAAATGTACATTACGTAAGTAAATTTTATTTTCAGTCTTTCATGTCCCTTGGCAGTTAAATGTTATTGAAAGTTTCCAATAACAAAATAATGCAATTTGTACCATAAGTTTATTATAATATATATATATATATATATATATATATATATATATATATATATATATATATATATATATATATATATATATATATATATATATATATATATATATATATATATATATATATATATATATATATATATTTATTATATAATATTATTTTGTCATTCAAACCATGTCGGCGCAAATGTTGATAAAAATGACGACATCGGTCACTTTACGTCCTAGCATTTTCATCGTCAGCCGTCATGTCAGTTCAACATGCTGTGCCAACAAAACTAAAAGGCTTTTTTTTTTTAATTTCCAACGAATCTTAAAATATAATTATATCCTAAATGAGTTATAAGGATCAACGTCATTAAAGGATTTTAGAATGTCGACGTCAACATGGTTTGTAGGATTGTTTTGCCAATATAAAATATATGACTAATCAATTTTAAGTCCAGTTTTTTTAAAATATAGGGTTCAAAATAAATAATAAATTTTAGGAGGTCCTGCAAGTTGCTGTGGCAACAAAAAGGATGAAATCTAAAAATTAAAAAATAAAACAAAATAAATTGTCTTAGAACTTCCTAAAATATGTATATGAGGGTCATATAACTGTGTAAAACGTCAGTTGATGATTATGAACAAAAAAAACTTTGAGACATTCGTTTATAACAGTTTTATAACGGTTTTGACTAATGGCATAAGGAATAGGACTTTTTACCTGTTATACAGTGGATAGGCAGGACTCTGCGCGTGTCCAATGGGGGAGGCCTGTGAATGTGCCTGTAGCGGACTTGGTCTGCGCGGTACTACCACGTTACAGTCTTGACCATTGGAAGGATATTCGGAACCACTTTTGGGCCGTTGGAATTCTTCGGATGTGTTATTCGGTTGCGGCTGTTGATAATGCCTTTAAAAGAAAAAATAGTTTTTTAAAGAATTGATTTATTTAACTAAAAAATGCAAGAAAAAATACACTGCTTTAATCAATGATACTATACTAGTGCAAAACGTAATAAAAATAATAATAACTAGTGCAAAACGTAGATTTTAATACTCGAATGAAGAAAAATTAATATAAATTTAAAGCAAGGTTTTAAGATACAATAATAATAACAATAAATGTCCCACCATTCCCTTGCATCTTTCGCAAAAAGTTTTGTTTACCCCGTCTGAAAAGCAGTTTTACTTCAAAAATCTGTTTTATTGTCGAGTTATCAGTGCAAATAAAATTGATTTAAATCAAGTATGACTGTCTTTAGTAAATTTAACATATTTTATTCTAAAAATATATTTTCTTACCTATAGTTGTGCTGGAACTGTGGCGGTCTTTTTCCCGAACTGTTGCTACCAGAATAATTCAACCTTCCTGGCGAATCCATAATGGAAAAACTGATAGGACTATTCTGCGTGGTGGCTTCTTCGCTAGGCCGATTCCTCTCGGCCTGCGCCTGCAGTTCCGGGTAAATTTTCGTCTGCGCCTTGGTCTGGATGGCATTCTGACCGGGCGATAGGGAAGACTGCGAATTTTTCGAGGAAAAATTCTTCTCGATCGGAGTGCGCGTCGAAGAATTGTTGTTTGGCGATGTCAAGAACGATCTGGTCGGCGCTTGCGGTATCCGGTACTCCTTGCTTGCGCCGCTCGCGGTGTTTGGTGATGTTACTATGCAACTCTGTTGCTGCAGGTTCGTGGAGTTGTTTGAGGAGGTGAAAGTTTTCGTGCTGGTCGAGGAACTTTCGGCAAATGTGTTGGGTTGGCCGTGAAAGAAATTAGAGTCTGCAAAATAAGGATTTTTTTAAATTAAATAATGATATGTGGATAATAAACATTAAGGAAGTCAATCCCGAGACATTTTTTCAAACCGGGATTTTCGGAACCAAGGATACTAATTCCGTGATCAGTCCCGAAAAAATATAAATCTTGAATTTTAACAAATATTAGATATATTCCCCAACACTAAAGCAAAACACAAAGTGTAACTAAATCCAACTGCTAAATCTACCATATTTATACTAATTATAAGCTAAGGTTCACTGAACCGTAAACGGACACAATTTACTAAACCGTGGACCGTAACCGTGAACACGTAAAGAGAAACTAACAAACTAATTTATACAAACCAGAGTTGGGTACCGGTCACAGATTATAAAAGTACTGGTCCGTTATAGCTATTTTAAGATTTATTTATATTCTTATAGATGTATAAACTTTCATAACTATCTAGCAGACTTGGTTCCCTAACTTTCTTAATAAGTTTAAGGTTGTCAAATCCTATTCTATGACAGAGACAGAGAAATCGAGTGTTGCCCAACATAATATACATATTATACTTGATGATGGGGAACCAAGTCTGCTAGATAGTTATGAAAGTTTATACATCTATAAGAATAGAAATAAATCTGTAAATAGCGATAACGGACCGGTACCCAGCTCTAGTTTGTATAAATTAGTTTCTCTTTACGTGTTCACTGAAGCGGTTACGGTCCACGGTTTAGTAAACTGTGTCCGTTTAGGGTTCAGTCAACTTTGATTCTGAAGATGCCAATATCGTTGTCGAAAAGTACTTTAAGCACTTTTGTTTTGGTGTTTATCATATCATATCACCAAAGTTGTCCTTTTTCAAGTATCGAATTTTAAAACCAACTTAAAATAAACGAACAAACATATCAATCTTAAAAGTTTTACAAAATATAATTTAAAATAAACGAATAAACAACAATCTTTCGGACTTTACACTCGTTGGAGGAATGTTTTTTAAGAATTCGTAGGCGCGTTGTAGATTCAACCCTTGTTTAACCCCATTAACCAATAATTCCATTTTTTTCACCAATTGAGCCTGTAAAACTTCAGAAGATTTCTACCTCTGTTCGTATAATCTTCGCGATGGAATCCTCGTCATTGCTATTTTCTATTCTAATAAGTTTTTCCGGCCTATTAATTTTGTCGTTAAAATCCGTTGTAGCCACCCGTAAAACGGGAGACTTTTGGAACCATAGTTTGCATTTTAAATATAAAGCCTCATTCAGAACCTCGTAATTAGTGGAATAAATTAGTGGTTTCAATTAACGTAAAAGTTTGTCTTATGCATATACACAGTGTTGTTAACAACCAAGAAATTAGTGGTAGTACTTTTCAATTAGTAGAAAAAGTTTGCAAACTCCAAACTTTTACCACTAATTACAATGGTAAAGCGACTTTGCGCATGTGCGCGGATGTTTTATGTCAAAAGAAAAAGTTTGAAGATTTGCCAGTGAAGGTAAGGTTATATAAATATTATTGTAATGGTTGTAAAAAAAGTATATTATTATACGAGAGATAATGCAGGCTAATATTCACGAGGATGAGGTTTACGTCTCGAGTCGCTAGACGAGAGACCTAAATCATTATCTCAAATGTAATACTATACTTTATCTACTCCAATAAGTAGATAATTAAATGATTTTCAAAATTAAATAAATAAAATCTGACATCTGTCAAATGGTTAACCTTACTTTTTACCAATTTTAAATGTTATTATAGTCGCCTTCTTCCAATTTAAAACTCGATTGGTTCAAATCACAGTAAATACTGAAATCGGCCAATCACTGATGCCTAACAACGTGAATACTGAGTTTATTATTCACGTTGTTAGGCAGGAAATTTATAGTGCTTAACAATATTCACGGGAAAACACCAAAATTATGCAATAGATGCAGTAGATAAATATTATTTTAATATAATTATGTCAGGTTAAGAAGAATGCACAATCTTTTAGCAAACTCCCTTAATTTTAGATGTTAATTTTGCGCATTGTGAATGATCGTTTTGTGTTAATTATAAGTATAATTGAAACCACTAATTTTTTCCACTAATTACGAGGTTCTGATTGAGGCTTAATGTAATGTAATGTAATTTTTAGCTGTGTTACTTGTATAACAAAAGTTTGTGTAAAAGAAACACATATTTATAAACATTATAATTTAGGACTACATTAACAATAATATTAAAAAAGTTTAAAACGGCTGAAGGACTACGGTCAATAGCCTTTGAACTTGGTTTTAGTTCAATAAAGCATTATTATTATTATTATTAAAATGCCATTAAAAAGTATATTTTATTCTTTGTAACTTATTATGTATGAAATTTTAACTAGAGTTTTTAAAAGGAAATAATTTATTGGTTTTTGTTAAATAAGTAATTGCGTGTTAACATTTTACAATTAATGATATGTAATCGACGTGTAGTTATGCTAATTATTAGCATTTCATTGTAAAATATTTTATGATAAAATTGTTATCAATTGTTAGATTTATTTAATATAAAATATTTTGTGTGCAACGAAGAGTCAATTTATTATTTATTTCTGAAAACAAAAACGAAAAACAAAAAGAGTTTTTTTTCATGTTATCAGAGCTGTGTGGTAGATTACATTTGTTATTACTTTAATGGTTTATTTTTTCCCTGGAGTTTTATTCGAATTAAAACATATAATAATATATTTTTAAACCCTGAAAAATTCTATTCAATTCGAAAAATACCTTAATGGGAAAGTTAAATAAGAAAAACATGTCCAGAACATTGCCAAAAACTTTTTGAAAAAAAAAAAGGTAATCCAAATCTAGAAGAAATATAGAATACAGGAGTAATACCAAAAAACGGTACAATTACTAAATTTATAAAATACTGAGATATAAGAAATATAAAATTTAAGTTTAATTGAAAACATGTACTACATGTAATAACCTTTGTTAAAGGTGTTTGTTAGTAGCCATTTTTTTTTCTAATTATGGTTATTTAAAGTGATAAAACAAGGTTAGTTGGCAGTAAAAAACATTTAAGGTTACTTACTTTGTGTGGTGTTTTTGGATGAGGCCGTCGACACCTGGGGGCTCTGGGCGCGCGCGCTCGCCGCCCCCGTCTTCGCATTGGCTGCCAGCTGCGAGTTGAGGTGGTTCAAGCTTTGAGCGGCGGCAAAATGAGCCGGGCTGAAGTTTTCGTACGCCGACTTGCCGGTGGCGGTCGTCGTCGCCACAACGCTCTCGTGGGGCAGGATGCCGAACGGGGAGTTTTGGGGCCAGCCCGCACCTGCAAACAAACAAACGAACATTAAAAATTTATTTATGATTTGCAACTTGCAGTGTTATTTGTATGCTAAAACTTTAGAGCGTTTTAAAGACAAAAGTGAATATACAGGATGTCAAAATTAAAAAACAACAGTTTTTCCTTCTCGAGTGTTTCCTTAATGTCTGATATTTATTTTAATATTCAAGGGCCAACTAGGCAAATATTAATTACAATGAGGAGCCTATGGGTTAATACACGGCGTTCTCTATACTGTATAGAGAACGCCGAGGTTAATACGTACGAGGTGTTCGGAAAGTATCGGAAATTTTCGTTTTTTGAAACAAATATTTATTTATTCGTCTACATTAATGTTGTCGCCTTCAAAATAGTCCCCATTGGATATTATGCACATGTGCCAGTTCTTCTTCCAATACTCGACACACTTCTAAAACTCGATCTTTGGGATAGCCTTCCCTGCTTAAAATACCCCATAGAGACCCTGTTCAAACCGATAGATATTTGTATCGGGATGTATGGTGTTTCTATAGGGTGTATCGGTTTGTATAGGACCCGTAGTTGAGATTTATGGTTGTTCTATAGGGATATCCACCATTGATTTATTTGCTATCGGTTTCAATGGGGAAAATACACATAAATGTAGAAATTAGTTTTTTCCCTATAGGACCCTATAGGTTTTAATAAAATTTTGTCAAATGTTTTATGGTTGCTCTATAGGGATATCCCTATATATCCTTCATTGAGTTATTTTCTATCGGTCTCAATAGGGAAAATGTAAAAGTTATGGTGTGCCTATAGGTAATTTCCTATACATTTTCTATCGGGCTGTATCCGGAAAAACTCATGGACAAATGCACATATAGAATCCGGTAGCGCCCGATAGATTATTTTGTATAGGTCTCTATGGGGTATTTTAAGCAGGGTTTAGTTCTTTCAGCGATGCGCTTTTAATGTCATCTATGCTTCCAAAACGACGGCCCTTTAAGGTTCTCTTTATTTTTGGGAATAGGAAAAAGTCAGACAGAGGCATGTCTGGCGAATATGGAGGCTGGGGCATCATTACAGTATTGTTTTTGGCCAAAAATTTTGTTCAAAATTTAACAATTTTAGAACAAATTTTGCTGCCACGCGTTTCATACCCAAAACATTCGAAAAAATTTCATTGGATGAGCCAATCGATATACCAACATCATCAGCGACTTCTCTGATGGTTTATAGCCATTTCTTCCACTTTTTCCATGTTTTTATCGGTTGTTAATGTGCTTGTGCGTTCGGGGCGTTCGTCATCTTCAACGTCTTCACGGCCATCTTGGAAACTCTTATACCACTTGTAAACTCTTGTTTTACTTATAGCAGACTTACTATAGGCCTTTGTTAACATTTCACAGAATTTATTTCATTTTTTAATCAATATGGATACAAATTCTTTGATACATTTCTTTTAACGAACGAAAAATCGCCGAGCTCATAAAACACGTCTAACCTTAGCGGCTGCCACAGACAAAGTAAACAATGAAAAGAGCTAGTTTTTATCATACTTGGGGGGCATGTATACCAACATAATAAAGAAAATTTTCTGAACACACCTCGTATATTACGTAATAAGAGGTGTAAATACCATATTACGCGTGAGTGGAAAAATTCACAGTTGCGTACTTTTACGTCCACATACTTTTTTATTTTCAATCTTTTTTAAAAATTTTTAATTTGACATTGACATACTTCAAATTTTAGCAAAAGAAAAAAAAACGAAAATTGGCGTTGTTTAGAAAGTAAGCGATTTCTGGTACATGGTCGAAATTAGACAAAAAAGCGGCACCCGAAAAATTTGGTCCACATACATCTCGTTGGCACAAAAAAGGTAAAAAATTCGAGTTTCCACCTTTATCGGTTTTTGAGCTAGAGGACTTCGAAAAAAATGATACAGACTTACAGACAAAAGAAAAAAAAGTAGTTCACAATTCAATTCTATACGTTTAAAATCGACCTTTTGTTTGTAAAATGTTAACTTCCTAATATAATCCAGTATGCTCCCAATTTTCATTTTTATTTTATGATTAATTTCACAGGCCATGAATATGACCATGATATTTATATGTATTTTCGTTCGCTGAAATTTAATCTGAACTCAGTTTAGCCCCTACACGTCTGGATATTTTTCAAGAGTGTGTCCCCGGATTGGTTTACCAATAGGAACAACTTTTTTATTATGCGTTTTACAAAAAATTACTAATAAAAATTCTTGCTTGTTTAAAAAATGAGGATTCTATAAAAAAATTGAATCAAATGCACACTGTACAGAAATTAAGAAAACATGAAAATCCTTCAAGAGAGAAGTACCCTGCATTTTAGAAAAAAATCCAGACGTTTGGGGCTAAACTGAGTTTGGATTCAGTTTCTGCAAGCAAAATACATAGGTATATCATGGTTTTATTAATGGCACAGACAACTTGTTTTTTTGTGGGCCTGTGTTTTGGGTAAGTTTGATTTTAAAGTAAAAATTAGGAGGAATATTTGAATTTGTAATTTTTATATTAATAAAACTATTTAAACATTGAGTATTTAAATAAAACATAAAAAAAACGATTAAGCAATTTGGTATTTATATATTTTTGGCCTTGTGTATCTTTAGTACCCACATTTCCTAAATTGTATAACTGTATTGTATGGACAATTTTAATAAAAACAAGGTAGTTGTTTCTTCCTTAAATAAATATTTTATTGTTACATTTACAGGAAGACACAACAACGTACCATTTTAAATATTTAATAAATACTTATTTGAATTACGGTTACCAACTCGGCTGAGATGGGTGGAAGGGAGAGGAGGTTGAAAATCGAAAATTTCCGCTTGGACAGACAGACGCGATAATTCAAATAGCAATTTCGTAGAATATTTTATTTACGTTTAACAACATAAATAAGTGTTGTCAACCAAAACCACACTAACGATCGTCCTTTGTCGTGAATTTGAGAGCATCTCGCACAGTCAACAGATGGCGTTGATGTTCCTAATAGAAATGTTGGTAAATTGGGCAGATTAAATCTCGTAATTCGGTACAAAAATAATTAAATAATTTTACGAACATAAATAGAGTATTCATTTTTAATTTATAAATCCTCTACCCGGAGTCCGGAGAAACATCGGCCAGCCCGAAGACTCCGGGTCAAATATGCCTAGTTGGTAACCCTGGTTTAATTTGTGTTTAATGATATCAATTATTTTAAATTCTTTTAAAAATAAGGCACACATGAAATATTGCATTCACAATATTACTATATATATTGAAATAACTGCTGTTTAATAACTGTTTTATTTAGCCTCCTATCCGACAGGCTAAATCTAAAATGGTTTTATTTTATTAGGTAACTAACTAAATAATAAAAAACTTAATATAAATATAAAATTTTTAAAAGAATATAAAAAATGTTAACATTTTATTATAGTGTTAGTTTTATATGTTTAATTAAATAATACATGTTAAATTACATGTTCTTTCAATTACTTTTAAAATTCATTTAGTATTATTTAAAACTTGAATTAAATACTTAAGTTACGTTTTTAGAGAAGCATGTATATTTAAGTAATTTCCACCAACCGCCCCAAGAAGTGACAAGTTTATTAATAGCACCCATTTTAAGTAAATAACTTTTCAATGCGTTAATAGTATATTGTGCGACTAGTGGCAGTCATCGTTTCCATCCCAGATAATGATGGTGTGGTCCTCGTATCTTAACTAGGGTTTTCAAATGAAAATTTCAACTTTGAAAGTTTCAAACTTGAAATATTTCATTTAGTTGGAAAAGTGAAATTTTTAAAAATTTCAAATGAAATTTTTAATCCGAAAATTTCAACATGCCTGTGAAACTTTCAGAAATTTTATTGAAAGTTTCGCAATTTACTGAAAATTTCGCATAAATTTCACATGCGGCCTCCCTGGTACCTTTAATAATAATTTACAACAGATTCCGAATCGACCAATAGCTTTGTTCGCGGAGCCCATCCATGACTAGTTCCGTATCTGTATAGGGTAAATAATCACGAACCATGGTAGGCATGCGCGATTCGGAACCGATCAAGAATTAACAAATCTCCGCGAACGCATTTCTAACCGCAACCATCAGTCAGCTGTTTTGTGACAAAACTTTTTGGGGAATCCCCTTCCTGATAATTATAGTATTTAGAATTGCTAAATCGCTCTGCTAAATCATCAACAATCTCTTTGCTAACTCGAAAATGCTCCCTAAATAGCTGATCATCGAACATGGAAACAATTTCTTCAAAATATGCAGTATTTTTAGGAACTTCAATTAAATCTAAACTATTTTCTAAATCTTCATCACTGGATGATAGATGATCACTCATCTATAAAATAAGCAAGTAAATGAACAATGCAAGTAAAAAATAAGTATTTCAACTTACGTTTTCGTTTAACAATTTAATTAAAAACAATATAGAACATATAACCTAAAATAAACTTTAAACAATAATGAACAATACGCATGTCTGACAGCTAGTACATGCTAAAATCCTCGGATCGTTTTGACTTGTCAGTAATTAGTTCGAAACTGGTCCCGAAGGCTCCGCGAACGAGTGATCAAATGTCAAATGTTGCCGATTTTTACACCGCGAACGCTAAAATTGCCAGTGCGCATGCGCAGTTGTCGCGGATTGATCACGGATCAGCTCCGCGAACAAAGCTAATAAGAACGAGTTATCAAGCGTCTGGGCGTTTTTGTTTAGTTCGGCTTGGATTTGAACACACTATTATTATTTATATATTATTATTGTTACTTATATGCATAAATTAATTTAAATAATTTAATTCAGTTACCAATTTAATTTGTAAATTAAATCAGACTTTAACATTTTTTTAAAAGTCATGATTAATTTAAACTTTTACTTTACTTTAGCTTACCAAAAAGTGCTATATCTCTCTTAGTTTTAGTAATTTTAAAAATATTTTAAAAGAAAATCTCAAGAAATTTGTGGTAAAAATAGGTATTTACTATTTATATAATTGGTGCAGGGGCCCACAGAGGGGTAGGAGGTAAGAGAGGCAATTTGCCATGGTCACCGAGTGGGCTTATTTCAATATTAATATATTACACTTAAAGTGATTGAAATTTATTGAAAGTTTCAATAAATTTCATAAATATCATGAAATTTCAGACATTTAGGAAATTTTAATAAATTTCATAAATGTCGTGAAAATTTCAAGTGAAATTTCAAGTACCGTGGCCGACACGGAATTTTGAACGACTATCAATCCTGTTGACATCAAAATCTAAACTTTCTTTATGGACAACTAACCTTACTTTCGGTTATCACTAGTATTGTAATTTTGACAGCGAAAGCAAAAATGCTCAATATTTTATCTTTGCTATTTACAGATGTATACATTGACAACCAAGTTATGTCGTTCAAAATTCCGTGTCGGCCACTGTACAAGCAAAAGGTGAAATTTTCCCAACCCTAATCTTAACCATATAGTATTGGTTTTGGTGGAAGACACGTTCATTTTTTGGGATAGAAACGATGACGAACTCCTGCAGTTTCTGCAACACATTAAAATAGAGCAATCACCATCTGCAACTTATTAAAAGAGACCTCAATGGGAAGGAATTGGCTGAACCCACGTAGAGAAGACAACGCTCAACATTCGATACGCCAAAGGAGTTTAGGAAAAAATAAGAAGAATATAACAATACAACATCAACACTATATTCAGCTCAAGAGACACGTTAAGCAGCTACCTAACAAAGGTAAAACCTGGAAGACCGGTCCCATATAGGCGAGACATAAGAATCAAGGAACCTCGTATTAACCCCCAAAAAGGATAGCCAATAAATTAGGGGTAGCTAACCACGACTGGCAACATGGTCACCATATCGGGTGGTCAGAAGCAAAAATTTTGTACAAAGAACCACATTGCAGAAAGAGGAAGTTGACTGCTTTAGTAAGCCTTCAGTGGAACATCTGGAAACCGCTGGAATTAAATTATGCATGGATTAGTCACACCTGGATGATCCAATGCGCTTAGTTGCACTTGAATGCTTCAGTGCAACCAGCTTAAATACAAATAGACCTATACTAACTTAACTTAATCAGTATTCACCTAAAGACGACTGGAGATACAGTGAAAACGTTATAAAATGATTATTATTATAAAATATATTTTAAACGAAGCAAGATAAAAAACGCAACAGACAAACATTTAGTAAACATACCAAGGAATCTAATTTTATTATTTAATTTATCCAGCGGCGTACATATAATATCGATATAATATAAAAACAAAAATATTTTAAATCGATATTTCCTTTAGTCGTAAACAGTATATAAAATTAAAATTATTTATCGTTTACTTAAAAAGATATTCTTGACTTAACGTAAAATATGGGCTAGTGAAATTCTGATGATATAAACTGGAACCACTGTGTATAATGAGGTTGTTCATACAAAGCCCTTTAATAAATAGTATTAAAATAATAGTGCTAAGTAACTTATTAAAATGTATGTTTAGAGATATATTTTATTAAAAATATATTTATATTACCTGGATTTTGTTCAAAAAACGCAGGCGCTTGAAACTCTCCATCCCCCTGTTTCGAAGCTGCCACAGCCTGGGCTTGGGCCTGAGCCTGGGCTAAAGCCTGTCTATGTTGAACATAATGTGCTGATGGTTTTGCTCCTGAAATAAATTAAATATTTAATTAAACAATTCCGACCGTTTGATGACTTGAAATGCCAATCAAATTTTATTTAAATAGGTTTTGTATGATTTCCATTTAAAGCTGTTTTATTATTAAATTCCTATAATTTATTTATTTAATGTTGAAACCGTATACCTAAAGTATAAACAATTGTGCTATTTGAACAATAATTATGTATTATTTATACAACTATAGTTTCTTATAATAAAGAGATGACCTTTTTTTAAATTGCTAGTATTAAAAAGACCTTTAAAAATATTTCCTTTTTAAATTTAACAAGATAAAATGTTTATAAACTCACTACTTATCATTGCTTAATACCATTTACTACTGCAATAAGCCAAATTATTCTTGCCATGTATTGACATTACCATGACAATATTAATAAAACAATGAATTTACATTTAGATGATCAAAAAATTGCAGGAAGAAATCAAGGCTCTTAGGGTAAAGTAATGTTAAAAACTTATTTATTTATAAAAATCACTAACTAAATTTATTAGCTAAATCTACCCGAATGTACCATTAAAAAATTCAAATTGTGAGCCCGTGGTGATCATACAACTGTGCGTATATGAGCTCACGTGATTTTACATAAATATCACGAATGTAATCTGGGTTAATAAGATAATTAGTTTACGATTTTCATCCGAAACCTTATCCGAATATTAGGCCGAAACCGTAACCGAAACCAAAACATATGTATGTAAATATTTATTATAGGTACTCTAAATCTATTGTTTTCTACCTTTGTAACAGATTATTCGATTAGATAACGTTCAGGCTAAGTTGAGCGGTCTAAGGAATGTCACCCCGTCCATAATCTGTATGTTCAGGCACAATTAAATACATGTATTTCGGTAGCCGCTCTGTACGAACAAACTGCAAGCCGAGGCACTGATAAATCATCTTCTTGTTACCGAAATCTCACGACGATTCGATATTTAATTTAATCAACTGCCACATGATCCCCCACCACAGCGCCCAATTTAGCTTGAACGGACTGTATATAAAAAATACTTAAATTTATTAGGAAATTATTATTTTTGAAATGCAATGCAATTTAAAAAATCAATACTGCATATTTTCTTAATTCTCCAGTAAGTATTAACTCTCCAAATTAAATTAATGATATCTTGCATTTGGGAGATCGGTTTGGTACCATGTGGTAGTTGGATCCCTCCCCGTGGTGTTCGGATCGCTCTTAAGTGACTTTTCGACCTAAGAGGAACAAGATTGGATTCCCGGTATGACATATACCTGTATTTTTGGATAATATCTGAAGCTTTGACCTTTTAGCGAGTTATTTTGTGACTTGTACAATAGATTGGGTGGATGTTTTAAGATTTGAAAAATGCTTGTGTTATTGTCTGTGGCTTTGTGAAGTGCATGGACGATAAACACATGTTTTTGGTCAAAATGGGGATTAAGACCAATTAAGTTTAAGAATATCTTGCATGTGGGACCCGATTAGTATAAATTATTTGTATGTGCCTAGTTCATAATTAATCATTTTAGTGCTGAGTGTTCACAACAATAAAGTTTATTTTATCAATTAAAGATAAAGTGTATTATTATTATAAAACGAAAACTAAAAAAAAGTGCGGAGTTAAGTGCATTTAAAAAAGTAACAATTTTACAAAAATGGCTTGATATAAAAATTTAAAAAAAATCATGGGGTCTAGTTTCAACTAAAATCAGGGACTTGTAACAAAACCTCGTATAGAAACGAAACTCTGTTTCTGCGGTTATCGTTTCGAGTAACATAGAAAGATTAAAACATAGTTAGAAACGGAACGTTGGAAAGCGTTCCCAACAAGTAATAGAAGAGTATCCTCGTTACAACAAAACTGCCGGGACTCTGAGCAGATTCGGTTCCACTGGGTACGAAACGAAACCAGCAACGCCACCTGAGTAACGTTTCTTCAGCAGCAAAATTATAATGAAACCTCTATGGAAACAATACTTTGGTATATTTATTTTACCAACTCACTGGAATAAACATTTTGCGCGTGATAACCACGTGCTCGTACGCAAAACAAGCATCGGGTTTTCGCAACGCGTGCGCCATCTGGTAGCGCCCAAAAGCTTTATTGAACTACAAGGTTTGTTAAAAATATATTTAAAGCAAACGAACTAAATAATAATTTCTCAAAAAACCCCTGTGGGGCACATGTTCCGTTTGACCGATTTATCTAAAATTTTGCAGGCATTTTTTTATGATATGGAACCGATTTGGGGGGCGCCTCTGTTAATTTTTTTCCTATCCCTAAATAAGGAACACCCTAATATACCTATATATATATTTTCAGTTTCCAATTTGTTCCGTATTTTAAAATTGCACAATATTAAAGAAAGAAAAATCTCGTTTGATCCCTGCCAAAGATGGGATTGCATTGTGCATTTATTTGATAATATTGAATTCTTCTTCAAAGACACAACTTTTTAAATTCTAAATTGCAGACCTCCAATTTATACCTCATGGTTTTTGCAAGACCTCTTTAGAAAGAAGCAGTCCGTTAAATAGTGCCGTTCTGGCATGCAATTTTATCATGGTTTCCATTAAATTAAAATTTTTATAGTAAGTGGTAATAAATTCCAGAGCAGTGTCTTTTTCTTCCTTGAAAACCTAATTCTGAGGTATTTTTGGGCTCAACGTATATGCCAAAAAATGAGCTGGTGTCATAGCCAGTTAGTATCTTTTTAGAACCTTTCTTAATTGAACTGGGCTTATAACATTGCTCCCACGGAGTTTATATATGAGATATTTCTAAAAAACACTTATCACCTTGTATTTTATCAAGATCCAAATCAATAAATCTTTTTTAAATTTAGACCACTTGTAAAACAACCTGTTAATAAAAATATTGAGCCTTTCCTTCAAAAACCTACGTTTTCTACGAAATAGTTGAACGTTTTTTAAATTTTGTATCCTTATTACAGTATACCAGGGCTCCCAGCAGTCCATGTTGCGAGAAATAGTGACTTAAGAGATTAATAATAAAAAATAAACGACCAAATATAGACCAAATTAATTACCGAAATAACTATAAAATGGAGGTATACATTTTTTTGGGATAAAAGATCTAAATTTGAATTTAAAATACATAGAGATAACTTGAAATTATAAATTTTTATTGAATTAAATTTAACAAGTAACCATAACTGTTATAAAATACATAAATAACAAAAAAATATTAAATTCTGTAATAAATTATGACTTATAATAAATAGAATCACATTTATATAAAAGACACTGGCATCAGTCATTTAATGGGTTATATTTTTTTGGTGGGCTGCAGGCTGCAGCTGATCTATAATTTTCGCCTTTCGTTTTTCTAAATCTTGTAAGTTACCTTCCCCGCTTCTTTTTTGGGATGGTTCACCCCTTCAAACATTAGTTGAGCCATACATATTTTTTTAACATTTTTATTTGTTTGCAACAATACGTTCTTTATGGTCTTTTTTATTAAAAATAAAACAATAATTCTTTTATTATTCCTTTTCCCGAAAACGGTTTTTTTATTTAATATAAAACAATAATTCGTTTATTATTCTTTTTCTCGAAAACGGTTCATTTTATTGACAATAAACAAGAGTACCTTTATTTTAGTTTAAGGTTCACGCTACGCAAATTTAGTTTTTTTAAGTCTTTACATACGGGGTGTTCAAAATTTAAGCATTAAGGTATAAAACTTAGTCCGTCCCTGGTAAACAAAAAAAGCAAAACATGTTTCAAGAACACTACTTTAAGAGGTCCCTACCAGGGTCCATCATATTAAATTTTTATTAAATTATATTCAGTACTTTAAAAGTTATTCAAGGAAAACCAATTTGCAGGCGCGTCCTTTCGGGGCCCATGTCTCCGCAAGGAGGGCCAGTAGGAATTTTTTTTATAGGAATGTGTCATCTTATTTTTTCATGTTCTATCTGAATCCGAGATATTTCCCACATTTTCCCGGACACCCTGTATAGGTAGTGTTAACCTAGCGAACCGAAACTATAAACGTAAACGAAACCCTAGACCAAACCAGAAACAATTCAGCAATAATTTTGGCGGGCGGTTCGGGTCTGGACGGCGGGAACTTTAAATGTAAACTGCGAAGTTTTCGAATGTTTCACTTGGTTTACTGTGGTTTCGATATTTATAAAACTGTGAATATTTATATTTAAAAAAATATTTTTTAATAGTTGATTTTAACAGAAAATATAGACTTTATAGACTTTAGGTAAAAAAATAGACTTTTATAGACTTAAGACAAAAATATAGACAAGTCTTTAAAAAAACTACCTGCTGGGAGCCCTGCAGTATACATACATTACATGTAATTTTTGGTTTTAATCACGATTTAAATTAAAAAATCAATTGATTTAAATCATAACAACCCTGTAAAATATCAAGATATATATCGTCATTTTTGTTGCTAAATTTATTTATCATTATCAAGAGAAGCATCTTACCTGCTGCTGCATGGTGCAAGGCGAAGGGCGAGAAGACGGCTTCGTAGGCGACCGGCGTGGGCGGCAGAAAGCCGCCGGGCAGCAGCTGAGCGGTGGTGGTGACAGGCGAGCCGGTTGCAGCGGCCGCGGCCGTAGTCGACAGGTGGTGGTGCAGGTCGCCGGCGGCGGCGGCGGCGGCCGCCGTGCCTTGCACGCCGGCCAACCCCGCACGACTATACTGCGCGTACGCGGACCACGGACCCACTGGATCCATTGTTCCTAAATGGCAACGTTGAGCTCGAAGTTGAGAGGGAGACTAGTTGGGCGCAAGTACCCATCCCATCTAAAACAATCATAACAAACAATAAGATCTCAATCTACAGCAAGTCAAAAAAAAGTTATTTTTTGGACATTAACATTGGTTTGCCAACTTTACTAGTGGCGTGCATTTTAAAGCAAACTTAATTTTGCTTTCTAATATGCAGTTTTACAATTTTAATATGATTGATATAAATTTTTTTAAGAACTAAATTGTTCTAAGAAAATGGGTTTATATGAAAAAGGGTTTTATGTAACTTGAAATGTCGTCAGATCTGACATTGTCTAAGACAACAAGGCCCGCTTTGGAATTTGGATTAAGAGTAATTGATGTAATGTATCTGCCAACGCGGGAAATTATAAATAATAGTTATTTATGTCATAAGGCTAAGAAGTGAGTATTTTTGTGCTGACCTTAAAGTTTGAGCAAAGCACAAAAAGACACTTCTTAGCCGAATGGCATGGAATACCCAGTTAACACATGACCTTGATTTTACATCAATAATATGTCATATAGGTTTACGTAAATTTGACATACTTTGTGACTAAGATATGATGTAAAATTATATGATTCTGACAAAATAATGGCATAAATATGTTCATTTGACGTTACAAAATCATTTTGCTACGTATATTTGACGTATTTGACGTACGTAAGACCTAGTGTTTTATAATATTATATAATTTAATTTTCAAGCAAAATTTAAAGTACCTATGTCAATTAACGATTAGTAACCTAAAAAACTCAAAAACTTTATAAGACAATAGAAAACATTTTAATCTGGTTTAAAATGTTGTGTTGCACTGTGTAATAGAATTGGAAGGATTATATATAAGTACTGGAAAATAATGATTAGTTAACACAACTATTTTGCTACATATAAGATGTGAGATTTTTATTTTTATTCAAATTAGGTGCTGAAAATAACCCCCCCCCCACATCAATGCACTCATCGCACCGTACAACTCGTCAAGAATACCATGAAATGTTTATGCCCATTGATGCGCAGTAGACAGCGACTAAATTTGTCATTGGATTTGCCCACACAACAGTACCTACACTCCGCAGAGTGGGTAAAATCAAAGTAAATTAAGTATCGTAAAATATTCGGTGTTTTCGCAATTAGGACTACGTTTTTATGAATGCGGTTAGCAATTAGTAACCTATCTAGATTAAAAAATATATATATTGTTGTTATTTATATAGTCTTGAACATATTTCAATATTTATATTTGTTAGATTTAATATGAATAAATAACCTACCTAACACAAACGTTGTTTATTCTCAAAAGGATTATAACCTATTTTTATTCGCATTAATGTTACCTGCCCTAAGCATATAATCCTATTTATTGACACATTATTTCTACCCATCTTATCCATGCAATTTGAAGTATCTAAAGAGTGTTCTCACAAGAGAGATCGGTATTAAAATAAAATAATAAAATGTTATTTTATTTCTAACCCAGATAGCACAAAGAAGTACTAAAAACGTCCTGAGTATATCTTGTATCAGACATTAGTAAGTTCCGAGTACGTCCGAATCAGGTCCTGAACCTTCCCCAGGACGTTCCAGGGACATCGGATGTTACCAAATCGTCGGTCCCCAGAACGTCCTAAGTAAGACATCCTCTGGCCATCCTGAAATGCTTTATTGGGGGCTAATGGACAAGCTTTACAGAATTGAAGAGTGGTATTCCCAAAGGCCCAGACAGCAATATGACGCCTTAATTAAGTCTTATTTTATTAAATTGTTAAATGGATTTTATTAAAATCATTTTAATAATTTACTCGTATTCGCTTATTTTAGGAATTGCGATTACTTCGTCTCACTTTTGTTTAAATTTAAGCGTGCTCTTCACCGGCACCGATAGACGGCCTGTTTCCCTCTTTTGGAGCTCGTCAGTATCGGGTAGCCTAGGTCTAAAGGTACAGTTTCGTTGATGCGACTCGCGGCTGCGACTCGCGACTGCGATCGTAGCCGCTCCACTGCTTAGTACAATTTGTTTGTATATGTTTTGGTTGACGCGTTCAGTCGCAGACTGCGACTGAACGCGCCAACCAAAACGTATACACACAAATTGTACTAAGGAGTGGAGCGGCTACGATCGCAGTCGCGAGTCGCAGCCGCGAGTCGCATCAACGAATCCGTACCTTAAGACCGTTTGGTATGAAGCACGCTCTAAATTTTACTTCGCCGCTTCTTATATCAAACACAAACAGTTACAGCGGTGAGAAGAAAGAATCGCATTAAAATGTCATAAATGTGACGTTTCCATTTTGACGTCTTAAAGAGTTAATAATAAGTCCTTGGGACGTACCCAGTATATCCCCTATAATTTTCCCAAATAAGTAAGAAACTGGACGTACCCAAAACTTCCGATATAGGTCTAGGACGTTCGGACCTATGTGGGACCCGAAATGGACGTCCTGGGTACCTCTTGTGCTATCTGGGAAATTGCAATTTTCAAATCATGATTTCTTTATTGAAATTTGGCCACCTTCGGCGATGTGCCACATAATTGCCATGTACCAAATAACATGATTTATAAAAAATCCTTCCTCCCTGCCGGCGCCCATGTGTAGGAACACCCAATTTTTTTAAAATACAAAGTAAATGACCAATTTACTATTTTGTACACTTAAATATCTTTAATAATGTTAATATAGGCATTTACTAGTGAAGGGGCAGATGGTCATAGTATTTAATAAATGTCGGCATTGGAAACGTATTGCACGGCATATAATAAATTATGATTTTTTGAGGTGGGTTTGGGTTGGGTATACTATATTAAGGACCTTGAAGTAGGCTTAAAATTAATGTAGCGAAAAGCGTCGTAATCTCGGTGCAATGTGCAGTGTTAAGCCCGCTGCACAACAGCCCGGTAACGGAAACGGGAACCTAAACGGTAAAGGTGGGGAGACTCAGCGAACCCTATCTATCAACAGTGGTTTGTAAGTCTCTCCCACCTTTTATGTTAAGATTCCCGTTCCCGGGCTATTGTGGAGCGGGCTTTACTGCGCATACCGCATGTCATGTGCTATGCGGATTGGTGTATTGGTAAAGCCGTCGTCAGCTGTATAGTACTGAACTGTCAAAAATAACAGTAAACTTTTGGGTAAATTATTAGTTCGTATGATAATAAACAGATTTATTTAGAAATACAGGAACTGACAATTTATTTAACAGTGAGTTTTGCATCCATACAGCTATATATTTTGAAAAAACGAAGAAAATCTACACAAGAAAACACAAATGTATTTGATTCCAAGCCATAATAAAAACAATAATATTTATTAATCCATTTTATACAATACATTAATTATGATCATATATACATGATATAGGTAGGACAGGTCAAAATAGAGACAATACAAACTTGTTTATTCCCTTACATCCAATTAACCTATTATTACTTAATTATTACCTTACATCCAATTAAGAAAGAAATATAAAAACATAAATATTCGTTTACTGCAGTATAAAACGCATTTGCAAACAAAGATTCAACATAATTTGTAAATTTAATGTTGGATTGATTTTTAATATAGTGGCTATACGCTAAAGAAGTATCGGGTTTTCGCAACGCGCGCGCCATCTGGTGGACTTTGGTAGCATTGCGTGAATTTAAGAATTGTCAACAATACATTTAGAGCACAGATTATTAAATAAATAGGTAGTTTTTTCACAAAAGAGAGGAAGGCAGAAGTCTTATGGCGGGTTTACGAGTCACTCGCGTGCGTTTGGAGGTCGCGTTTACGCGAGCTAGCCAACGCGCGCGACTGATTTAACTCATGGTGGGCAATGGGATCGTTTATAAGTGACCTCGCGTGCGTTAAAAGGACGCGTGCGCCAAATCTTAGCCAGTTTGACGTGTCTTGGTTTTTATCCGGGGAAAAAACTTTACGCCGTAAAACGATCGCGCGCGTTGAAGCCGATATCACGTGACATGGCCAGCCAATGGCATCAGCCGCGTAGCCTGCGTGGGAGAAGTGTTGTGTCAAACATAATTAGCAGACGAGCTAAATTCATTAATATTGCGGTTCGAAGAATTAAAAATGGGTCCATTTTATGATGTATGAGACATGAGACGAAATAAAAACACACGCACTGAGGAACCAGCTGACGTTCGAAGGTGAGCAATCGCGCGCCTTTGAAACTCGTAAATGGGGTCGCGTCAGGAAGAACGCGTTGACGCGAAGGCCCAGGAAACGCACGCAAACCTCAAACGCACGCGAGTGACTCGTAAACCCGCCATTACTCGACAAATTTTGTTCAATTGTAACGCGAAATCGCGCACGTTATTTGTGTTTTACGTTGCAAGGAAAAAATTAAAAAACTTTTTAGTACTCAATTTCGATTTATTATTCCTTATATCATTGATTAAGAAACTCCACGCTTAAATGCTTATATAGTTACGTTAGTGTGTGCATTTTATCTAAGAGATTATGGTGAATTATTGTGCTTTAATTGTAAATAAAATTCAAGAACTAAATCATTGCATTTTCATGTTTTGGCAAAGGATCCTATTCGGTACATTAAGTACATTTGTTGGTGCAGAATTAACTAATGATAACTTTACCTAATATAATTTATATTTAAGTTTGGACATTTTTAAGAAATTGGTAAAAAATAATTTTTGCACAAGCATAACCTTAAAATCAACCATTTTTAAATTCGAGTTCTCTAAAAAACGCCGACAACTGCATTTTAAACAACAAAATATACCTACGAATTCATGGCAACACGGAGAAAAAAGTTTATTGCTCCCAAATAAAAAAAATATTTAAATATGGGACAAGGGTACAGTTTATTTATCCTAAATATATTTTTATTCCCGACATATAAAGTTTTACTAAAGTATATTTATCGTTATTATTTCGACTATTTAGAGGTAATAAACAATATATTCACTACAAATAAAAGTATTAGGTAAACAGTTTATTTGTCCCATTTTTTTCTCAGTGAACATAATATTATATATCGACCCATGCAACAAAGACTATAGTAACTCAAAAAACGTGGGTTTTGAATTACTATAATATTATGGCATCAACAGATTTTTTCAAGCTCTATTTGGTGGAAGATTACAGTAACTCAGACATGAAACGATAGGCAACCAGTGAACAACTTCCCTGTATAGTAAGTGTAATAATCCACATTCCTACAGGAAAAAACTATATTAAGTTGAGTTACTCTAGTCTAAAATCAAAACTGAGTTACAATAGTCTTCGTTGCATGGGTCGATATAATACATAATGGTATTTTACCGTTGAGTGGAGACTTTCTTAATCAACGCTTTTAATAATGCTAAATGCTGTTTAAATTTTGATTTTGACGATTTTTTCTGAATTGAAATGTTTAAACTTTTCACGTTAATCACTACTAAAATGTGTATTTATTGTATCTAATAGGTACAATTTATATTTACAGAGACCATGCAATTTATTTCTTCATTCAGATTAACACTGTTTATTGAAAAACCGGTAAACCCAGGATTTTCCCTCAAAATACACCCAACAACACAACAAATCGACCACGGTTTTTTTTTCCGACATTTTTTAACATTTTCCGGCTTTATTCTCAAAAACACTCGTTTGTAACCAGCGTTGACAGCTGTACTTTTGTTACGATGATAACAGCCGAGTGGTGGCGCTACTAGCGATACTTCTTTAGCGTATAGAGTGACTACGAGTATAGTCCTCAATGTTTTATACGAGTTAATATTGTGAGCTGTATAGATGCAAAACTCACTTTTAATAAATTGTCAGTTCCCAAATATCTAAAGAAATTTTAATATTATAACACAAATCCTAGTTTACTCAAAAGTTTAGTTTTAGTTTATTTTTGACAGTTCAGGACAGCTGATGACGACTTTACCAATCCGCATGGCTCGGTGCATAGCACGTGATATGCGGTATGCGCTGTGCACATTCCCCCGAGATTTAGACGCTTTTCGCTACATCAGTTTGAAGCCTAATTTTTATAACTTGTCCATTACGTCGAGCACCTCTTGGAAATACAATATGAATGTCTGAGACATAATATTATTAATTAATTAATAACTAAGTTGGGGCGAGTCAGATCAAAAAACACCAAAGGACTTTAAGTCTTCTTTTTGGCCCTACTATATAAGCCCTAGAAATATATTACTTCTTTTAACACCGTGTATTTTTACTTATCTATGAGTAAATTATTATTTATATCAAACTTCTTGGATTTAAGATTAATTCAAGCCTAAGTAATTTAAATTAGATTCCTATTATAAAAGAAACCTTATACGAGTATTGTCATCTCCATCTTAATAAATAAAATAGCAACACATGGTTACTACACAATCCACACAACATGGATTGTGGGTTACTAAACAATTATTTAATACATTACTGTTATGTATCATAATAGTAAAAATAGTAAAAAAAATAATGTTAAAAAAATTACCTAAATACTTATACGTAGTACGTCAGACATACCTAAATGGTGCCAAATGTGGGTACATCTAAAGAAGCCACTACTAATCGTAGTAAAATTTAATATTGTAGTCTACAATATTAAATTTGTCCTAAATGTTTACCTAATTATTTTTGTCCTCACACAGAAAATAGTTTTAGGCTCAAAGTATGAGCGATTACACAAAAAAACACTTCTTGGCTGAATGGCACATTTTGTTTTTGTTAAACGACACATAAAACATGCAATTATTAAAAGTGAAAAGTGAGGTTAGATCAATCCAATCAATCTAACAAGTCAAATTTTTTTATTGGTCCAAAGTAGTAAATAATGAATTTTTACGACCTAGGCGATAAAAAACATAACCCAATTGACTTAATCATTTTTAAGTGGCTAAGCCATAAATTATGGCCCATGATCAATCACTTTAGTAACAGGTGTTGACAACAATAAAGTTTAGATTATAGATCGATTGAAAATAAAATAATAATTTAGACATACAAAAAGCACTGCTAACAAAATTTGTTGTTGCTGTTTTGAGATTTAATTAGGTATTACCTCGGGGTATTACCCTCAGATTACCTATTTTAAATATTCATATCACTTCAATTAAATGTATGAATTTATTTGTTTTTTAGTTTTTTTCAAGCATTTCATGTTAACAAAGTTAACAACACCAAAATTGGTAATTACCTAGGTATACCTACTTCAAAATTATAATCTGTAAATAGATAAACATCACTGTTAAAAAAGTATTATTAAATTAAATGTTATTTATATTTAAAAACGCAAGATTGAATTCTTACACGAATTTAATGCGAAAAGTAATCAAATATTTGTTTTTTTTAAACGGTACCTGCTCACTAGCATTTGTTTGGTGCCTTTGGCCAAAATCTAAATCCAATAACCTTGAAATTGTGAGCCCTTGTGTTGTAACCTTTTGCCACACAATTATATGCAAAAACCGATTAATCATCATTGAAAGACATTGGGTTTTTCCAATACTCGAGAAATTTCACGAAAACCACCTTTTTGTGACCCCTTAACATGCAGAAATAGGGTACGCTTCTTACGAAAATCAAGTGTAATTTCCCTCAAGCCAAATGCTTCAAACGTTAATTTCAAGCAATTTTTTCTAGAACGGTTTACGCAAGACACTAACAAAACTCACCTCTCATTTATAAATGTTGTATAAACTTATGAACATGAGAAATATATAATCATAAATATGGCTCCATAATTTTAGACAGTTTTTGGTGGACAATAACACATATAATCACTAAAATAAATCAGTCAACTTAAATAAATCAAATTTTTTTAACACTCTTTTAGCGCTCACGTTACGAATTCTTTGAATTTTTGGCATAAAAATCATTATAGACGGGTTTGTTTGAGTTTTTTCGCTAAATTTTACACGAATAAACGGTAGGCGGCCATCTTAGAAATTTCACTAACAAAAGAACTGGCGCCATCTTTGATCTCACAAGCTTTTTTGGCAGCAAATTCAAATTCGATTTTAAAATTGCATTTTTGTAACTTATTATTTTTGTTTAACTTATGTGAAGGTAATGAATGAAATATTTTTTGATTTGATTTTTCTAAAAATAAAATCAAATTAAAATAAACCAGGCAACAAAAAGTACGCACCAGATTATTACTTAATAATGTTTAGATATTATCACAATTCCTAAAAAATTTCATAGGAATAATCTTTTTGTCTACTCCCCATTAATAAGCTGTGACTTTAAGGCGTTTTAGTCACGGGCTGAAGTTGACTTTAATATAAATTGGGGAAAAGTGAGGTTAAATCCGTTGACAGTTGACAGATGTCAAATGTCAAGTAAAATTGGCTCTAAATTCTGTTTTGTGTTCTTCGTAGATAAAGTATATATAGAGTTTATATACCTATAGGTATATATGCCTGCGTTTTATAAACTTCTCTAAACACTCATTTTTATTAAACACTACCTTGCAAGCTTCGCTAGTGCCAAATCAAACTCGTAACTAAAATGGCGTTTATAAAACTTAATTCATAATATAATATCCTAATTTCCAAGCTTTCCAACTCGTTTTAAACTTTAATCATTTAGGTATCAACTCCCAAAATATACCTATTTTCCAAAATTAATTATATGTGAAACTTTTTGTTAATTCGTTTAATTAAAAGCTGTTTTCGTAAATATTTTGTTATTACTAAAAAACAAACCTATAAACTGCGCCCCGGGATTCAAATATCGACCGTGCGCTGTTTATCAAACTGAGGTTAGGTTGCTACAGTGACAGATAAGTCAGATCGCTAAAATATGTTTATAAAATCGCCCATATCCATATAAAACATACAAAAATGGTTAATTTTCAGTATTTTTTTATGATATGTATTGTTACTTTAATAATACAAACCAACGGATTACCATATCAAGGAAAATGGGAAGAAACACTGTCACAGGTAATGATCAAGTTTTGCAGATAATACAATAATATAGGTACTTGTTGTGTTTTAGGATGTGAATAATATTATATTTTCGCTAAGTCTATATAAAAATGCTCAGGTTTTTATACATGGTAATATTGTGTGTGTAGTGTGTGTATTAAGAAAATTTATAATATTTTAAATTTTTTAGTTAATTGTGATTCACTTGAGGGCCAACCTGATGTAGGCATTAAGTTTAATATTATACAGTCACCATGCTGGGACAGCACAGAAGCTCAAAAAATTTTAAAACAGGTTTATTTATTATTCTCAAATACCATTATACCTACTGATATTGATAATACCATTATACTGATATTGATAAGAAAACCAAAAATATTTACATAAAATTAATATTTTAGATGATGTCAATACCAACATTCAGAAATTTAACTCATTTAGAATTGGAATTATCAAGAACATTTCAATGTAATGACCACATAATGTTGATTGGCTCTGGTTTAAATGATAATGAAAAATCCATGCACAAAGGAGCACATCCTGTTTATTCAGCTAAACATGATGGGGTGTATGTTTTTGCTTTTGCAGCTAACAGTAATGCCTCTGATTATAATATGGGGGTTCATTTTGACATCAAGAACGATTATGGATATTTGTCGGCAGCAGATTGGCCATTGTTGCCGTTCTATGGGTTTATGTGTATTTTATATGTTATTTTGGGCTTGATTTGGTTAATTTTGTCGTTTATGCAATGGAGGGATTTGCTGAGGGTGCAATTTTGGATTGGAGGAGTTATTTTGTTGGGGATGTTGGAAAAAGCAACCTTTTATGCTGAATATCAAAGCATTAATAATACAGGTTAAAATTAATTTTAAATGTTTAAATTTAGTCACTTGAGGCATTTAAGAAAACAGTTTTCTGAAAATTTTATCATAGTCCAGAAAATGGGCTTTTTCTGAACAAAACAAAAATAAATTAAAGTAATTTTGATTACATCAGTATTAAAAATATACAAATATATATTAAAACTATTTGTAAAAGTTAATATATTTTAATTAAAAAGAGATGTATAGATTTAAATGATAAGCTAAATTAACATTTAAAAACCTACAAGGTTGGTTAAATTAGAGAAAAGTTGAGTAATTACAAGTCTATTAAAATGGCATTAAAAATAAACGGAAAACCTGTCAAAACAAAATCGTTATAACTTCGTTATTCATGGAAATAAAAAAAAAATTCTCATTTGTCTACATTTTTTATACAATTTGTGTGTTTTTTTTGCCTACTAGATTTTAACTTACAACCACCAACTTTTTTTTCCTATGGTCATCATGTTGTATTAACGGCGGTCATTATAGAAACAAAAGATGGTGATGGTAACTTTTTTTTTATATTTTGAGAACGGCTGGTTTTTTTCCCAATTTATAAATTTTATTTTAATAGGCTTTTAATTACGCAACTTTTATTTAATTTAACCGACTTTGTAGCTCTTTAAATAAAAAAATACGGTCATTTGGAAAGCACCTAATATAAGTATATATAATTGTAGGTAGTAAAGTTCAGGGTGCTGTGTTGGCGGCAGAATGGATGTCATGCGCAAAGCGTACCCTGGCTAGAATGCTAGTCATTATAGTAAGCCTTGGCTTTGGCATTGTCAAACCTAGGTTAGGTTCAACTTTGCACCGAGTCGTAGGAGTGGGGATGCTTTATTTCTTTCTGGCCGCGTCGGAAGCCTATTTAAGGATTATCAAGTCTAAAAACGAAAATTCCAGGGATCTACTTGTAGCTCAGGTAAATATTGACTTAATAATTTATTAAAGCCATACAAACTACATGTTAATTAAATAAAATGCAGATTCTAACAAAAGTAATGTAAGAGTTTAGCAGTTAAAATATCGTCGCGGTCGTATGTCAAAATTAAGCACATTACTTTTATTAATTTATTGTACACAAATTACTTAAAAATGGTTAGGACGAATCAGAGAGGAATAGTGAAGATGGGAGATTGTTTTGTCTTTTCTAAAAATGTCTAATATTAATAAATATTCTAATATATAGAGGGTGTCCCAGAACTCGCGCCACAGAGAAAAAGGGAACGTGCCGAAAGTAACACGAAACACATATTTGAAAATTAAAATTGTCTAACGCAAAGGATAAGCGAGATAAGAATGAAAAACGATAGCCAATCCCAATACATGGCCATAGGGAATTCTTTAAATTGCTAGGATATTTAGGATGCATTGTTGATATAATATGTAAAATATTTGGTCGACTGGAATCTATTGTTTTTTTTAAGTTGTGTTTTATTCCCCTGATTATGCCGAAATCATGATATTTATGAGCGCAATGCTAGGGAGCCTATAGAGCACAAAGTCGTCCATTTGGTGTCCATAGGACATCCATCTCTGTACAAATGGATATCCATAGTATGTCCAAGAATATTATATGGACGTTCCATGTACGTACATATAACGTAACTTTGGCACACTATAGGATGTCCATGATATGTAATAAATGTACATACAATGTACAGTTACGGAAAAAAGTAATGTCCATTTGAATGCTCCATTGTAATTGTTCGGAGGCATTCGGGTTTTGCTAATAAAATTAACATATCTATTTTTAAACTCAATAATTCTACCTACCTGCTATTTACCATTCTTTCTACGCACATTTCATTTGACTTTTAAGCTTTTATGCAATAATTAAATATTTAAGGAATAACATTGATTCTGAAATAATTTAAATATAATATAATACATTATGTTCTATAACTTATTAAATAAACTATATATTATTTAATAAGTTGTTTGTAGGTCTGTGGTTGTTATTAATAAAATAATATATTTTAATGAAATATAGACATTTAATACTAAAATAATTATAAACATTTGCATAATTTTGCAAATAAAATTGTTAATAACCCTCTTTAATGTATTTACCTGTTTATGTGATTTTTTGTTACCTGGGCAATTTAAATTAAAATATTTATTCTTACTATGTAAATTAAAGCCATTAAAATGCATTTTGTGCTTATAAAAAGAAATGCACTATTAATACGTTTTTCTACTTCTATTGCATATTATTGACATTTTTTGTTTTTTTTCGTAAATAATGGTAACCAATATAACCGCCCGGCCTATCAACGTGAATAATGAACTCATTATTCACGGTGTTAGGCATCAATGATTGGCTTATTTCAATATTCACTGTTATTTGAACCAATCGGGTTTTAAATTAGAAAAAAGTAAGGTTGACAGATGTCAGATATATTTAAATATACGAGGGGCGACTATAATGATCTTTAAAATCGGAGAAAAGTGAGGTTATAATAAATTTTATTATCGATGAAAATTACTTAATTGGATTAGAAAAAACATACTATTACACAAAATTGTGAGAAATCAATGAAAATCCTTCCATCTTTAAAATACAAAATTAATATGGAGATTATTTCCCTCATTATAATATGAACCAATCAAAAGCCTTGAATTTTTCAATAAATTTCGTTTAAATAAGCGATTAAATCACTAGAACTATTTAACAGCGATTAAATTTTAGCCTCCATATTGGATTTTTGTTTACGATTTTATGGTGTTATTTACAAGTTTTAACAAACATTTTTTAAAAAACAATAAAAAATAAGTTATCTAGTTTACGAAATATCAATTATTACTTATTACATACCTAAAATTAATGGAATTTTCTTTAAAAAAATATTTATAAATTTTGACACATACGTCAGATTTTATGAATTGTCAAATAGTTTCCTTTAATTCGAGAAATAATCTAGACGTATATCACTCAACTTATAAATTTAATCTGTCAAACTATGCTCAGTAAGTTTTTTATTTGAATTTTCTTTTTGGAAAATAGTATCATGCAAAATAATTTAAAATAAAACCCCTCGACCGCTACGCGGTCTCGTGATTTTATTAAATTATTTTGCATTCAACATTTTCCAAGGAAAACCAAACAAAAAACTACTGAGCCTAGTTTAACCGATTAAATTCATAGTTCTCGTGATATAATATATGAATATTTTTTTAGTCGTTTTGCATGGCACATAGACTATTTTTAAATAATAATTTAATATTTGACCAAATTGGGTCCAAACCCTTTGGGAATACTATGCTTTAACTATAATTATTAATGTAATTATTTACCATTTCTTTTTAAATAAAAAAGCCACTTTCTTTGCTCATGGTTTTGGATAATATTTTCCTAAAAAAGGGTCCTACTAAATTTTACCATAAATTTTGTTTCGCTGAAAAAGTTTAAAAATCTTGAAAATTTCTATAAATTCAACTTTTACCTTGAATACCTTTTAAAAAGCCCTACCATAATTTGTTTTAGTTTTATTGGTCCACTAATCCCTTAACGAGTTATACAATTTTAAAGTATTTTAAAAAATCTCGTATTATTTTAATGGGAAATAAAATTTCCCGATGAGGGACCTGTAAATGTAATATTAAGAGCTTTAACTATAATTATTAATGTAATTATTTATCATTTCTTTTTAAATAAAAAGGCCGCTTTCTTTGCTCATGGTTTTGCATAATATTTTCCTAAAAAAGGGTCCTACTAAATTTTACCATAAATTTTGTTTCGCTGAAAAAGTTTAAAAATCTTGAAAATTTCTATAAATTCAACTTTTAAATAAATAAATATGAAGACATAGTATGTATTACATATATAATATATATTTTATAGTTTTATACCTATTTATGTTTATATGTTTTATAGTTTTTATATGTATGTTATAGTTTTATAGGTATGTTAACTTTTACATTATAATTATATTTAACATTTTTTGATAAATCCTAGTATATTTAATTTAAAAATATACCAAATATAAAAATTTTAAATATATCTTTTTAATTTTAACACATAAAAGTGCAACAAATAATAAAATTTGTTTTTTACTCCTTTGATGTAGAATAGTGTATTGAATCATTGCTATAGCAACTATAGTTCTGAAAAATGTAAAGTAAGTTTTAAAAAGCTACGACTTGATAATATTATTTATAGCCTAAAAAGTTGTTATTAAAAGTTTTTTCATAGAATAAATGTTTATAAAACTATACAAAAATATATCAAAAAATTAACGATTTAATAAAAATACAGTTAAATATGTAATATACCTAAAATAATTAATTCAATACGAGCAGGTAGTAAATTTTAAATATAGATATATTTTTAAATAAATTTTTAGAAGCAGATGTTGACTATTTCCGAACGCCTCCGAACAATTACAATGGAGCATTCAAATGGACATTACTTCTTTCCGTAACTGTACGTTGGAAGTGGACTTCCATATGATGTCAAAATGAGCCTAGGAACGAAAATTGTAGAAAAATTTTGGTTTACTTGTTTTTTCTGAGTTATGTATACATTTGTTTATTTTAATCAAATTACAAACATATAGGATTTAGGATAAAAAAGGTTTAGACAGTGGCGGCTGGTGGATTTTGGTTATACCAATATCTCAGTTATTAGACATGAGGCCCATATAAAACATATATGAGTTTATAATGACATTGAATAGACAATTTCTGCGCAAGCATAATTTAAATTATTAAAAAATTAAATAAAATTAAATAAATGGGCACCGTCATTTGTATATTTAAAGAACTGCTCTTTATCAGTCAGTTTTATTTTTTTTAATACTGGAGTTGGCTTTTCTTAGCTCGTTCCCGATTTGATTCCCTCGTTTTATAGCGACGTCCTTGACGACCCCCATAACGTACCCTGCAATACAACATAATATATTGTATTGCAGGGTTTATTATATAATATTTCGCACAACGCCATATGGCCCAGAAGCACAGCATTGTCCTCGCAGTTCATGTTTTCATAGAAAACTTAACCTTTTGCTATTAAATTTTACAAACAAAATTACAATCTGCATCAAGACACGTCGCGTGCGGGAAAGCTCTTGAAACGTAAAAGTTTAAAGATGAAACCAACAATAATTATAAAAAAAAGTGCAAACTAATAAGTGAAACAAACATTTTCATGGAGTGCAAGCTAAAATGGTGTAATGGTCATTGAGGAGTGAAGTGCTGAGTGATATGAATGAGTTAGGTGCCACCTGTCATTGGAGGCTTTTCACTGGACGGACGGGGGAGGTCAGGCAGGAGGGGAGGTGGCCATCCGCAAAAAAAAAAGCTGATAAGTTACTTTGAGAATATGCATGACCTGATACAAATCTGCAATTTAAATACGGCAGATCCCAGCAAACATTTTCCGTTAGTTGTCACCATTAACATTGCCCGTTATTCATTTTATTAAACATAATATTTATTTTTACTTGAACATGTTAAAATAACTTTAATATGATTATGTTAAGAACATATTTTACTCCTTAAACAATTGTTTTGTTTTTAATTACTATCATTGCAAAATTGTATTGAAAAGTATTAAAAATTCTTACACGGGCAATGTTGATGGTGATAGGTACCGTTAAAGTGTTTATTGGGATATCCTTAAAACCTATGAAAGGCACACAGCGTGAGGCAATAAATCTGTCAACAACAAATGCGTAAGGCGGTCCCAATCGAGACCGAAAATAAACACTAGACACACATTAAAAAAAAAAGCCTAATAGCCAAACTCGAGATTTGTAAACATTAGACAACAGAATAATCGCGCTTGTAATTTGTTTGACTAATAAGTAAATGCAATGCTTAACTTTGGAATTAATATTAAAAAAAGACAAAACTCTATCACAAAACGTGCTTGGGACAAAATTTTTTAAAAACAACTGACACACTTTACCAAGTGCAGGAACTATCTGACCAGGACACGGACAATGACAATAACGAACAAGACAAAGACCTCGACTAGGAAACTACACCCCTGCAGCGAAATAACATCTCCCCAACTCCAAATAGTAATCCCAAATGTTTGGAGTAATACTAATCGACTGGTCTAGGAGGATTCCGCGTCGTACTTAGTTTTAAGTCGGCGTAATTGTCCCCCAAAAACCAACACCCTCCCGTCCCTCCTCCATACCCCACCGAGCGTATAGCATAGGCTCGGCGAAACCGGGAACGGCTATTAAAACTATTCGCCTCTCGCTCTCGAGCCCCAAATAGGGGACAGTACGGAACGCAATGGACATTCGCACCCAGCAAACACGGGTGAAGCCGTGCAGTTGCTGGGGAAGAACAAAAATCGGCGTAAGTAAACATAGGCCTGTACGGGGTTCGAGAGTCAAGAGGAAATGGGGCTGGTTATACGTCTCTTATACTCATATACTCATACTCAAAATTACAATCTGCATTAAAGTACGCATGCGCCACCAATACTGCTACCGCTACTTTCTGAACTATAAATTGCAGAAAGTGATACCGCTACCGCTACCTTTACCTCTACCTTTACCGCTGCCTCTACCGTTACCTTTAAAACTATAAATCCAGCTTTAACAACTAATAAAACAATTTTTATTTTTTTAGTGTAGTTAATTGTAAAAATTGTTTTTTTTTTATATTTAGTATGATAGCCGTTATCGACCGCAGGAGTCCTAAATTATACTTTGAACATCCATCTTATTGTTTCTTGTCTTGTGTCCATCCATGGATATCCTAAGGACGTTCTTCTGGAACATCCTAAGTACATGGGAAAGCGTAAACTCCATGGACGTACATTCAAAGTCCATGGACGTATGTACTTAGTTTGGACCTTTAATGGACGTACAATGGACGTAGTGTGCTGTATGGGAGACAACACGAGTTTTTTCCCAGCGCTTTCCCGATTGTCCCCTGGACTGTAATGTTGTTCTGCGTTGTAACGAAATTGAAGGTGCTCCTTAACGTATTTGAACAGCGGAAAATAAAAAAGTTATTTTCAATGTGATCAAACTGACCAGCTTAGCTAATTTAACCGGTTAACTGAATTAGCTCAGCTAATTAGCTGGCTGCTTAACCGGTTAATCTAGCTTAGCTCTGCTAATTAGCCGTTTAGCCGTTAGCTAATTAGCTGAGCTAAGCTAGATTAACCAGTTAAGCCGCCAGCTAATTAGAAAAGCTAATTTAGTTAACCGGTTAAATTACCTAAGCTGATAAGTTAGCTAGATAATTAACTTAGCCGGCTTAACTGGCTAAATTGTACAGCCCTAATAAAAATAACCTCGAAATTGGGGCTTTGGGCAGTATGCCAATGGAACAATGTGGTTGGGACATGATGTCGAAAATCAGTGTGAAACTACTTCTATAAAAGAGATTAGTCACTTAAAACAACCAAACCGTTGATTTTTCCTATACATTTTTTCCTTAAAAATGACAGAAAATCGATATATTCCCTCTGTAGCATAGTCACATGTTATAATTTAAATGGTATATTGGTAGTTATAATAGGCGTGTAAAGGTTTACAAATAAAGTATATGCAAAAATAAAAATTCCGAACATAACAAAATTCTTTGACAATTTTAATCTTTTAACTTGTTATAAAACCATTAACACCGTATTTTAGTATAAAATTCATACAATTATTTTTTAAATAAAAAATGTCCACTTCCTTTATGTATTTTTCCTCAATTTTCAAATGATTTAAATTCTTAAAAGAATATTAAACATAACCTAGAAACCATGCTAGAAACAGATGTTGGATTCATTCGTAATTCTTGACATATCTGTTATAATATTGTGATGTCGGGGTTTCTCTTCAAGGTCATCGAAGCATTTTGAATCTTGCGGTTTTTAAAACTCTGTAGCGTTCTCAAAAATTGTTTGAGAAAAGTAGGAAAAAAAAATAAAAACAAACTCCTATGCGTAGAACTTAAATATGCAATAAAAAATTGCATGTCTCAGCCCTCTTAGCTTACCAAAAAGTTCTACATAGGGTGTCCGTTTTTCGAGGCTAAGCATATGAGAAAAAGTTGTGTATTTTTATACCAATCAATGATTAAAAGAAATTTGACATTTTTTAGTTTTTTGGGAAATCGTTAAAAACGAGTAATTTTTATTTTTATGTAAAACAGCCTTTTCTAATTTGGTCTTTATTATGCCATCTGACAAAATATTTTACTACCTTTCAAAACTGCCGAGAAAAGATAAGCGAGATACCCATGCTTAGCCTCGAAAAACGGACACCTTATAGCCGATAATTTACTTGTCAATTATAAATAAGAAGATAATGCCAAAAATAATAGCAACGAATTCGAATGTAAAAGCCCTTTTGAGGGCAAAACTTCCACAATGGAAGAAAAACTACATCGCCTTATGGACATTTTTGGAGTAAAAAAGTAACGAATTTGGTTTTATAAATATTATATCACAAATTATTTTCACATTATTCCCATTGGACAACATTTACGTTCACAAAAAATTTTAATTTCTTTTATATAAATTCTTTTCAAAGCGAAGATTATTATCCGCTAGGAATACTTTCTCTTCTGGGCCGTAAAGCAACCTATATTTAACTACTTTTTTTTATATGATTTTACTCATCCAAGCACCACCAAAGCCAAATTAATTGCATTTTAACTACTAATTTCGACAAATCAACTTAACAACTGCACAATGTAACCTACAATAATTTATACATAACAACAATTAGATTTATAACTAGCTTAGTTTGTTTTAATCAATGCGCCCAACTTGACAACTGTATTTACCAACCAAAACCCTAAATTTGCAACGTTGCCGCAGTCCAGATAAAAAAAATTAACTTTAGGTATATTGATAAAACTTCTTCGGGAGAAAGTAAGGGCGTTGGGGTACGGGAATCTATAAACAGCACTACGGTTATTACAATTGTAAGTACGTTTTATGTTAGTTTAACAAATAAAACTGTGCTTTGAAGATAAAATGTTGTATACCATTTGGCTGAGACATGTCTTTTTGTGCTTCACTCAATTGTAAGCCTACGCTGACGCTTCGGATTTTGAGCTCAGCACGAAAAGACTCACTTCTCAGCCTTATGACATAAATAACTATTTCTCTGACCGTGGAAACCCGGATATTAAATAATTTGACTTTACGCATATTAAATAATTTGACTTTACTAATTTATATTTATTTTTATTGGCTTAGGTCCCATTGGCTGTTTTGGATTCCGCAATTTGCTGGTGGATATTTAGTGCTCTAGTAAATACCACCAGAACTCTACGATTAAGAAGAAACGAAACTAAATTAGCTTTGTACCGTCATTTCACCAACACCCTCATATTTTCTGTAGTAGCATCGGTATTTTTCATGCTGTATTGTCTCAAGGTAGAGTGTCCACCCAATTGTTTTTTACTTTTTAATTTTTTTAATTAATTTAGGCTCATAATTATGTACAATGTCTAAAGACTTGGAAGGACATCTGGATCGACGACGCCTTTTGGCACATCATGTTTTCCGCGCAACTATTGGTGATCATGATCCTGTGGCGCCCGACCAATAACAATCAGCGGTACGCTTTTGTTCCGCTGCTCGACACTGGCGACGACGAAGAAGAAGAAGAACGACTAGTTAGCGACGCATACGGAGTCAAGGTAAATAATAACTTAACAGCAGAGCTATACTGAGTAACAACATAGTAGAGTACAAAGTACATTTCTGTTCCCATGTTTAAAGTACACATTGAGAAGCTGCGACTGAAGTTAACAAATTAGCATTAATGGGCTTCTTAGTAACACAATGGGCTGAAGTTAGCTTTATTATAAATTATGGAAAAGTGAGGTTAAATCCGTTTGAAGTTGACAGATGTTAAATGTTTAACAAATCAAATTGGCTTTAAATTCTTTTTTGTGTTTGTCGTAGATAAAGTATAGTATGCAACTCGTTTTATAAACTTCTCTAGACACTCGTTTTTATTAATCACTCGCTCCGCAAGCTTGGCTCGTGTTATATATATAACTCGTGACTAAAATGCCGGTAATAAAACTTGTTGTTTAATATACTATTGTATATATTATGTATCAAGTTTTATAAATGCCATTTTAGTGACGAGTTTTATTAGACACGAGCGAAGCTTGCGAGCGAGTGATTAATAAAAACGAGTGTCTAGAGAAGTTCATAAAACGAGTTGCATACTATACTTTGTTAAACATTTGACATCTGTCAACTTCAAACGGATTTAACCTCACTTTTCCATAATTTATAATAAAGCTACCTTCAGCCCGTGACTAAAATGCCCAAAAGCCACTATTGCTAACTTCAGCCCTTGGTAACGCCACAAAGTCACAGCTTGTCAATGTAGGAGTAGATAAATATAATAAAATTTATTGTAGCCAACAAAAATTTGTGGTTAGGGTTTTTATGGGATTTTTGACCCCCCCCTTGTCGCAAATGGTCACAGCAGCGCGAATCCCCACCCCCTCCTAGTCACGTCACAAATTCAAAAACTATTAATATTTAAAAAAAGTACTTTTACTAACAATATACTAACAAGAGCCGTTAACTTTATCCACTAAAATCAGTGGTTATCGGCCAATATAGCCAATTAGGCGGATTAAATATAACGATAACTACTAATTCCACTTGCTAAGGTTAACGACTCATGTTAGTGAATTGGCCTGAATATCTTGAAAAAAGTCAAAATAACGAATTTCAGACGTCACCTAATATTATTTAAACTAAAATAAACCATCGTAACATATATAGTTATCTACAGTTCTAGACGTAAAGAAACTAATTAAATTAAATAAATGGGTATCTGAAAAATTATGATTACACAGCAAACAAACGCAATAGACTGCAGGCACGTTAAAAAAATTAACTAAGAGGTTCAGTCACCCAGCCATCAACAATAAACACGATAACACACCTGCATAAAGAGCAATACTAAAGATATAAAAATAACGACTGGCTAATATGGCTGAATCTTCTCTGATGATTTCCTTCCTTGTCCCACTAGTCTAATCGGGCGTATAGCCCGGCCCGGCAACAAAATTTCGGGAGGGGTCTTAACTATCGACACTGTCCTCCAGGATCTCCCAAGGAAGATTTACCAGCCCGGTTATACTTCGTATTTATCAAACACAGATAATACTGTACAGTTGCGGTATACGTAGGAGAACCGAACTAACTCTGGGAGACCAGTGAATGATGATGCTGATGGGGCCAGCTTATACTCAAACTTAATAATAATAATAATAAATTTATTTTCCATTCAAATACAATACAAATTCATCTAATTTAGCATATTTTATACATAGAAAAAAACAAAACAAAAATTATACAAAAAATGGAAAAATCTCTGGGGTGTGTTCAGGCAGATAGAATAGTTCTCGGTTTTCAACACTTCCCCAGTTCATCACTTAAATTATAAAATATTTCTGTAAAAATAAATAAATGAAAATTATATTATGTGTAGAAATAAAACAAATAAGAAAAAAAAATACGCATATAAAAATACGGATATAAAAAAACGAATAAAAATAAAGAGAATTATCTCCTTCTAAAGGGTGGGCCATGTTTATGTTGAATTATAAAATAGCAATGAGAACAAGAAAAACTGATTTTTTTTCAACGAATTTTGCTTTATTTGATACAATGTTTCTTCCGATTAAGTATGGAAAATGATTTTATTTAAGTGGCCACCTCAGCTGGCTCCGCAGTAGCCCATCCTGGAACACCAATTTTCGAGCACTTTGTCAAAAGTTTGCTGCACTATTTAGGCAATTTGAGCTTGAATGTTTTGTTTTAAATGGTGAATAGGCTTTGTTACGGCGACGTGTGGATTTTCCGTGGCCCAAATCCTACAGTTTTGCTTGTTGACATAACCTCCGAGGTAAAAATGCGCCTTATCCGAAAAGATGATTTTTCTTGCAAAATTTGGGTCATCGTTCAACTGGTTTAAAGCCCACTCAGCAAAGCGAAAACGTTGTGGATGGTCAACTTGCTTTAAATCCTGAACAAGCTGGACTTTGTACGCAAACATACCGAGGTCTTTGTGCAGAATCATCCTCAGAGTGGTACGGGAAAGGCCGAGTTGTTGACATCTGAGCCGAGTTGATGTTGACGCGTTCATGCGTACATTTTCGGCCACAGCAGCGATTGCTTCAGGTGTACGTCTAGGACGAGCATGCGAAACATGTTTTATGTCCACCAGCATTCCATTTCTGCGCAATTTTTTGATCAAATTTGTAATACTTTGGTTTGACGGCGCCTCATTACTTCCAAACGCAATTTTCTTGCCGTCTCTGCGATCACAGTCACATTCAAAGTAAGTTTTGAGTATTTCGAAACGTTGATCCAAATTTATTTGGTGCATATTTTGTAATCGGTTAAAACTAAACCACTATCAACAATTCATGGCGCTTAAGTTGAAAGCTTCATTTATTGGTTGTTCATTAAAAAAATTGAAAGTTCTTTCTTAAATATCCTATAACTTTGAGCTTTAAAATTGTCTGGTAAAAAGTTATAAAGCTTGGCATGAAACTAAATGACCGTTCATATAATGTTGTTCTGTGAAACGGAATTGTTATGGAATCTTTTCTTCTAATATTAATATTATGTATATCTTTCCTAAAAGTAATTCGATCAGATAAATAAGTAGGAGATTTTGATTTTAATACTTGATGATAAAAGCATAGAGTTTTATGTTTTAACCAATTTTCCATGTTTAACCAATTTAAGTCCCTAAGTTTGTGAGAAATGTGATTTCTTCTGCTTATTCCAAACACATACCTTATGCAAGAATTCTGCATACGTTGAATTCTGTTTTTTGTTACCACGTCCAAACACGGATAATAAACTGCTGCACAGTAAGAAAAATTTGATATCACCAAGCTTTCACATAGCATTTTTTTTTACTTTAATGGATAAATAGTTTTTATGTGGAAATAACATTTTTAAAGATGTATATACACGTTGTATGTATTTGAAAATCTGCATTTTAAATCTCAGTGTTTCATCAAAGCATAAACCTAGATTTACTGCGCTTTGAACAATTGGTAACTGAACATTTTCGATGGACAAATTAAAATCTAAATTCCCTGTTAAATTATTTATAATTGTTTTGTTACCAAACAGCAGTACCTTTGATTTTCCAGGGTTTAAAAACAAGGAATGCTTTTTTGAAATTTCGTCTATAGAATTAAGGTCTATTGAGATTTTTTGCATAGCTTCCTTTACCTTATTACTTTCAAATGAAAGGTACAGCTGGGTGTCATCATTTTGACTCTTTGTATTCGGTTAATTAGATAATTATTTATTAAATTGATAGCATTACCACCCAAACCTATAAAATGAAAAATTGAAAGAAGCAACTTATGATTAATCGTATCAAAAGCCTTCGTAAAGTCTAACAATACTAATGCTGTTGTTTTATGAGAATCACAAGCTAAAAAAACATCATCTAATACATTGACCAGAGCTGAAGTACAACTATACCCTTCTTGAAAACCAGATTGATACTTGGGAAAAACCTTATTTTTTTTTTAAATGATCTACCAATTGCTTTTGCATAACTTTTTCCAACACTTTTGATAACGCTGGCAAAATACTCACTGGCCGTAAATCCTTAAGTTCTTTCGGTTCGGAAATTTTAGGAAGCGGCATAACATTAGCCTCTTTCCATTGTAATATGTATATTACTTTAGTATTAAGTATGAATTAATAAAGTGAATGATGATGCTGATGGGGCCAGCTATACGTTCCTTATACTCATACTTAATATGTATATTACTTTAGTATTAAGTGCGATCGCGTTAGAAGTTTAAAATAGCTGCTATTAAAAATCGCACCTCATCACTAGTTTATGACTAGTACCACAGCCTAGGGACAACCTTATCTTTATGCTGTGTTAATACTATACATGAATTGTCGCATCATATGCTTAAACTACTCAGGAGCCCAAGGCCGTAGCTTCATCTATTTTAGATTTTTAAATAGGGCTGGGGTATAGGTGTACCCCCAGTAGCATTCTAGGGTTAAAAAGATAAAATCAGATTAAGGAGTTTAAATAAATTTACGTTAAAACGTATATAGCTTAGACCTATGGTCTATAGGGCGGCATAGCGAGCGGCTCCTCGACATAACTTTCAATCCTATGCAAGTTTCCAAGTTTTTTTTCCTCAAAATCTACGTTATTAGCTATCATAATCCGTTAAGATGAAGTTCTCCGTTGATTAAGTTTATCTAATAAACATTTAAATCAACGGAGAAGTTGCAACAAAATTCATTTGTTAAGAATGATTGTTTCTAATTTAACAAGTTTCTTGCAAAATTGTTGTAACTATTTTTATTTTATTGCATAAACAAATAAAAAAATTAGTACAAAGCATTGCACAGATCGGTAGATGTAAATTAATTACCGAAACAGCGTTAAAAATGAAATAACAATAAATTTGGAGGACATTTAAAAATAGAAAATCCTTCTATAGGATTATTTTATCAACGTGATAATCTAGTGATTATTAACTCAAAATTTATTAATCACGATCTAGCAAAAAATAGTGGCGCACTTGACAAATTTTAACTCGTTTTAAAATATGTAATGATTTGTCAAGTATGCCACTTATGTCAAAACATATTACTACATACTTCAAGTCGAGTCATAGATGCTCGATGCCCGATGCCCGAAAAAACGAATACTTACGTCTTGTGACCACCAACAACAAACTTATCTGACGTCATTGTGGAAGGGACTATTAGTTTATTGTTCCACTTTGTAATTCAATACATAACAAAATATACATAACAATAACGAAATATAGTGTATGGAAGTAATGAAATGTGTACTTACTTATCACGCTGCCTAATACCAATTTTAATTAAAGAAAACTTAATTTAAACGTTTTATAAGTAGCTCAGACACTAACCAAGTCCTCTTGAGCCACTTAAAAAACCTTATAAATAAGTTTTGTTTAATATAAAAATGCTCAGGCATCAAACTAATGTAGCAGCCACAATCCACACGTGTGGATTGTGGTAGCAACAATGTACTGATAATCCCCTTTTACAATGACGTCATATTAGTTTGTTGCTGGTGGCAAGACGCTTCTAGTTCCTCGGAGTTGTGATAGTACATTCTTACTTTAAACTTTGATACGAAGGTAAACAAACTTTACAAGCAAGCATAAAAATGTCAAAATTACTAAGTTCTATCAATAATTATTGGTTATAATCACAGACCTACAAACAAAATGGACTGGCCTTTCCCATTCAAAATACACAATGTTTGTTGATTTAGATTAGGGGTAAAGGAGTAAGGGGAGGGGTGTTTATAAACAAGTTCCCACACCAGTGGCGTTCTGTTTTTGGGATCATAATTTAAATAAAAATATTAAAAATAAATAAAAACATTAAATTGTACATTTTTTTTGTGTTTTTCAATCCTATGTAAAAATTATATTTAATATATATAAATATATAGGTATAATAAAATACTAACCTTGTCCAGATGATAGAATCTGGCTCTTTAAATCTAAAATTTAAGTGAATTCATTTATTTATTTATTCAGTTTCTACGCCCCTGGCAGGGTTTGTTTTGTAAATAAACTTACCTATGAAAATAAAGTTTTAAATTCTTGGATCCAAGTCTTTTACAAACGTAGCACTGCTACACCATTTTTATATCACTCACTATTGGTATTTTTCACTATAAAATCAAATAAAAAATATTAAATAAGTTGTGGATTCCAAGTATCTAAATAAAGTCAGATGTGACAACTGAGGGAAAATATTTATTTTTGTTCCTTTCCACTCTTTTCAATGTAAATAATCCGGTCCCATTTGTTTGTTGGTCTGTGATTATAATCAATTTAGGAATAGTACATTATACCAGACAGAGAAAGCACATATTATCGGAGAGCATACATTCCACTTCATTGTATAACGGTCTTAATTTAGAACACAAAAAATAAATATATTGTATTGTTTTCAGAAAATACGCTAAAGAAGCATTGCTAGTAGCGCCACCACTTGGCCGTTATCATCGTAACCAGAATTTAGCTTTTAATAAGCAGCTGTCAAACGCGTATGTTATATACGAGTTTTCTTGAGAATAAAGCCGGAAAATATTAAAAACATCGAAAAAAAAAACCGTGGCACGATTTGTTTTCTTGTTGGGTGTTTTTCGAGAGGAAATCCTGGGTTGAGTTTTTACCGGTTTCCCAATAAACAGTAGAAATCCGAGTATCCATTTTTGTGTTTGTGTCATTGGCTCTCCCACCTATACACTTTTCCAACAACTTTTCTATCAAACCTTTCCTTGTTTGCAACACTAGCTAGGGTACAGATATAGAATATTAAAAAAAATATTTAAAAGGGTTCAAAATATACGTTAGAATTTAGTAATTAGAAAGATCTATTATAGAGCCAAAAATAAATTTTAAAATGGCATATAATCCTGGTAAATGCAAATGTCAAACTTATTTTTTCAGACAAGAAATAATAATTAACAGTTTATTTCTACTAAATTTGCATTAGACTAACCAAAGTAAGACATTTCTGATATACAACCTATTGCATTTACAACGACGATATCTAAGAGTGTTCACATATTTAAGAATGTCAAAGTTTCTAATACAAATATGATTTAAATAGGTGAGAATTCACCATCCCAAAACCACCACATCACAATCTAGAAATAGCCTAGATGACGACTTAAAATGGCTTGAAGAAAACGTAAAAAGCGAAGCAGCACTTCCCATTCTCGATTCGGATGAAGAAATGGTCAATACCAGGTTTGAAGTTTCAAAAATGCAGTAAACACCAAGGTGATTTATAATTAAAACTGAAAAATTTAAATTAAAGGCATTGTCATACTTAATTTAATACTATTGCGCACTTTTTTAGAATTTTGTGATTCGAGACGTGTGTTTGGTTTATGCTCCGGTTTAAATACACTTTTTATTTAAACTAATTACAATTAGTTTCCTACTACAACCTTAAGAATAATATTGATTATCGAATTGTAAATATGTATTATACTTTGCAGTACAAGTTTAGAGCATACATGTATTTAAGTTTATGTGTGCCATATGTGATGTAAATTTCGTTTAAAAAGGCGTTGATTTCTTGAACGAAGTTCAGTATAAGTATTAAGAATTTTTTGCAATTGTGTGCTTTATTTTACTTTTATTTTTACCGAAAATATAATAGTGTGTAGAACTTTTTATGTGAAAATTTAAATATACCTGTAAAATTATATTAATAGTTGTACCCAAAGTAAATTTTTTGTATACCTACCAATCATCTACATTTATTTGAGATTTTTTATATTTTACTGTAATAGAGGACATTCTTTATTTCTTTTTGATTTTTTACTTTGTATAAATTAAATATTATTTGTGTTCTTTAATATATTCCTTATTTTAACTATTTTATTTTATATCCAAGGATATTTGGATTTTATTACTTATAAATATCGAACGTATTTATTTGCCAGCTGTTGTTAATAGTTAATATAATAAAGTTAATTAATATAAGTTCTTGTTTTATTTATCTCAATGAACTGTTAAGCTTTGAGGGTTGTTTGTGTAGGGAAAGTTTTCTGGTATGACACAGAAGAAAGAGTTTTTTCGCTTCTGTTTAATGTAACTTGTATAAGAAAAGGGCATTCCACGATACTCGATGTTTTTTATAATTCAAAATTGTGAGTAAAAATTACACGTAATTAATTTTATTTTAGAATGTTGTTTATTATGCTTATAATATTTTACAATAAATTTATTAACCGTGTGGTTTTTAGTCACAGTTTTAATTGTGACGGTCTGGATAACAATTTTCAAGTGGGGCGAATCGAAACGCCGTGGTAAATCGGGACAGATCTGTTTTCGAACAAATAAACACACCAGGTCCTGTTGTGGCTAAGCGAATATTTTTAGGTCGGATATTACCAATTTTAAATCAAAAGTCGAGCACCTAACTTTCTTTTTGCTTTAATATGTTTTATAGGCCTATAAATAGTTAACAAAAAAAATTAAAATAATCCTTAGAGCCGTTTTTAATGAAAATCCAAACAGGTGAAAATATAAGCAAACTATTGGGATGTAATGGATTAATTTTGCAAATACTAAAGAATGTGTTTGGATTGCAATAGTGAGTCCAATACACTTCCTGCTGCCAGTCAAATGGCAACGAACCTATAGAATTAGTTTAGTAAGCAATAATATAATAAGTAATATAGTTTTAGTTAAAATAATGTTTAATTAGTTATATACAATAATGTAGACATGACCGGTCGTAAATAAAGTAGTTAATGGGAATTGGTAGTGTTTTATCATCAAACACCCTTAACACATTACATGGCGATCCTGCCAATTCGGAATGGTCTCGCCTAGAAAAAGTGACTAATTTACCATAACGGAGTGTATTCTCGCAGTAGCAGTTGAAGATTTAAACTGTAAATGTTTTAAACATGGGGAAAACAGTTTCTAAAGAAGAGGTAATTATTGCCCAGGCTGGTAATAGTGGAGGTGTCTCCGATGGCGTTAACCAAGGTCTACACTTTAACGTTTATGAAGTAATGGGAATGGTTCTAGCAGTTGTATTTCTTTGTGGTATTGTCCTCTATTTGAAGAAGAGGGTAAAAAGGTATCTTGATAGGAGAATCCGCAACGAAATCCTGAGAAGTAGGGAAATCCTTAGCAGCGATGCGGCGTCAAAGTGAAAGTGAGGTGAATAAATAAAAAAAAAACATGGTGCTTCTAGATGAGTGATACGCAGCAACTTCAGTTCATTTACGAGGAATTAAAGGTATTTTCTAGAAATTTAAGAAAAGAAAATGAAGCACGTCGGTTAGATTTAAGAGTTATTGACAATAATATATCGTCACCCTAATATAACAAGGTTGTATGTTAAAAAACCGAAAAATTTGAGTTTATGCTTCTACAAGGTTTTATGTAATCCACCATTGACATACAACTTGAAAAGAACTCTATATATATGTATACATAGAATATACATTATATAGAATTATTTTTAAGTGATATGTGAAGCGTAGGCCACGTATAATCCTGTTGAAACATAGACATATATTTTTCATTTTTTTAAACATACAACCTTGTTATATTAGGGTGACGATATGTAAGCTAAATAGAATAAGTAATGATTTTAAATCAATTAAAATAAATTTAAGTGACCAAGATGACCTTACAAAGCAGCAATTAAGTAGTTATTTAACAGAAATTAAAAACAGTATTGATAGTATTAGTGAATTGTTACAGGACAGGTGTAGGATAGCTAAAGAGCAAGTTAGGGTAGGAGATAGTGTTAAGGTAGATTTAGAAACAAAAATGGGTGACAAATTTGATTTAAAAGTAGCAGCATCCTTGCTGCCTACTATGAATGGTAATGAGCAGTGGCGGCTCGTGGCAGTAAAATTTGTGAGTTCTGCCAGTGGGGTTTAAAAAAATGTGGCGCAGTTGGCATTTAATTAAATGGTACCTACAGATAATTAATTAAATCATAATTAAATCATACACCACATTCATTCTTACAAAAGAATACAACAACAAACACGAAACACAAAAATACACAGAATTAACAGTCTTCTAGTTAAAATAACAAACGTGAACGCGAAGCGAAAAACAAACGACCGGGAAGTAGGAACTGCATGTTGGTGCAGCTCCGATTTGGCTTAAATTTCACTATCTTAACCCAGGGCCAAGAGCGGCGCGGGGCAAAATTACGGTATTGAAATGGGAACCAGAACTCGAAAGTGGCCCAGCTTTGTTGTATTGTAAGCGTTAAGCGTTAGAGACCTTTACCGGTCGTTTGGATGACTGTAGTGGCCAAGTACGGCGACACGGCAAATGTTTATAATAAAAACTTTTTATGCAGCCTTGCGTTTGAAATATTTATAGGTACACTGTCGCACTTAAATATTAAATAATAAAAAAAATTAGTCAAGTAATAAGAAAATTTTGGGAGTTCTGCAGCTCTGCAGCCCTTATACACTAGCCGCCCCTGGTAATGAGGATGTAACAAAACAGCTTATTGATGCAATTGAATTATACGACGGGTTATTAGATGCAGACGGGAAGAAAATGCTAACAACTTATGTTCTTAAAACAAAATTAACTCAGTCGGCCAAATTGCGGCTTAAAACAGTGTATCAATCAAACAAGGATCTTATTTCTGACATTAAATTACATTTGTTACCGCGTAAATCTGTCGCTGCTCTATCCTTCGAGCTGCACAACGCTAAACAAAACCAGAAGTCAATCGATGATTTCGGTAAAACTATCGAGGAGTTAATGGTTAATCTTACGTTAGTGCAGGCCGATGGAGATGAAGACACAGCCAGAATTTTGTCGAATATAAACGAAAAAATTGCTATTAGTGCTTTCTCAAACGGGTTACGCGACCACGACTTAAAAATGCTTATTAAAGCGCGTAATTATACATCAATTCAAAGCGCTATTGTCGGAGCAAAAGATGAAGATGTGGCCAAACGCTCTTCCACCTCTCAGGTATTTTCTATTGGTAAGCGAGGTAATTTTAGAGGTTCGAATTTTAGGTATGTTAATAACGATAGAAATAATACTAGACCGAGGACAAGTAATTACAACAATTCTTTTATTAACAAAAATAAAAGCTATAATAATAGCAATAGCAATAGTTCCTATAGAGGTACTACTTTTAATCGCGGATATAATAGGCACGGTAGAGGAAATTATTCAAATTTTAGAGGTCAGTCTCAAAGAAGAAGTTACTTCATAAATGATTCGGGTGCAAATCCAAGACCGACAACTAGTACCGAAATCCCAGAAACGTTTTTTCGAGCCCCCCCGCAGTAATTCGGAAACAATTTTATCACTAAATGCTTTAAATTTTATAAAGGTAAAATATGCATCAAAAGAATTAATATTTTTGTTAGATACAGGCGCTTCAGTTAGCGTAATTTTTGCTAATTGTATTACTCAAAATGAATGTATAGATAATAGAGAAAAAGTTGAGATTAATGGTATAGCAGGCTCAACATATTCGCATGGGGTAACAAACATATCATTTAAGTTAGGGGGTTGTAGTATAAATAATAAATTTTTGATAGTAGATGAATTTGATTCTGGTATGAATGGAGTACTTGGTTCAGATTTTTTTAACAAATTTTCAGCTGTAATAGACTATGAAAAATATATATTTTCTTTTTTGCAAAACGGACAAAAAATTACGATTCCATTAGAAGCGAAACATGAGTATAATACATATTTACCTGCCAGATGTGAGAGTATAAGATTCTTTTCGGTAAACAACGAAAATGAAAGCGTAATACTACCACAAGAGGCGTGCGAAGGTGTTTTCGTAGCAGGCGCGTTAGTTAAACCATATAAAGGCTTAATTCCAGTAAAGTTTTTAAATCTAAATGAAAAAAATATTCAAATAAAAAATTTTAAACCCCACTTGGAGAATTTAAATAATTTTGATACTTGTTACTTTAACAATGCAGAATTTTCAATTGATAGGGTAGATAGTTTAATAAAGTTATTAGATACCAAAGTTATGACTCATGAAGAACGTGATTCGCTACAAAAAATCTGTGCAAAGTACGCGGACGTATTTTTTTTACAGGATGACACGCTTAGTACAACTAATGTTTACAAACAAAAGATCCGATTACAAACGGACATTACTCCAGCGTACACAAAACCTTATCGTTTACCTTATACCCAGAAAGAAGAAATAAATAAACAAGTAGACAAAATGTTATCCGATGGTATAATTGAACCCGCGAATTCTGAGTGGTCCGCACCAATCCTAATAGTTCCAAAAAAGGCTGATAGTACAGGTAAAAAACGTTTTAGGCTTGTAATCGACTATCGAAAGTTAAATAATAAAATAAAAGATGATAAATTCCCTTTACCTTCAATTGAACAAATTTTAGAGTCATTATCAGGCGCGATTTATTTTTCACATTTAGATCTCTATCAAGGGTATTACCACCCAGATAGCATGAGACGTCCTAGTTAGGGCCTAGCCCGACCGACTGGACCGTATATCCTGAGGACGTCCCACGACCGTCTGCTTTTTAAGCGTGATACATATTTTAGTTCTTATAAAAATTTTAATATGTAAACAAAAGAACCTACCTACCATGTTGATTTTTAGCTGTTGATTTAAACTTTTAATTAAAACGATAAATTGACACCTTTTTGGTGGCTATCCTTAGGACGTCTTCAGGACGTCGTAATGAAATTGGTAAAAACATCAAATTAATAATAGCTTTGTGCAAATTTTACTAAGATAATGTTTCAATTACCATAATAAAATGTGCACAAATCTACTAATTTGCTGTTTTTACCAATTTTATTACGATGTCCTACAGACGTCCTATAGACGTCCTACGTTCTAAGTATAGACACTAAATTTTTTTAAATTCTCGTACTGTAAGTTTGTGCTTTCTATACGGATTTATTAAAGTTGTTAGTTAATTTTTAATTTTTAATCGAAAAGAATCATATTTTTGAAAGATTA